TCTTTATTAATGCTTCAGTTGTGAGTTACTTTCGTTTGACTTTAAGACCAATATATCAGCTTCCAGCAAGGATCTAAACAGTAGCTTACTCTAACACTAGTTGGTTGGTTTGTTGTTTTACACCGCACTCGGCAACATTCCAGCTATATGACGGCGGTCTGTAAATATTCGAGTCTGGACGAGACAAGCCAGTGATTGATATCATGAGCATCGATCCACGCCATTGGGATCGATGACATGCATCAACCAAGTCAGCGAGTCTGACCACCTGATCCCGTTAGTCGCCTCTTACGACAAGCATAGGCTCCTTTTACGGCAAGCATGGGTTGCTGAAGACCTATTCTATCTCGGATATTCACGGGGCTGCTCTAACTGTGATGGTCCCAGTGTTCACGTTACTAACAGCATCGACACAATGCCCCTATATATATGAGTATCTGAGTGAGTATGGTTTTACGCCACTTTTAGCAATATTCCAGCAATATCACGGCGGGGTGGGTCTAAATAGATAAAAATTGCACTTGTTTATATACGGCCAAATGTTAAGACTCAAGGGTAGGAAAATAAAAGCAACAATAAGTCATTGATGCGTCAAATTTGAAAAATATTATTCTTATAAAATACTTTCAACCGTAAATTCGTTCCTGTAATCAAAAGAAAACGACTGTTAAATCATGTGTTTAAGAACCACTATCGGATTGTGGCTATTAGACCATTACTGATCGATCTAATAAATCTATATTCATGAAGTTTCAGAGAAACACTCTCAGCCAAATGGGTTTTTCATTTTGCCAGTCCAAGCAGAAATTCCGATCGATTTGCACAAACATACATCTCATCAAGGTGGAAGCAAATTGGACGCCCATGAGGATGCCTTTTTCTTGCCTAAATGTCCTGTCCCCAAATTTCCTATAGACGTTATGCACAAGGAAGTCGAATACTAGTATTTCACATATTGTTTTCTCAGCAAACCACAGATGACATTTGCTTTCAGTATTGACACATTATCCTGACCCTTTGGAAATAGTGATGAATCTATATAAATGGTCACCACGTTAGTGACAAATGGGGGACAGGGGTGGCCCAGTCGTCTAAGGCGCCGCCATTCGCTATGCAGAGTTGCGTCCCTTGGGCACGCAAGAAACCTATGATTGTGGGTTCGAATCCCGGTTCGCCCCGATTATGTTTTTAGGTTTGTCAGCACAATACCCGTGCTCGTGGATTTCACCGGAATGCTAAACGTCTGAAACCTGCATCACTTTGGGCTTTCCTCCCACATTAAGTTGACACGCCGTGATATAACTGGAATACTGTTAAAAGCAGCATTACACCCAACTCACTCACTCACTCACTAGTGACAAATGCCCTATTGATCAAGGTATTAAGTATGTCCTGAAGTTGGGATAGTGGTGTACTAAGTTAAACAATCAAATGTTCTGACATGATTGAACTTTGTTGTTTTCTGGGAGTAAACAATTCAAGCCAATCCGCTGAGTTTTCACATGGTCTCAATGCCATTTGTCTGAGATACTTGTGATTGTAAAGAAAGACCTTCCTTCTTAGCATTAAGGGTAATGGTAAATCTTTGAAACAGGCATTCGGGGGTACATTTGTTGGACCAAGCAAACTATTTCTCTTCGTAGTGGAAGCATCATCTAAGACCTGCCTCACTTCCGGTTTTCCTCCCTTAAGTTGACCTAAATAACAAATTTGCACCTTTATTATTATAATAAAAAAGACACTTGTGACGAGATAATTGCAATATATGAATCAAATCTCTCCATTAACGCGAGTGCCATATTTGGCAACAAGATGTACAATATACATGTAATTATTTACTAAATATATCTATTCTGTTTCAGATTTGCTTTTGCTGAGTGTGCCTACCAAGGTGTGAGCAATCTCAGAGAGTGTACCAACACTATTGGCGCCATCTTCCGGCAGCTGATTTTGGGTGTTTTTCGTTAGACGTATCCATGCAAACACACCTTCTGATAAAAGTGGAGCAAAACATCATGTTATGTTTGAATCTTAATAAATTAGTCTGAATTTCGACCATCGTTTCTTATATTTTGAAAGAATGTTATTGACTTTTTCTGTGTGTTGTTTAATCGATGAGAAAAGATATTGATAATAAGAACAGCGTGTGATCCATCCTTTTAAATATACACTTGACTCTGGGATGCTCTTGTTGAATGGAAGTCGCGGTATCAGGTGAGGTGAGGTGAAATTGGGTTTAACGTCGCGTCCAAGATTATTGCACTTATATAGCGACGTGCATGCACGTGTGTGTGTGGCTGCTTGTACTAGTCCGGACAGATGCCGATTTATAGTGCTAGCACACTGAGATACCATGCCGCAGTTTAACATGAATACCCAACTCAGACACAGTATACTGACTCCGAGCCGACCAGTCCTTGTTTTAGCTCTTTAATGCCGAGCGCCAGACAGGGTAACAAGTACCAACTTTTAACGTCTTTTGATATGACGCGCCCGGGGATCGAACCCCGGACCCTTCGCTCTCCGGGCGGACGCTCTACCACTAGACCACGGAGGCGGTCTAGTCGCGGTATCAACAATCCACCCCTTGTCAAGGGGTTCAAAGACACAGTGGAAATATTTGGTAGTTATCATGCCACCACGGGGTTCAATGGGAGAGTAAAATATTTACTGGGTACTCGTTCTCTCATCATGACTGGGTTGAAAAAGAGAGACGTGTTGATATTGAAATGGTTGTCTGACTTTCACTGATTTAGGATGCAAAGGGCACAGAACTGATGAATAAAGAATTGCCTGAGTGTGTATTTGGTTTGAGCTCCAGTGAGTTATGAATCGAAAAACCCATGTGCAAACCGCGTGAATCCGTGTAATTGATTATGTCATGAATATGTGATCATAAATCACCATCAAATGGTACCAGGTGTTCGCGAAAAGGTGAGCGCATCCTGCACCACCGGTGGCACCCGTCACAAACACATGCAAAAGCAAGTCAATTGTTCACCGGAAGTAACAAATCCAAATAAGGAATTGCATCTGACATAATTTTTGTCACGTATACGTCAATTTGGAAATGTCCTCAACATAATAAGTTTTATATCTTTACTGAGGCTCTGAATGTTGTAACCTTGATCAAACAACTTTTGAGCAAGAGTCGGTTGACGCTCTTGTCTCCATAGAAAGCAGATTCCATGGTTCCCCAGAAGTTTTGTTTGTTTGTTGTTCAACACATATTCCAGCTATACGACGGCGGTCTGTAAATAATCGAGTCTGGACCAGATAATCCAGTGATTAACATCATGAGCATCGATCTACACAATCAGGATACGATGACATGCATCAACCAAGTCAGCGAGCCTGACACCCAATCCCCGTTAGTCGCCTCTTACGACAAGCATTGTCCACTTTTACGGCAAGAATGGGCTGTTGAAGTTCTATTCTACCCCGGATCTTTACGGGTCCGTTGGATCTGTGACGGCTTCGGGATGTGATTGTACGCTCGTCGAACCATTTTCCCTAATAAGGGTCCTGTGGTTCGTGATATTCCTCTGTTGGGTCTTGAAGTCGATAAATCCAGACTTAAACATGTCAGGAATATATTGAGAAAGTTTGTTGACACCAACCGGCTGTGACGATAGTTAACAGATAGTTTCTCCCTAATTTGCCATTGGTCTTTTGTACAACCGTCCAAGTTTGACGAGTGATGAATACTTCCCTTAGGGGGCGGGGGGGGGGGGGGGGGGGGGTCCGGGTAGCCTAGTAGTTTGCTCGTCACGCTGAAGACCCAGGTTTGATTCCCGACATGGGTACAATGTGTGAAGCCCATTTCTGGTGTCCTCCGCCGTGATATTGCTGGAATATTGGTAAAAGCGGCGTAAAACCACACTCACACACACTTCCCTTAGATTGGCACAACACAGCCAGGGTTAGTTAGATCTGCGTATTGTCTGATAGATTTGGGCGTGGCTTTGCTGTCAATGGCACCACTAACGGTCTTCAAAAGTCGCCCTTCAAAGTGAGCCAAGGTTTGACCGTTGTAGTTCACACCAATAGAAAACTGATCAGTCTGTAAATTTACTTGTTCGTCTTGTGTAGATTCCAGTTTACAGTTGTAGAAATAAGTGATGTATGGCAAACCTTGGGCTGAGGTGACATTAAAAATAACAGATTCACACAAAGTAGGATATAAATCTTTAAAAATCATATATGAAATGATTTTTTATCAAAGAGAGAGTATGTTTACCAAATAATTTTGAGTTAATAGTTTTTTCTAAATTGGGTAAATACTTCCATTGCATTTTTAAAATATGTTTTCCCGTTTCTCAAAAATTGGAGTGTCCATTCCGTGGGGACCACCTTGTCTGCCAGAATGTTCCGACGTCTGGGGGATATTCTTGGCTAGAAATCGTAGGCCCAGACGATCCACCAGAGGAAAGAACCGAAAGGCCTCTTGAAGGAGAGAGTGTGTCGTCCCTCAGGCACCAAAACCACCGTCTTGGTGGCGATGGCAAGTTGAGTGTTCCAGGGGTGTTCCTTCCAACGTGTTATCACCAGTATAAGCAGCTAACTACAGGTTTTTGATGTTAGTTGAAAGTTAGTCAGGCTTTTTGACTAGCCCTGGTACCATTCTCTGCTGAAAGATTGGTTGGTTGGTTTGTTGTTTAACGCCGCACTCAGCAATATTCCAGCTATATGACGGCAGTCTGTAAATAATCGAGTCTGGACCAGACAATCCAGTGAATGATATCATGAGCATCGATCCACGCAATTGGGATCGATGACATGCATCAACCAAGTCAGCGAGCCTGACCACCCGATCCCGTTTTAGTCGCCTTTTACGACAAGCATAGTCTCCTTTTACGGCAAGCATGGGTTGCTGTAGACCTATTCTACCCTGGATCTTCACGGGTCTCTGCTGAAAGAAGTCGTCCACCTCAGCATCGTTCCACATATGTAAACTTTACAATCAGTAAATTACAACAACACACAAAACCAAATCCCAGTTGTTTTCAATATATGGTTTATTCTCCACAGAATCGGTTGGAATGGGTTCAAATCTCACACAAGAGGTGTACGGGATGAAAAGTTCTCTAAAATGGGTGGAATGTAAGTAGGTTGACTAAATACAATCACAAAGTCCTTCTAAAAATATTCATGTAATGCTGATAAAAAACATCTACATACAATTATTTATTATTGCATACATAAACCTAACTTTAAACACCTTACAGTTATCATCTAAACTGAGGTACAGACCACACAACACATATATTGCTCACTTAATAACATTTTCATTTTGATCAGTGAAAACAATTCCATATATAATTCTTAACCAAATGAACTGTCAACATATGTGACCAACCTTGAGTGAGTGAGTGAGTATGGTTTTACGCCGCTTTTAGCAATATTCCAGCAATATCACGGCGGGGGACACCAGAAATGTGCTTCACACATTGTACCCATGTCGGGAATCGAACCCGGGTCTTTGGCGTGACGAGCGAACGCTTTAACCACTAGGCTACCCGACCGCCCCTCGACCAACCTTGAGATCAGGGACCTTATGGGTAAAAAATCAAATTTTGACTTCTCAAATTTTAGTGAAGGAGTGAGTTGGGTTTAACACCGCTTTTAACAGTATTCCAGTAATATCGCGCGTGTCAGCTTAATGTGGGGGGAAGCCCGAAGTGATGCAGGTCTCAGACATTTAACACTTCGGTGAAACCCACGAGCACAGTAATGGTGCTGACAAACCTAGAAACATAATCGGGGCGAACCAGGATTCAAACCCACAATCATAGGTTTCTGGCGTGCCCAAGGGATGCAACTCTGCACAGCTAATTGTGGCACCTTAGATGATTGGGCCACCCTTTACTTTAATGCCCTAGATCAGAGCATGGGGAATGTAATAAGTATTATATATTGGGACTTCTTTAATGTTCGAAAATGGATCTTGCACTTATTGCACTCTTATTAAGCCCTTTAAACATTTAATGCAATAATTATCTGTAGAATGTCAGCACCTGGATGTTTTCCCACAGGAGATAATGGTCAAGTATGCACAATAATATTTGTTTGTGTGTTGTTTAACCCCACGCTCACTCTAAACACAATAAGGATGTCTGCTCATGTGGTCTTGATTTCACTGCATATTCAGGATGTGTCTGAATGAATCAGGAGTTCAATATATCTATCTTGAGTTTATCTCTCACTAAAATGAAGCCGTACAACCCAGAATCCTAGACGATTGGTCAAATTGTCAAAGATACAGCGTCATATATCAAAGAAAAAGTGAATCAATTCACATTTAGCGACAGGTCAATAGAGTAGCACCACAACATAGTTTAAGTTATGATGATTTTAGCCTGCTTAGGGCGTGCTTATTGAGTAGGGCACTTAATACGGCTACTATGGTAGTTTATATTGATATAAACTTTATTGCGACATCATTGTGTCCATTCTGTGCTATAATGCACTGGAATTTAATTGCTGTAGAAAGCATTCAATTGCATAAGTCAGATGTACTTTTGACATAACTGACCAATCACAACTGACCAATCACAACGCTTCATTTCACAATCTAACAAACCACATAATCATAAAAAGAATCACATTTCTATGATGGTACAAAAATGATACAATAATCATATACAGATGATACATCTGGCCAGTCTTATAGGAAAGATACATCATTGATACATTGAAATGAAATAACTGCTGTTAGTTGATATGTTGGGAGGATGAGCATCTTTAAAGTGTAAAAATCCACTATTGTTGCCACATAGCAATATTCCATCTGTATGACGGCAGTCTGTAAATAATCAAATCCGGACCAGACAACCCAGTGATTGACAACATGAGCATCAGTCTATGCAATTGGGATACGACATGTATCAACCAAGTCAGCAAGCCTGACCGATCCCATAAGTCACCTCTCACGACAAGCATAGTCGCTTTTTACAACAAGCATGGTTTGCTGAAGACCTATTCTACCCCGAAAATTCACAGGAGGGGTGCATAAATGTGTCACGCTTGTGGAGGGTGACTGGAGGACAAACAGACACACATCTTTCTTACAGACGGCTCTGAACAAGAGGGCCTATATACAAATGAAATCAAACTCCCTTCACCAGTAATATGTATGAATAGAGGCAGATATGTGGCCAAAGGCATACTGAAAATATCCATAAATATTTCCAAATGTTTCAGTGCTGTCTATCATCATTCTATTTTAATATCAATAGTTGGTACGAAAAAATTTAAATAGAAAGTGAAAAAATAATCTAAATTTCATTTCATGCTTAAAAAATAGGAACTTATATTAGAAAAAAAAGGTCAAACTTGCCAGTCTCAGGTACCTAACTGAACCTCCTCAAATGTGCCTTATCTTCAATTGGTAAGTATGCCATTGTACCTCAATATCTATTCGATTTATGACGGAACACAGGGCAATTTTTTTCAACCTATCTCCATGATCTGCAGTTTCAGAAACTTGTAACAATCTAAACAATAATCATGATAATATGAAAACAATTCAAACATATCATACATACAAAACATGGTGCCACAATAATGTAGCTCACCTGGATCTGAAGTTGAAAATGTCATCAAGGACAGGTACTTAACTTCAGTTTCTGTTATCACTCATATGCAAATATCTCTGCATAAATACTGAGAGTAAGTTGGGTTTTAACTTTTAACAGTATTCCAGTTATATCACGGCGTGTCAGCTTATTGTGGGGGAAAGCCCCATGTGATGCAGGTCTCAGACAATTTACCACTTCAGTGAAACCCACGAGCACAGGTATGGTGCTGAAAAACCTAGAAACATATTTGGGGCGAACCGGGATTCGAACCCACAATCATAGGTTTCTGGCGTGCCCAAGGGATGCAACTCTGCACAGTGAATCGCGGCACCTTAGATGACTGGGCCACCAATGCCCCCTGCATAAATACCTGAGGGTTAGGGCTTGGATGAGTCCAAATTTACTACCCGGGTACCCGCCCCCCTATTTCCCTACCCTACCCGGGTATCCACTGTAGGTCTCAAAATGTCCGATTGGGATCTTTTTAAGCATAGCCCTGGCAAAACATATTTAGATACATGTATTAAACAATCTGGTCATGCATATGCTGAAGTTGACTTAAGTTATATCTTTATTCAACCATATGAAAAATCAGAAGGAATGGGTGCATAGTCAGAAAGAAAAACAAACATTAATGACTTGTAGTGTAACCATAGATTTCTAGATAAGTTTATTCATTAGACAATATATCATGTGACTAACCACAGGTCCGGGTAGTCCTGTGGATACCCGTATCCTACTCAGTACCTACCCGAAACGGGTACCCGAGTTACCCATCCCAGCCCTACTGAGGGCCATAAATAACACTAACATCCTAATGAGGCATATGCCAAAGTTTCTCTTCCCCAATCTGCCAATTATCAGAGAAGATGCATCTTGTGAGAATTTAAGAGCATAGTGAAAACAGAATGGTTAAATCAAGGTCATCATTTACACAAATGCTTAAAAAAACAGAACGTGTGTTAAGCCCCTTCAAACAAAACACATACCAAATTTCATTAACTTTTGGACATGTGGCTGAATGATGGCATAACTAGTTTTTTCAATATGGATGCTGTGGCATATGATATGAGATATGATTACTATGCTTTGGCAGATGATGAACGATGGACAACTGACAAACAAGCAACAACATCTGCCCTTCTGACTTTCAGCCAGGTGAGCTAAAATTGAGTTATTGCTAAAATTTGTTCAGAATATATGTTATATGTTCAACAATGTTATAACTGCTTGACTGGAAACAGTCATGATCGTCACTTTGGTATATGTTTAGGTACACACTATACCTACAGAAACAAACATAGAAATGGAAGGACTGTACCAAAGTACTCAGATATACATGCATTCTGATTGGTTCATACTGTTTTCACACAGTGCCTAGGTGGACGAGTCTTCTTGATAGGTACGGATAGGAGCAAGTGGTTACAAAATGAGATAAATATACTCTTTGAGAAAAACTGATTTCTTTTTCCTGCTTATTTACAATTTTCTGACTTACCTTACTCCGTAAGTCATAGTATCAGAGGCAGACTGAAAGAAGTTCTGGCACAAAGTATTTGTTTCACTTAAGTTGAATTGAGTGAAATATTGTTGTTATATTTGCAGATAAATTTCATCACTAGGTACATCCTAAGTTATCATTATGCAGACAGAAGGTGCCTACACCACAACCTTAATCACAGACAACTTTATTTCCTAATCATCAAACCGCCGACTCATGCACACGAAGATTTCGTTGGAAATAAAGAGTGAGTGGGTATGGTTTTACGCCGCTTTTAGCAATATTCCAGCAATATCACAGCGGGGGACACCAGAAATGGGCTTCACACATTGTATCCATGTCGGGAATCGAACCCGGGTCTTCGGCGTGACGAGCGAACGCTTTAACCACTAGGCTACCCGACCGCCCCTGGAAATAAAGAACAATATCATTTGAGCTTGTTTTGTATGTCTACCAAATTTGTTATTGCAATATGGCACATTTTATATGATCACAGATAAGATACATTTAATATGATTACGGATAAGATGCATTTAATATGATTACGGATTAGATACATTAAATATGATCACGGACTAGGTGTATTGCAGATTCAGCTGTATTTCAATAATACAACAGTGCGTCAGCTTTGCGTCAAGGAAGATCCAGCCTTTTGGAAAAAAATAATTTATGACTCATCCCCAGGACTAATTGTAAACCATAATTCACTAGTCCTCAGAATTTGTATCTAGTCTTGCTTGAACCAGTAAAAAAATGTTTACTATGTTAAATGTCAGTCTCATTCAGTTGCAATTTGCAGCCAAATTGATGCCATTCTTTGACAGATTAACTATAGTAATATGAAAGAATCGTGTGGTCCTTAACTTCTTTTGAATAATATATCATAATAGAACGGTACACTGGATAATCGGGGATGTGATGCTGTATTAAGATGCAAGATGCACGAATACCTACAAAGTCTAATGACACTTCACATAAACAAACTAAGCAAATTCCTAATTCTACTACATCACACGTCCCAGCACGGTACCGAGCGTTGTCAAGACAACACACATAATCAACTCCTCCTTATAACACAGCTGAAAGAAAGGAATTTCATTTTTCCTCGCCCATCTGAGAAACACAACAACAGGAATAACAACGTGTAAGAAGTCCGGTATCATCAAGCCGATATTCCGAACATTCTGGAACGCTGTTCCATGTCCCTCCAGAACGTGAGAAATAAACTGATCCAGTCCGCTGACAAGAATATGAATAGTGTTGATGGTAACGATGGCAGAGATCTTCCACGATGCTACATCGTTCTGCGCGTTGCAGAGGCTGAGGACGATGACAGTGGCGATGATCTCGGTGATGGCGAAGAACATGTGGTGTTTGAAGTAGGTGTAGAACTCCTCGTTGTAGTAGCTGAAGAAGGACCACCAGGAGTAGTAGTGGGGGTACAGGTTGGCGACGTACAGCAGGAACATGCTCCATCGCACTGACCCGCGGCGGAACAACGCCACCAGGTACTTGACGCTCTCGTAGAACAGCAGAACGAAGATGACTGTAGCGATCCAGATCTTGAAGGTTTCCTTCGTAGCGTTGAAGTAGATGTGCTTGTAGGCAACACCCGGGCCCGGCATCTCGTAACGACCTGCGAATATTTGATTGAGTGATTGAGTGGTTGATTGATTGATTGATTGATTGATTGATTGATTGATTGATTGATAGGGAGTGAGTGAGTGAGTGAGTGAGTGAGTGAGTGAGTGAGTGAGCAAGTGAGTGAGTGAGAGTTGGATTTAGCGCATTTTAAAAGTATTCCAGTTATATCATGGCGTTGTGAATATTTAAGCAATATGATGTTAGTAACACAAGAATTATATGTAAGTCTACCAAGAAAAACAAGAAAAGAATTTGACATTTTTCAATGAATTGTACATTTACATACTTATCCTATCTCACATTATATCTTTGAACCACTTGTTGGTTTGTTTTTCCCATGCATGATTTCTTGATGTTTACGACACTGGGCAGTGTTTCAAATGTTTTATTTATTTCGCTGTTGAGAACCAGCTTCTTCGTGTACGTCTCACAGTTGTAGTCTTTACAGGCTAGGGTATCTGCACCCCAGCATCCAAACGTGGGATAAACGCATTGAGACAGGATCAGAGTAAACATTAGGAAATTTTCCAATAAATTGTATATTTATATACTTATCTCAAGACAAGGTCTTGCACCAGGATATATCAAGAACATGATTTGTGAGTATGAACCTAGACGTAATTATGCGTTCAGGTGATCAACATTTACTGATTTGGTGATTGCTGCTTTGCACAGATTCTCCAACATTGTCGAACAGCCTACAACTTGACATCAGAAGTTCACAAGACCTGGTGAGGTGAGGTGAAATGGGGTTTAACGTCGCATCCAAGTTATTGCACTTACCGTATTTTCTTGAGTATAGTGCGCACTTTTTTTCGAAAAAACACAGCTGTGTAGAAGGGGGTGCGCATTATACACGAATTATGAGTTTGGATGTTTTTTTCCCCTAAGGAAAGACATTACCGTGAGCACGAAACACCGGGAATACCATGTCAACAAATCCATACTGAAGTACGCAAAATAATTATGTAATTACACTGTCTGGCTATAAAAAGTGTTCTTTGTATATCTGGACTTATGTTTGTAACTTATTTCATTGATTTTATTCAAAATTTCTTATAATATTGTTTTTATTAATTTCGGCGAAATCGTGTGTGAAGCGATCGGAAGATCGCACAACTCACCGTTATTAACAGCAACCACAGCCAGAATACCGCTATTGACGCCTTGAAACAAACTTTAGTTGACAGAGAATGGATACATATATCATAAATGAAATACTTTGACTCGTTAAAAGTCATATTTGTTTTTGTTTGACGATTCTATGTCAACATAAAATTCTCGCGATCACGTGATCACGTGCGCGTGAGCCTTGACGGTGACTGGTCAGACATGTTCCATGTAAAAAATAATACCCGGGAATAGCGATCAGCTGCTTCGCTTAGGGTTATTATTATTTTAAATATGTTTAGTAAAGGTTGCATATAATTAAGAAAAAAATGGAATATATTATTCCTGATAAATAAAAATAGTTTCAGATACAATTGTTGCCGATCCTTGCATTAAAATTTTTATAAAGTTATATCATTGGGTGTGTCTTGACCGAATCACCGGTCGATTCCAAGAAAACGTGTGTACAGCTGATTGCTGTTTCCAGCTTAGTTTACGAGAAAATACGCAAGGTAATCTTAATCCCTAAATATAAAACAATGCCTAGCAGAACAATAAATACTATTTAAACGGTAAATAAACATGTCTGGTGATTTTTTATCTCAAATTTCGAATTTGTACTGACGAAGTTTCTCAGCACCCGTTCGTTTGCCGGACTTCGCTGAAAGGGTACGGTGTAAAAAATTTCTGCGCATAATATTCAAATTTCTTTTTTTCCAAAATATTGAACCCGCTGGAGGGGGGTGCGCATTATACATGGGTGCGCACTATACTCAAGAAAATACGGTATATAGCAAAGTGCATGCACGTGTGTGTGTGTGTGTGTGGCTGCTTGTACTAGTCCGGACTGATGCCGATTTAAAGTGCTAGTTCACTGAGATACCATGCCGCAATTTAACATGAATACCCCACTCAGACACAGTATACTGACTCCGAGCCGACCAGTCCTTGTTTTAGCCCCTAATGCCGAACGCCAGACAGGGTAACAACAAGTACCATCTTTTAACGTCTTTTGGTATGACGCGGCTGGGGATCGAACCCCAGACCTTCCGCTCTCCGGGCGGACGCTCTACCATTAGACCACGGAGGCGGTCTCCCAAGACCTGGGCAGCTTCCAGAGCAGACTGAAGACCTACCTCTTCAGGAACACTTACTTGTAGTAATAACCCCTCTGTGGCTTCCCTTATTATTATTATTATTATTATTATTATTATATGCCCACCCAACAATCCCTGCATCTTAGGTCCTCTTGCCTGTCAGCTCTGATGAAAGAGAATGATGTGTCAGAGATAGACACATGATCAGGTCGTGTAAGGTCACTATGCACAGGATTACGTGCGTGACCCATTTGTAGGGTGGTGACCATGGTGATGCTGGGATGTGTTCAGGTGAATTGTTTTCAGGAGCTGGAAACTTTGTTCAAGCAAGCAAGCTACCTGGGCCAGCCCTAGTCTACATTCTCCTACAGACAGCTTCTCACCTCTGAACACTGTGTCGAAGCAGGTACATCCGCAGCCATACCTGTCAATGGGAGGTTTGTCTGGCACCCAGATCAGCCGGTAAAACACCCCTGGAACAAACAATGTCTCAATGTTGCTTAATGTTGCACTCAGCAATATTCAAGTTTGATGACGTCAGTCTATAAGTAATCAAGTCTGGACCAGACAATCTAGTGATTGACATCATGAGCATTAATCCATTAATAACTCGGACACGATGACATACATCAAACAAGTCACCAAGTCTGACCACCTGATCCATTTAGTCATATAGAATACTAAACGAGCTCCCGCGTAATACCAATTTTATGAAACGAGTGAATAGTTGTGGTATCTGACAAGCGAAAGTTTCATAAAATTGGTTTTACACGGAAGCGAGTTTAGTATTTTATTTATTACTTGCAATTTATAGCGTTTTTTGAATTATACTGTTGAGTATGAATAGGCTGACACCTACATGATCCACGACATAGTCCAATTGAGTTTAACAGAATAATACTTCAAACACGTCAAAAGTTGAAACGTATGAATTTCATACCATACAACGGGTCTACCTTTAGAATTCACAAAATTATCGTAGGGCTAAGACTTTCGCATCTCACATACTTTAACTTAGACCAACGACTGTCGTTGGGCTACAATACGATCGCCTTGTGGAACGGGCCTTGCACCTCAAAGTTTTCAATAACGTCACAATACCCGAAGACATAATTTGTGGAATTTTGATGCAAGATCCATCGGCAAAACAATGCCATGTGACGTCAGCCTAGCAACAAGGTTGCTGGGGTCATTGAGTGTGCATAAGATCCTCTCAGTGATCTATCAACTCCACACGCAATGTCGTTGAATAAGCCAAGAGATGTTGAGAGCTTTCAATATTTGTCGTGAAACGTGTTCCGAGAGTACATAAGCACGTGTTTTGGTATTACACAATGTGTAATACAACTGTATGTTTATTAAACGGGTGATCTCTTCACTGGCAAGTAATAAACCTATTTATGACACGCATGGGTTGTTCCCATGGATCATTCACAATGTGTGTAGTACAGGGTTATCATATATGTTTGTTTGTTGTTTAACACCACACACAGCAATATTCCAGCTATATGACAGCAGTCTGTAAATAATCAAGTCTAGACCAGACAATCCAGTGATTGATATCATGAGCATCGATCCACGCAATTGGGATATGATGACATGCATCAACCAAGTCAGCAGAGCCTGGCCATCCAATCCCCGTTAGTCGCCTCTTAAGACAAGCATAGGCGCTTTTTATGGCAAGCATGGTCTGCTGAAGTCCTATTCTAACCTGGATCTTCACGGAAGGGTTATGATATAGGTAGTTCTTGGTTATCATATACGTTGTACAGGGAGAATGATATCATTCCTACTAAGACTCAACGAGATGAAGTTGAAAAACTACTCACGAATGTATTACAGGGTCATGTATATCTGGTATATGTTTTGGTTTGTTTGTTTGTTTGTTTGTTAATGCCACACTCAGCAATATTCCATGACATGGTCTCACTGAGGGGAGACACCAAGAAAGGGCTTCACACACTGGACCCAGTGTGTCGATCCATCCACTTACCCACTGCCCTGAATGAGTGAAGATGTTCTGTTAACTAATAACTGATGAAGCTGGCTAATTGTTTGTTTGTTTGTTGCTTAAGGTCACACACAGCAATATTCCAGCTATATGACGGTGGTCTGTAAATAATCGAGTCTGGACCAGACAATCCAGTGATTGACATCCTGTGCATTGATCTAAGCAATTGGGATACAATGACCTGCAAGAAGATATTCGGCTTGTCCCGGAATAACACGAGTTGGTCACGAATGATTTCATCACAACGAATTAATTCTAACTGGCATGTACACAGTGTCGCTATGTGGATGTGTGACGATATGTGGTGTCTGTACGGACATATGGCCCCTTTAAGTGTCCAATACTTTCATGAAATGTAGACAACTTCCATGGATCATTTGGTAAATGCATTCGTGATGCACGTAAACTTACTGGATCTTTGTAAGACATCAGTCCGGTGTCAGTCACAAACGACAGGGTGCGTGCGGTAACGCACAATTACCCATCAAAAGAAATCTAAATCTGTATTAATGCTTCAGTTGTGAGTGACTTTCGTTTGACTTTAAGACCAATATATCAGCTTCCAGCAAGGATCTAAACAGTAGCTTACTCTAACTCTAGTTGGTTGGTTTGTTGTTTTACGCCGCAATATTCCAGCTATATGACGGCGGTCTGTAAATAATCGAGTCTGGACCAGACAATCCAGTGATTGACATCCTGTGCATTGATCTAAGCAATTGGGATACAATGACATGCATCAACCAAGTCAGGGAGCATGACCACCCAATTCTGTTAGACGCCTCTCTAGACAAGCACAGTCGCCTTTTACGGCAAGCATGGGTTGCTGAAAACAAGCATGGGGTACTGGGGACCTATTCTGCCCTGGAATCCCCACTTGAAGACAAGCATGGGGTACTGGGGACCTATTCTGCCCTGGAATCCCCACTTGAAGAGAAGCATGGGGTACTGGGGACCTATTCTGCCCTGGAATCCCCACTTGAAGACAAGCATGGGGTACTGGGGACCTATTCTGCCCTGGAATCCCCACTTGAAGACAAGCATGGGGTACTGGGGACCTATTCTGCCCTGGAATCCCCACTTGAAGACAAGCATGGGGTACTGGGGGCCTATTCTGCCCTGGAATCTCTACTGGAAGACAAGCAAGGGGTACTGGGGACCTATTTGCCCTGGAACCACCATGTGTAAAGACACATACCTATGTGTAGGAGGGAGACAAACCTATGTGTAGGAGGGAGACATACCTATGTGTAGGAAGGATACATACCTATGTGTAGGAAGGAGACATACCTATGTGTAGGAGGGAGACATACCTATGTGTAGGAAGGAGACATACCTATGTGTAGGAGGGAGACATACCTATGTGTAGGAAGGAGACATACCTACGTGTAGGAGGGAGACATACCTATGTGTAGGAGGAAGACATACCTATGTGTAGGAAGGAGACATACCTATGTGTAGGAGGGAGACATACCTATGTGTAGGAGGGAGAGATACCTATGTGTAGGAGGGAGACATACCTATGTGTAGGAAGGAGACATACCTATGTGTAGGAGGGAGACATACCTATGTGTAGGAAGGAGACATACCTATGTGTAGGAGGGGGACATACCTATGTGTAGGAAGGAGACATACCTATGTGTAGGAGGAAGACATACCAATGTGTAGGAAGGAGACATACCTATGTGTAGGAGGAAGACATACCTATGTGTAGGAGGGAGACATACCTATGTGTAGGAAGGAGACATACCTATGTGTAGGAGGAAGACATACCCATGTGTAGGAGGGAGACATACCTATGTGTAGGAGGGAGACATACCTATGTGTAGGAAGGAGACATACCTATGTGTAGGAGGGAGACATACCTATGTGTAGGAAGGAGACATACCTATGTGTAGGAGGGAGACATACCTATGTTTAGGAAGGAGACATACCTATGTGTAGGAAGGAGACATACCTATGTGTAGGAAGGAGACATACCTATGTGTAGGAGGGAGACATACCTATGTGTAGGAAGGAGACATACCTATGTGTAGGAGGAAGACATACCTATGTGTAGGAGGGAGACATACCTATGTGTAGGAGGGAGACATACCTATGTGTAGGAAGGAGACATACCTATGTGTAGGAGGAAGACATACCTATGTGTAGGAAGGAGACATACCTATGTGTAGGAGGGAGACATACCTATGTGTAGGAAGGAGACATACCTATGTGTAGGAGGAAGACATACCTATGTGTAGGAGGGAGACATACCTATGTGTAGGAGGGAGACATACCTATGTGTAGGAAGGAGACATACCTATGTGTAGGAGGAAGACATACCTATGTGTAGGAGGGAGACATACCTATGTGTAGGAGGGAGACATACCTATGTGTAGGAAGGAGACATACCTATGTGTAGGAGGGAGACATACCTATGTGTAGGAAGGAGACATACCTATGTGTAGGAGGGAGACATACCTATGTTTAGGAAGGAGACATACCTATGTGTAGGAAGGAGACATACCTATGTGTAGGAAGGAGACATACCTATGTGTAGGAGGGAGACATACCTATGTGTAGGAAGGAGACATACCTATGTGTAGGAGGAAGACATACCTATGTGTAGGAGGGAGACATACCTATGTGTAGGAGGGAGACATACCTATGTGTAGGAAGGAGACATACCTATGTGTAGGAGGAAGACATACCTATGTGTAGGAGGGAGACATACCTATGTGTAGGAGGGAGACATACCTATGTGTAGGAAGGAGACATACCTATGTGTAGGAGGAAGACATACCTATGTGTAGGAGGGAGACATACCTATGTGTAGGAAGGAGACATACCTATGTGTAGGAGGGGGACATACCTATGTGTAGGAAGGAGACATACCTATGTGTAGGAAGGAGACATACCTATGTGTAGGAAGGAGACATACCTATGTGTAGGAGGGAGACATACCTATGTGTAGGAAGGAGACATACCTATGTGTAGGAAGGAGACATACCTATGTGTAGGAGGGAGACATACCTATGTGTAGGAAGGAGACATACCTATGTGTAGGAAGGAGACATACCTATGTGTAGGAAGGAGACAAACCTATGTGTAGGAGGGAGACATACCTATGTGTAGGAGGGAGACATACCTATGTGTAGGTAGGAGACATACCTATGTGTAGGAGGGAGACATACCTATGTGTAGGAAGGAGACATACCTATGTGTAGGAAGGAGACATACCTATGTGTAGGAGGGAGACATACCTATGTGTTGGAGGGAGACATACCTATGTGTAGGAAGGAGACATACCTATGTGTAGGAGGGAGACATACCTATGTGTAGGAAGGAGACATACCTATGTGTAGGAAGGGCAACATAACGATGATCAAAGCCCCGAAGAAAACTGCATAAAATTTGTCCTTGAAGTTAAACCCTGACTGCTGGTAATGTAGGTCAGTCAGCTGTTTCTCCATGTACGCTTTCATCCTCTCCCGTGTCCCCGCGTCCTTGGACAACAGTCCGTCTTTATAATATCTGAAATGTTATATAATCCACTATTTTAATAGCGTTATTGTTGTTCATGCTTTAATACAGCAAAGCACATTTATTTTACCATTACATTCTGAAATAGTGAATTGTGAATGGTCCCTGAGATGTAATAAATAAATTGCAAGCGATTCTGTGAAATGTGATTGGCTGAGCAAGCAATTTGTTTACCTTCATGTTTCCTTAAACTGGAATAATATAAGGCCATGCAACTTGCAAGCTGTCATCATTTTTCACATTTGGGTAAAATATGTTTAAAGCTTGTACATTTTATCAACATCCTTAAAGAGGCTGTACAAAATGTTGATATCTCACATAAGAAATAAACGACATGTGAGCCTCTCATGGTTTATTATCCCTGCAGTGTTTTATTGTACGATAAACAACTCCCAATCATGGTTTATTTCTTAAGTAAAAGTGGTGCACACTTTAGGTTGGTTGTTTGTTTGTTGTTTAACGCCGCACTCAACAATATTCCAGCTATATGACGGCAGTCTGTAAATAATCAAGTCTGGACCAGACAATCCAGTGATTGATATCATGAGCATCGATCCAAGCAATTTGGATTGATGACATGCATCAACCAAGTCGGCGAGCCTGACCACTCGATCCAGCGAGTCGCCTTTTTACGACAAGCATATTCACCTTTTACGGCAAGCATGGGTTGCTGAAGACCTATTCTACCCCGGAATCTTCACGGGTCTGCACACTTTAGGACTCCACATGGCTCACAACAGTTGCTCAAGGGAGGATTGTTTGACTCATTTTTACAGGGTATCTGTAGAGGACTTTAAATGTCACACATTGAACAACTTTGAGTATTATTGTTTAAATTATGGCGTGGACACATAAAAGTCAACATAGGGGTACTAGAGTGAGAGAATGAGTGGGGTTTTATGCCCCTTTTAGCAATATTCCAGCAATATCATGCAGAGGACGCCAGAAATGGGCTTCACACATTGTACCCATGTCGGGAATCGAACCCGGGTTTTCGGGGTGACAAGCGAACACTTTAACCACTAGACTACCCGACCACACCAGGTGTACTTGAATAAATCATCACTGATCCCTGAATGACCCTCCAACCTTTTGAAAATTAAACTCAACCGATGACATATAGCTCATAAATCTGCAAAAACCAAAGAGCCAGAGGATATTTCTCGGCAGACAAACTATTTTCAGCCTTAATCGTACTATGAGTATAATGAGTTTCTGAAAAAATAAAATGTCATACATGTATTATCGACTCATTTAATTGAATTGATAAATCAGTCATGTTTTAATCGGGGCGGTAGGATTAATGAAATTGTGTTGTGATGTTAATTTATATATGTTCGCTGTGAAATGAAAGAAATTAAACATAAACTAGACATGAATCTCCTCCACTGGGGTGATGGCTGGCATTTGCGTGTGATGGAGGTCATATGAATGTTCTAAACTTAAACATGTACACTCCAAAGAAATTGGAACATCCGATTTTTTCACAAGACCTGATTGAGACTCTTTCAAGCGTTACTTTTTTTGTGTTTTGTCCATTTTGTTGATAACCATCCTGTACCAGTGTTTAAACATGCCAAACTGTGCCAGAGTTAAAACATTCAAGATCGTCCCCAGTTTTCAAGCAATAATATTGATGTCTGAACAATAAAAATATCTGCAATTCCTGGGAATGACCAGATGACCCTTCCTTTGAAAACGTTTTTGTGGCCCTAGGACCTTCTCAGTTACCGGTATCTATTTCTTAACCAATTTTTTCTTGTTGGATGTTTTTCAGAAAGGTGAACCAAACCGAAATACAACATGTACAAAGAGTCAGTGGCTGTGGTCATTATTGAGACATGAAAAGGACACAATAGTAAGACACCCATGCGTCATGCAACAACATAGAACATCACTAGGCAGGTGCAGGAGGTAATACAGGGTGCACTGCAGACAGGAGGCGCTACATGCGTTCATCAGATCGAGGATTCATTCATCACATCAAGGATAACCACAGGTACTGGGTCCCCCTCCACAATATTACTTTAGTGCTATGACTGTCGTACGTATGGGCGTTACGCAAAGATCAGATTGTGGAACAGGACTCTGGGTTGAATGACCATTTTGCGTTGCACTGGTGTATCATGATCAGTGAGTTGTTTCAGAGCAGAATTAAACCATGTGGTATTTATGTTGTACATTCAAGCTTCATCAAATTCTCTAGAATGAAGTACTGTATTGTTTTATTCGTGCCCCATGACCAACTTCTAGACTAATCTTGAGTAATCTTCTTAAGCAACCCTACCAAGATCCAAAGTTTACATGACAGTCCATATTTTGAGGTGTATATAACAAATCTTCTTACAGAAAATGCAGCAGTGTAGAACAGGTATATTTTTTTCTGGTAACTATCATCAAAAATGTCTTAGTTTCATAGATGTTCAAACTACATCATTTCTCTACCACAAGATCACTGACAACAAATGTAATGCTTTGTGCATGTTTTAATAAGCACCCTCCTTTGTCAATTTAGCATCCAGTGTGCTTGTTACAACAAACATGAATATATTCTATAATATTCTAAAATATTGGCTCCAACTTCTAAGTAACGATCATGATGATGAAGGACAGGGATGGACCCTCAAACAATGGCACTGGTCAATAAACCTTGCAGATGCATTTGAAATTGATTTATTATTTTACTTTGACTGGATTATTTGATATGCTCTGATTAAGGTGTCACACCCCGATTTTCATAACCAGAAACCACATACGAAGCACACACACACACACACACAGACACACACACACAGACACACACACACACACACACACACACACATATGATATATGATATAGTCCCTGACTCTTTACCAAACTGTCCTGCCAACAATAACCACACATCTAATCTCCAAAATAGTGTATTACTGGTACACACAAAAATGTATAATTTTATGTAAATTAAAATATTAAAAAGGGAAGATTATCTTTGCTTTGAGCCAACAAAACTTTCACCCCAAAAAATTATACATATAAATTTTCGCGTGTGAATGTACACGATAACCAAATCAGGATGACACAATTTTCTCATCATAGAATGAAAAGGTAAAAATAAACGGTGTACAAAAAGTGTATTGTGCTTTCCAACTGAAATAACGAAAAACGTTGTTATACACTCTCCTGTTATCCCATACGTGGTGCCTATATATATCTAAGGGAACTACACACATTTTTCTAGTCAGTAACTCTACTACTAGTCTGATTTTTTCCATGCTTGTTGGGTGCAGGCAAAGCACAGTGTCACAACAACAAGTGATACCGTTACCTCGAAGATAAATTGAAAGATAATTAGAAGTTTGCCCCTGGAATCGCTTTCACAGAATACGAGGCGATAATAATGAAGAGAAGGAAATTTCAAGCCCACCTGTCCGCCATTCTGAAATAAACAAGGTCAAGGTAAAATACGACTTCCGGGTCCATTGGTAGGTTAGTCAAGCTCCTCACAGCGATAGCCCGTTCGCGGTGCTCTCTATACTGAGAGTGTAACGAAGGTGTCACGCGCTGGGAAGGAGCTTGTAGTCTCCTGTCTACATTTGCAACGCACCAATAGTAGAACCGGTGAGGAGCGCGTCTAAAAATAATAATTATTGAAATTGTAACGTGATGTTGACTATATGCTTGAGACCATGGTCTCTGACGATGAGAAACGTAATGACTCACGTGGTATTGATTCTGTCCAGTTTTAACAGCTGATCTCATTGTAAAATTTGGGAATTCTTTTAAGTCACCGTTATTCTTCATGTGTTTCATGTGCATACACACTGATAACAATGGGGCGAAATGTATTAACGTTAACCATAGGGCATGGGCGGATACAGAAGGGGGGGGGGGGGGGGGGGGGGGGGATGCGGGGATGTTGTTTCAAATTTCCCTTCTCATTATTCAAGGTAGACCCTTATTTCTCTCGATGAATCCGATGCAATAAAGTTATAAAATAATAATTTATGCAATCTCCTCCCTGAAATCAAGGATCGATGGTATTTTTATTTGAATTTGAGATATGGCTTGCCATACAATAATGTCAAACTCCCTAGGTGTGACTGCCGAAATTGACAATACTCTAGGAGTTAATTTAAGGCCTCGTTAAAAGGCAATTATGTCTGAGACAATATATCACCATACGTGTTGAGTGAGTGAGTATGGTTTTACGCCGCTTTTAGCACTAGTCCAGCAATATCACGGCGGGGGACACCAGAAATGGGCTTCACACATTTTACCCATGTCGGGAATCGAACCCGGGTCTTCTGCGTGACGAGCGAACGCTTTAACAACTAGGCTACCCGACCGCCCCCCACACGTGTTGAAATACTGATGGTTGCCGAATCACAGTAAATGAAGAATTAGTTTTGCCCATAGTGAAAAATTAGTCGTGAAGATTGCAACACAACTTCAAGTTCGTCAACAATGATAAACTGTGACGTCATTATGAAACGTGACGTCATTACACAATTACGTCATATTGACGAAAACAGTCCGCTTTCGCTCGATCTTTTTTTATACCTCAGAAAGTCCACTCGTTTTATCTAACGAAAACAAGATAACTTTGATTCACTCCGACGCAGTGGTGGCTTGGCATAACACCACTGCAACAGGTTATTTTCATACCACGTGACCAGACGTTTCCCTTGTTTGTAAACGTAACGCATATTCTAAAATCAGAACATACTGGTCTAAAGCAAGCTTTCAGTGCGCTTTACATATTGTTTTGCATATATATGATAGATATGCTACTACAACCGCGACGGTGAGGCGCATGACAATACAGCTTTATACATCAAAGTGGCCGTGTCGATATATGTCCTTTGGCATTCAGGGGGTTAATGCCGCTTTGAACAATATTCAAGTTACATCACGGCGTGTCAGCTTATAGGAAGAGGCATATACATCGTAAGACGATGAGCACATTGTTGCTAAATATCAGTCTTTGTTTTAAAGAATTTATTTTGAAATATAGATTATTATATCCACACCAATATATGGTAGTAAAAAGGCATTTACTTATATTATAAGAGAATAGACATGGTCACCTTGAGACCTCAAACATCTAGCGGTCGCGTCCGTTGTCTAGTGGTAGAGCGTCCGCCTGGACAGCGGAAGGTCCGGAGTTCGATCCCCGGCCGATCATACCAAAAGACGTTAAAAGATGGTACTTGTTGTTACCCTGTCTGGCGTTCGGCATTAAGGGGCTAAAACAAGGACTGGTCGGCTTGGAGTCAGTCTGTGTCTGAGTGGGTTATTCATGTTAAACTGCGGCATGGTATCTCAATGAGCTAGCACTACAAATCGGCATCAGTCCGGACTAGTACAAACAGCCACACACACACACACACACACACACGTGCATGCACGTCGCTATAAGAGCTATAATCTTCGAATCGACGTTAAACCTAATTTCACCTCACATCAAACAAGCAGCTGAAAGGGCCGTGTGGCATTAAATAGTTTTGTTAAATCAGGGTTTCTATATAAGTTAGGCTCCTTAGTTAACCAAAAGCAAAAGGGTTCTTCATGACATAAATAAAGACATGGCGGATGGATTACGTCGAGAAGATGGGTTTATAAACAATACGATGCAGCATTAGTCACATATGTGCATTCATCATCACGGTGAGTGAGTATTGTTTTACGCCGCTTTTAGCAATATCCCAGCAATACCACGGCGGGTGACACCAGAAATGGGCTTCACACTTTATACCCATGGGGGGAATCGAACCCGGGTCTTCAGCGTGACGAGCGAACACGATTACCACTAGGCTACCCTACATCTTCTGACCACATTAAGCGAGTGAGTGAACAGGATTTAACACCACCTTCTATAGTATTCCACTTTGTCACAGCGTATCAGCGTTTTATAGTGTGACCAAACTCCACTGCGACGAAAGTCGGACACTTTTACCTCTGTGGTGTGAGTGAGTGAGTTTGATTTTACGCCGCTTTTAGCAATATTCCAACATCACGGCTGGGAGGACATCCTTCTGTGGTGAAAACCGATACGATGCCGACGGGCCAAAATACAGTTTTAAAATCTTAGATACGAACCCACGGTCATCCCAAAGAGAACAAAATGTGAAAATAGATACAGTACCAGCACGAAATAATTCCATCGCAGCTACAACACGTCAGCTTGACGACCGTCCCTTCTACTGCTGAATGTATATTGCGGGTCTCTCTGTGCGCCTCTCTGTGCGAAAGTTTGTAAACATGACAAGATAAAGACAAGTTTGTCCGGGAGGCGCCTCGTGCAGACTGTGCCACCTGTATTGTTTGTCTGAATGTGTTGATATTTATTTTTATGTGTGGGGACTGGACGAACCGTGCACAACAAATAGTTCATGTTAGACAATGAAAGTTCCCTCTGCGTCTGTGGTTGGTTGGTTGGTTGGTTTGTTGTTTAACGCCGCACTCAGCAATATTCCAACTACATGTATATGACGGAGGTCTGTAAATAATCGAGTCTGGACCAGACAATCCAGTGATTAATATCATGAGCATCGATCCACGCAATTGGGATCGATGACATGCATCAACCAAGTCAGCGAGCCTGACCACCCGATCCCGTTTTAGTCGCCTTTTACGACAAGCATAGTCACCTTTTACGGCAAGCATGCCGAAGACCTATTCTACCCCGGAATCTTCACGGGTCCTGCGTCTGTGAATCTCACATGCAACATCCATATACCATCAGTATTATGATAAAATAATATGGCCTCTTGAACCAGACCCTTAATGGGTTCGTGTTTTCTTATTCCAAATGAATTTGTAGAGTGATTTGTTTGTTTGTTGTGTAACGTCGCACTCCGCAACATATTCCAGCCATGTGACGGCGGTCTGTAAATATTCGAGTCTGAACAACACAATCTAGTGATTGACATCATGAACGTCGATCTACAAAATTAGGATACGATGAGGTGAGGTGAAATGGGGTTTAACGTCGCGTTCAAGATTATTGCACTTATATATAGCGACGTGCATGCACGTGTGTGTGTGGCTGCTTGTACTAGGCCGGACTGATGCCTATTTATAGTGCTGGCACGTTGAGATGACCCACCCAGACACAGTATACTGACTCTGAGCCGACCAGTCCTTGTTTTAGCCCCTTAATGCCGAGCGTTAGACAGGGTAACAACAAGTACCATCTTTTTAACGAGTATTGTTACGAAGAAAAATTATCAAAGAAACCAAAGCCCTATTTGGTTCTTTTCTGGTATAACATTGTTGTATTCTAATTTAAACAATATATAAAACGTCTTTTTCTTGTTTCAATGTTATATTTTCTTTTTTGTTTAAATAGAAACTATAGTGTGAGATTTCAAACAGCAGGTTAAAATTAGATATATTGATTAACTTTCACATATGAAAATTAGGTAGTGATCGACATTCTGGAATCTATTTTAATAAACGAGTTTATTCGTGACCGACTCATGCCGTTCTGGGACAAGCCGAAAGATCGAGACGGTAGATTACGGAAAAATGCGAGTGATGACAAGGGCGCTTATCTCCCTTCGACTACCGGATATGCACTTTAACCGGATCACAATTACTTATTAAGTACACTTTACAAGCGTATCGAACAAATATGCTCCATTACTTATGTTCTTAGTATAATATTAGTGTGATAGTGATTAATATTAAAACATACAAACTCTGAATTTCAATATTTCGAATATATACATGTTAAAAATATATTTGTCCGTATGTTAATATTTCCAACATGGCTGCGCCCATGAGAGACATGTCAATGTCAAACCCGCTTGTCTAGAAAGGTATTGGCTCGAGGGAATTTGGTGATACAGTATAGACATGTACATGACAGTCACACTAATGTTATTCTCCCTTGTCTCTGTGATCTTGGCCCTTAAATATTCTTTCCTCACAGGACGTACAACAGTGGAAACATGCACCGGTTGTGATGCAGGCTTAGGCTTATTAGGCTAATTATCGCTATGTATGTGTACTGGAGGTTATAACTAAAACGACAGCGCTTGAGAACGACACAAATTGCAAGGGAAACAGCATCTCGACCTCCGGAAAACGACAACGTATCTTCATATCATCTTTGCAGGTCACTCAATGAGATAAACATGTTATCAGGTTATATATAGATGCAGGAAAAGACAAATATGCAATGGTACCTTACTTTAGCAGATTTCTGTGTGTCATCGAACTTCTCTCAAAGAATTATAACTGTATCAGGAAAGGAGACATATTTCCAACAATACGTTTTTTATTCATTCTTCTATCCAAGAGGTGAGGTGAAATTGGGTTTAACGTCGCGTCCAAGATTATTGCACTTACATAGCGACGTGCATGCACGTGTGTGTGTGGCTGCTTGTACTAGTTCATACTGATTCCGATTTGTGGTGCTAGCACACTGAGATACCATGTCACAGTTTAACATGAATACCCCACACAGACACAGTATACTGACTCCGAGCTGACCAGTCCTTGTTTTAGCCCCTTAATTTAATGCCGTGCCAGACAGGGTAACAACAAGTACCATCTTTTAACAGCTTTTGGTATGATGCGGCCTGGGACAGAACCCCGGACCTTCCACTCTCCGGGCGGACACTCTACCTCTATACCACGGAGGCAATCCTTCCACCCAAGAAGAATTCCAGTTAGAATCTTATGCCCGTTTTAGCCAACTTGGTGTCATTTGAATGTGGTGCTGTTTTAGCCTGTATGTAGCAGGGCGTGGAGTCAACCCACAGATGACATCTTTACATTGTCAGCTTGCTGACGGGGTTAACCCCTTTGGTCATGTGGACAAGGCGTCCGACCACGGTCAGAAGGTCTGTGGTTTGAATCCCATCACAAGACTCGGAAATTTTATGGCCGCTACATTGGCGCCCAACTTGGAGCTGAGCACGTTCATATTAAATTTGAGCAAAATAAGCCTCAGTACCCTACTATGAGGCCCCGGACGTGCCTTCTGTTGATGAGGGAGTATTTTGCAGGGCATGGAGTCATCCCACAGATGACATCCTTACCTTGTCAGCTTGCTGACGGGGTTAACCTCTTTGGTCATGTGGACGAGGCGTCCGACCTTGGTCAGAAGGTCCGTGGTTCAAATCCCATCACGAAAATATTATCGCCGTTACATGAATATATAGTATCTATTTCAACTGAATTCCCTTAACAACTCTATAGTCTGGAAGTTAATTTATGGTACTGACGTTTACTACAATATCTGAAAAACTATTGGACCTACTCCATTCAAAGTTGGTATGAGATTATTAAACAGTCATACATAACTGGATATTACATTTAAAGACAATCCGTGCATGAATAAAAAATCTGTTTATTTAGCTATCACTATATTTCATCAACAACCAGACCTGGTCGTCACGGGTGGAACGAGCATTCATTGTAACAGTCATGTGCATAATGCTACCCCTGCGTCACAAGGCCATATGACACAGTTGAACCAATCAACTCAACTCGAAAGGGTGCACGGGAATCACGCACGCACGAATACGGTGTTAGCGTTGGGCGTCTCAAGCAGTTATTTAATAATATTTATCCAATTATTTTTGCATTAGGAGCAAATTCACTCACGGCAGTTAGTGAACCCTAGAGGGCAGTGTTAGACAGCCGGGTAGAAGCCAGAGATTAGTGCCCCTTTAAATATTTTGTGTAGGGTAAAACCCCGAATGCTTGCTTGCTCGCTCGCTCGCTCGCTCGCTCGCTCGCTCACACTCACTCACTCACTCACTCACTCACTCACTCACTCACTCACTCACTCACTCACTCACTCACTCGCTCACTCGCACACACACACCCACCCACCTAAACTCACTCACTCACTCACTCACTGACTCCTAGTGTGCAATGTTTTCAGAATCTCTGCTCCACTGTACAAGATGTACTTGAGGATTCTCTTCAGACTTCACATCAGCAGTCCCCGACTTCACCCGTCATGGCGATACAGCAGTTCCTGGAGCAGCAGCAACGTCCGCGGCGCCTTCATCTCCTACTTCAAAGACAACCACGACCACGTCCATGTCCCCTCCTCCTCCGTCATCCCAAACAAGAAACAAGGCACCTACTTCACGAACGCTGGCATGATGCAGGTACACGCAGGCAGGAACTCCACCAAGATTTACCTACGATTCAAACAGTCATAACAAAATTTGTCATTTTGTTCAAAATTGATATTTACATAAATACAGAAACCTACGGTTATAACGAACTCAAAGGGACCACTAATATTTGTTTGTTATAACCGTAGTTCGTTACAAGCATATATACAGTATATATATACATCAAATGTTTGGCACTAAAAATAGTTTCGTTATATCCATCAGTTCATTATAAGCATGTTCATTATAAACATAGTTTCCCCCCTTAAATCAAGAGGTATTTCAACATGGCATCAAATGTAAAAATGTAACACACTCTCATTCTAAGTTCTGTTATCAGAGGGGCGGTCGGGTAGCCTAGTGGTTAAAGTGTTTGCTCGTCAAGCCGAAGACCCGGGTTCGATTCCCGACATGGGTACAATGTGTCCCCTGTCGAGATATTGCTGGAATATTGCCAAAAGCGGCGTAAAAACCATACTCACTCACTCTGTTATCAGAGTAATATGAGTCCCCTCTGCAAAGCACTAACATTAGTTTTTGTTTGCAATCAGTTGGAAATAATATGAATTGGGAACTATTTCATTTCAATTTGGGATTTATTACTGACATCTACTATATATGACTAGCTGACATATTCATGACATGACCAAAGGGTTTACAGGTTATTACACCACACCAGGGACCAGAGAACAGACATAAGCCCTTAGGGTTGATGGGTTATTAATTCACACCAGGGATAAGACAACAGAAAGCATGACGGGTTTATGGGTTAAAACCATACAATATGTCTTCTCAAAACTTGGCACATAGATAGGTCTAGTGGTGAACCGGTGCCTTTTGATATTTTGGGATTTTCGACTAAAATATTTTTCTAATTTCCATGGCAACAACTTTGACTGAGGCTTGAAATGGTAGTAGTGCTCATTTCTGGAGTAGATCTTGAAAAACATACAATATTTCTTCACCAAACTTGGCACATAGATAGGTCTAGTGGTGAACTGGTGCCTTTTGATATTTTTGGATTTTTTGCAAAAATATTTTTACCATTTCCATGGCAACAACTTTGACTGATGCTGGAAGTGGTGGTAGTGCTCGTTTCTGAAGCAGTGAAAACCATACAATATGTCTTCTCCAAACTTGGCACATACACAGATCTAGTGGTGAACTGGTGCCTGTTGATATATTGGGATTTTCTAAAAAGAAATTCTAGTTTCCATGGCAACAAAATATATATAAATATGATTAGTTGACATATTCATCACAAGTATTCCCCATTGAAGGGGATTTCGATGACTTTGTCCCTTTGTTTAAATACAGGTAAATATATTTAAAAGCTTGTAAACTTTAATATCATCCTTAAAGAGGCTGTACATAATGTTGATATATATTGTAATAAATAAACAACTCATGGCTTTTGTTTATCATACAATAAGACACTTCAGGGAGAATAAACAAACACCCCAAGTGGTATATTCTTCCTGCAGTGTTTCTTTGCACGATAAACCCCTCCTCGCCTTGTATTTCTTAAGCAAAGTACAATCCAAGCATTGTGTGAGAGCCTGCAAATTATCTGTCAGCATAATAGTGGCCCCTAATCATTGAGAAAAAGATTTTGGAAGTGACGAAGTAACGGCCATGTTTCTGAGATGAGGAAGACAAGGTGTTGTTTCAGTTCAAGCCGCTGTTCCTCGGCGCCGTGCAGCCAGGGAGTCGACTCGAGGGCCTTCACCGTGCGGTCAACTCACAGAAATGTATCCGCGTCGGGGGCAAGCACAACGACCTTGAGGATGTGGGTCATGACCTCACCCACCACACGTTCTTTGAGATGCTAGGAAGCTGGTCATTTGGAGATTACTTCAAGGTATGGCACTGTGAAGCAACCCATTCTTGGTCAGTGCAAGGAGTTTGTGCTGATGTGATACACCCATGGCGCCAGTGCATCAAGACGCTACCATTTACATCATTGATTTACTGTGATTTCACCTTGTAGTTATTTCATAGCAAAATGCAAGGATTTATCTCAGGGAAACTATTTAAATATATTCAGGTATTATTTTCTTGATTAAAACTGTTGTGTATCTATCTTTTTTAGGCAGCTGAGATTGCACGTCATTATACCCAATGGCGTGGACAATTGATCGTAATTTCTATAACAGGATTGTCTGGTTCCACATATTCAAACTTTACAATCAGTAGACCCGTGAAGATTCGGGTTAGGATAGGTCTTCAACAACCTATGCTTGCCGTAAAAGGCGACTATGCTTGTCGTAAGAGGCGTCTAACGGGATTGGGTGGTAAGACTCGCTGACTTGGTTGATTCATGTCATTGTATCCTAATTGCGTAGATCAATGCACAGGATGTCAATCACTTGATTGTGTGGTCCAGTTATTTACAGACTGCTGTCACATAGCTGGAATATTGCAGAGTGTGGCCTAATGCAAACATACAAACAAACATTACATTAAGTAATACGTTACCACTGTTATACCGAGGCTGTTGTCTCCCACAACTGCTGCTATAGCGAAATCTACCACAGAGATCTCAATTACCTCATGCAGCACGTGCGTAGCCACCTAGCTGCCATGTGACACCCTTCACTCTTGTCTCCTTCGTCTGCTTAGCAAGACGTGTTTTCTCCTGCTGAAGCGTTCCTTGAAGATTTGGTGATATTTATTATCGTTTATTCTCTAATAAACTGTGCTTTTATGGGGCGTTGCGGTAGCTACGCTTGGTTATAATTTTCCCGCCAAACGGAAAATTTTTCCCGCCCTTTTTTCTATATACTTGCGGGGTTCGCGTATGCACGTTGTGTTTTACGTTTCCCCTGTTCTTGTATGTTTTGGGGGTTAACATAACTTATTTCTTTAGTAAAAGTTATATGTGTATGTTATATGTTCACATTGCTCGTTTATTTTCTTGTGAAAATGTTCGTTTGTGAATCATTGTGGTGCGTGCGTTGTAACCATGTTTTGTTCTTTGTTTCTAGAAAACAATCAATGTCTGACATGGATATGTCCCCTGTCTCCACCCCCTCTACCCCTGCTCCTCGGAGTTGTGGGGTGTGCAGAAAGTTTTTGTCGACCCGGGATCCCCACGATCGTTGCCCGCGGTGCAGGGTTCCTTGCGAGGAAACCCGGTGCACCCTGTGCGAAGGTCTGGGACCTGCGGAGTTTGAGCGGTACCGGCTGTGCGCGCAGTCCGTTTCCACCCCTGTGGTGGCCGGTTCGTCCGGTCGGGGCCCCCGTGCGGGCACCTCCTTGTCAGCTGCGGCGGATCCCCTTGCGGCCCTCGGGCTGTCTGGGGCTTCCGTCGCCGCATTGTTGTCGCAAATTGTGGACTCCAAGCTGGCGGCCTTATCGCAAGATAGGCCGCTGGCTGTTCCGTCCCCGGCCTCTTCGGTGGCCGCGGGTTCGGATGCGGGGTCCACCGGTACGGCGCCGGCTGCCATGGTTACCGGTCCTTCCCCCGAACCGTTGCTTCCGCTATCGGTTAAGGACCGCGTGGCCATGGTGTATGACCTCTTCGAGGACATGCCAAAGCCCCTGCCGATACCGCGGGGTATCCACGGTTCCGTGGGTTCCTCCGAGGTATACAACGAGTCGTCCGACAAGGCTTTCCCAGCATCAACCTTGCTGCGCGGGATTAAGCCGTCTTTGGAGAAAGCCTTCACGGCTGCCTCCGGTCGGGGTCTCCCGTTACCTCCCCCGTCGTGGAGAAAAGGGTCTTTCCCAGTTCATGACCTTGCCTTTCCCGAGGCTGGTCCTTCTGCGGAAGCCCATGTGGAGCGTTTGGGGGATCCGTGCCCCGACGGTTGCCACGGTACCGCAAGGTACCCTGCAACAGCTGGACACCCTCGCTCGACACTCCATGCTGGCTATGTCTCACGGAGACACATACCTGGCTGCGGCGGCCAGTCTGGTCGAAGGTTCTCCCACGGACCGTGACCAGCGCATTTACAACTGCTTGCTCGGTTTGAATGCTTCCCTGGAGTACGTTGCCGGGGCTTCGGCCTTTGTTTCCGGCACGTGCCATTTTCTTCGGCGCCAGTCGTATCTGGTTGCTTCAGGGTTGGACGCTGCCAATCAGGAGGTGCTCCTTTCGCAGCCTTGGTCTGCTCGGACCCTGTTTAATAACAAGATCCCTGGGGTTCTGAAGGAACAACAGGCCGCTGTGTCTGCCGAGGCCTCTCGGCACACACTGGATCTTGTAGGGTCCTTGCATAGGCGCCTGGGTGCCGCTCCGAAGCGGAGCGCGCCCCAGGTTGCTGCGTCCGGCAGGCCTAAGGGGTCGGGTCCTTCTTCCTTCGGGAAGAAGCCCCGCTCTGAGGGCTCCGGTAAGGGTTCTCAGCAGCCCTTTCGCGGGAAGAAGGGGAACTGGGGGAAGCCCAAGTCGTCGACGGACGGCAAGGGCCCCTCCAGGTGACTCTCATTGGAGGGGTTCGTATGCCGACAGCGCCAACTTCGGTTGGCCCGTAGGCGAACCCGAGTCACACGGCCCTGGACAGTTGCGCCTGCCGCAGCCCGTCCGGCCCCCCTCTCTTTCCCCAGTGGGAGCCAGACTCCAGACTTACTGGGAGAATTGGGAACAAGTGTTCGACGACCCGTGGGTGGTCAACACGATTCGGTACGGCTATCGGCTCGATCTCAAAGCCCCGTCGGCAGGTTTCTATTCGGAAACCGATCTTCCCTTCCTCGCCGATGCCATCGGCAGGTTGGTGGAGAAGAGGGCAGTTCGGGAGTTAGCTCTACCAGAAATAACACCGGGGTTTTACTCCAGAATATTTCTCGTTCCCAAGAAGGACAGTGCCGAACTCAGAATGATTCACAACTTGAAATCGTTCAACGAGTTCTACCTGCGCAAGCCGCCCAAGTTCAGAATGTTGAGCTTGACGGACCTGAAAGCACTGATCATGCCGGCCGACTGGCTAGCTTCGATCGACCTGAAGGATGCTTATCTGCATGTTCCGATTCACTCGGATCATCACAGGTATCTCAGGTTTGTCTTTCAAGGCAGGCACTACGAGTGGGTTGTACTCCCATTCGGTCTTTCGTCCGCTCCCTGGCTGTTCACCCGGTTAACCACCCCCATAGTGGGGTTCCTCCACCGGAGGGGTGTCCGGTACTTCGCGTACCTGGACGACTCGCTAGTAGCAAATCGAATGTCGGACACCCTGTCACGCCATCTCGTTTTCGCACGTCGGCTCTTGGAGCAATTGGGGTGGATTGTCAATCTCCCCAAGAGCGAGTTAACCCCTTCTCAGAACTTGCAGTTCATCGGAGGTCGGTTCAACATGGTGTCCCATCGCCTATTTGTCCCCCCAGACCGGTGGCACAAAATTCAGGCGATGATTGCCAAAGTCTTAGCGGTGCAACAGACTGTTCACTTTTGGGAACAGCTGTTAGGGCTACTTGTATCAGCCCAGGACTGCACCGTACGGGGTCGTCTCCAACTCCGCCCGCTGCAACGGTTTTTAATCCAGTTGTTAGCAACGGAGGTGAACAGTGCGACCGTCGCCCTCCCGGATCGGCTCCGACCGCATCTGGAGTGGTGGACGGTCCCTTACAATGTCTTATCAGGAGTCTCTATGCGGCCCTACCGGGCCACGTTGAACCTGTATACAGACGCCTCTCTAGTGGGCTGGGGCGCCCATCTAGAGGGGGAGGTGAGCTCGGGGCTGTGGTGCGTAGACGAACTAGGTCTTCACATCAATTGTCTCGAGTTCAAGGCAGTGATCAACGCAGTCAATCACTGGAAGCATCGTCTCGTCGACGCCCGGCTCATGCTGGCGACCGACAACACGACGGTAGTGTCCTATGTGAACAAACTGGGGGGAACCCACAGTCACTCGCTGCTCGATCTCACGTTCGAGTTTTACGCTCTGGTGGACAGTGTCCCGTGCCAGATACGCGCCCGTCACATCCCAGGTGTGCGGAACGTACTGGCCGATGCTCTATCGAGGCCTCGGGATCCGAGCCCCACAGAGTGGATGCTGAACCCAGTAGTGTTTCAGTGGCTGTGCGAACGTTTGGGTCGTCCGATGGTCGACCTGTTCGCAACGCGGTTCAACAATCAACTCCCGTTGTTTGTATCACCAGTCCCGGACCCGAGGGCCATCGATCACGATGCTCTCGCGTTAGACTGGACGGGCTTGGACGCTTATGCTTACCCGCCGACAGCGTTGATACCACACATTCTAAGCCGGCTTCGAGGAGTTCGCTGTCGAATGTTACTGATCGCACCCATGTGGCCGAACAGATCGTGGTACCCCGACTTGCTGACCCAGGTCACGCAGTCGCCACTCCCACTGCCTGTGAGACCGGATCTCTTGATCCACCCTCACACCCGTCAGCTTCATCCAAATGCAGGGCAGTTCAATCTGCACGCGTGGATGTTGTCACCGAGCGTCTGAGGAGTAAAGGTTTTTCTCGCCGGGCGTCTTGGGCATACGTTAGTATGCATCGTGATTCTACCCAGAAGGTGTATAATGCACGTTGGGTTATTTTCACGAAGTGGTGTTGTAAACATCACATTCATTCGCCAGATAAGGTATCTGTGCAGGATATTGCTCGTTTCATGTCTCACTTGCGAGAGACCCAGAAACTCTCCGGGGGTTCCATTGCCAACTATGTCTCGTCCATTGCTACGGTACGGGACGTTGCTATGGGTACCAGTCTCTCCAAAGAGCCGGTGATACGGGGTATTATCAAGGGTTTCAAACAGCACGATCTTAAGAAGGGCCGCCTTCGGGCACCGGCCTGGGATCTTTCCCTAGTGTTGCAATCACTTACGGAAGCTCCGTATGAACCCTTGCATAGTGCTTCGTTCCGGCATGTGACTTGGAAAACAGCATTTCTCCTCTCCTTTGCCACGGCGGCACGTGTATCCGAAATTCATGCACTCGATGTCGCCAAGGTACGATTCGATAGGGGTGACGAAGGAGCGGTCCGCCTGGGCCTGCTCATGGGCTTCGTCGCCAAGAATCAGAGAGTCGGGCAAGCGGAGAGAGAATTCACTGTAAGATCACTCAAAGAAATCTTACATCCTGCTGATACTGAGGACAGAGCGCTGTGTCCGGTTAGGGCCCTTAAGTATTATCTTAAGGCTTCGAATGAACGCAGACAAGGGCGTGACCGTCTGTTCATATCGTGTAACCCTAATCGCACGGTTGACATAACTCGCAACTCGATTGCGTTGTGGCTTCGTTCTGTCATCAATCTGGCGTACCGGTCTCGGGGGTTACCGGTAGCGGGGTCAAACCCGCACGAGATCAGGGCGCTAGCGGCAACATTTGCCCTACACTCGAATATCTCTGTTCACAGAATATTACGAGGTTGTTACTGGCGTTCTGACTCGGTTTTTGCCAATCATTACCTCAGAAAGGTTTCTGATGAAGACGTGGAGGGGGTGCACCGTCTTGGGCCGCTGATCGCGGCACAAGCGGTCATCTAGGGGGTGTGTCCAGCGCAATTTCAAACTCCGCAGTCGTCAGTCCTTGCACGGTGGTCAATCTGGGTCGTCTCCAATGTTCCCACGCCGTGGGTACAGGAGTGGGGGTCCTGCAAACCAGCGCACTCACACCAGAGGTGAGGCGGCTTTTTGTGTGTTTTGTCCTTATTTGTATTTTGACAATTATGCATTTAATTGTCTGTCGTGTATTCCAACCTTGCGATACATGCTTACGAATACTGGAATTAGGTCACGCGCCTAATGCATACTTTCAGTAGGCTTGCTCTGGGATATACGGTCTGAAGGAAATTAATTTCCCTCTTTTCGACTGTTTAACCTGATCTAAGATTTAGCTCACGCGGATACAGTGTTCTCATCCGCTGCGGCGATGAAATACCTATCCAGTGGGGCCGTTTGGAGTCACCAATCGTTTTGGCAATGACGATTGAGCCTTACGGTATGCGCATGACAGTGCTTTGGTATTCCTATAGGGTAACGCCTAGCTAGGTGCATGCGCATCGAGTGCTTCCGCCTTGGTGTTTACTTCCGCTGGTCGGAAGGAACGCTAGCAGTCAGGATTCGGGTTGTAGGTGCTCCCCACCGCCTACTGTGGTAGTCAGCCTCGGTATAACAGTGGTAACGTATTACTTAATGTAATTTGTAGAATTTTCCTATTCGGAATATTCTATAAGTAATACGTTACCACTGGGCTGCTGCCCGCCCGTCCGTCCCCCGAGCACTTGCTCTCGCAGGAGACAAGAGTGAAGGGTGTCACATGGCAGCTAGGTGGCTACGCACGTGCTGCATGAGGTAATTGAGATCTCTGTGGTAGATTTCGCTATAGCAGCAGTTGTGGGAGACAACAGCCTCGGTATAACAGTGGTAACGTATTACTTATAGAATATTCCGAATAGGAAAATTCTACAAAATTAGCCAGCTTCATCAGTTATTACTTAACAGAACATCTTCACTCATTCAGGGCATTGGGGCAGTGGGTAAGTGGATGGATCGACACATTGGGTACCAGGGTCCAGTGTGTGAAGCCCTTTCTTGGTGTCTCCCCTCCATGAGCTGGAATATTGTTTAAAGCATCATCAAACCCTGCTCTCTTGCACACAGTCCTAAAAGTTGTTTTTTATTTGTTTTCTTAATCAATGAACCTTGGACCATAAATCTTGGATATCTTTATTGAAACATTGATTTGATTGCATGTTTGCAGCAAGAATCCTGCCAGATGGCGCTGGAGCTGTTGACGCAGGTGTACAACCTTCCGTTAGACAGACTGTACTTCACCTACTTCGGAGGAGACGAGCTCTTGGGACTAGCGCCAGATGTGGAGTGCAGGGACATGTGGCTGGCACTGGGGTCAGGGGTCTTTATTTACACATTGTGGAACACCCTGTAGATTCCTGTTTAGTGTAGGCCCCCAGCAACCTATGCTTGTTGTTAGAGGCGACTTAACCTTTAGCCTTTAATGGGTTCGCCTGCAGCTTTAGTGGATTGGGTGGTCAGGTTCGGTGATTTGGTAGATCATGTTTCATCATTCCCCAACAGCGTCTGACGTTGCTCATGATATTAATCACTGGTTTGTCTGGTCGAGACTCCATTTTCTTTTTACAGGTGGTCATTATATGCCTGAAAAGGTTCCAACTGTGGTAATGAATAACAAACAAACATCTTGTTTAATGATCAACGGAGAAACACTTTTGATTGTATGTGTTACTGGGGTCATATTAATCAACATATCATACTACCAATCCAGTCTGTGTTTAATTTACGAAAATGAAAATATGTTTGAACCAACACAGAAACTACTAGGAGACTGTAATACTTGTAACTGTTTAAAAATTCCTGAGATATGTTTCCAAAAATCATAGAAAGCAATGCAAAGTTCTTTTATTCCTTCATGTGCTTTAGTGTAGCCGAGTGGTTAAAGCGTTTGCCCGTCACGCCGAAGACCCTGGTTCGATTCCCGACATGGGTACAATGTGTGAAGCCCATTTCTGGTGTCCCCTGCCGTGATATTGCTGGAATATTGCTAAAAGCGGCGTAAAACCATACTCACTCACTCATGTGTGTTCCACGTTCCCTCAGTTTTGTTTGTACATTGTTTAAAGAGAGTCAGATATTTACACAACACCCTAATGGTAACATTCTATTCAGCAACTAAAATATGAAGCTTCTTGGTCCAATGACTGTCGCATTCCTTGTAAAATTAGTGCCCCATCTCATTATAATCAGATCTTTGTGCTTGCTGCCGCTACACACAAAGATCATTGTCATTTCATTGGGTGGTCAAAGTGTGCAAGGGGTCATTCTGATGTGACCCATAATGGAATGTCCTCAGACATGTCCTTAGCAGTAGCAAGAACTAAGATCTGATTTGAAGGAGGTTGAATTAGTGCCATGTTGTATTTGTCCTTGTGTATGCCAACTAACTCTTGTTTCATTAATTTTGCCATAACTGCTTTTTTTCCCACACTTATCTCATAGCTCCCCTCGTTTGATAAGATGATTTACTGTAGCGATCCTAAATGAAGAGGAAAATGCTATTACCGTATTCGACGTAATAAGCGCCCCGCTCTAATAAGCGCCCACTTCGATATTTGCTAATATATTGGCTAGTGAACAATCCCAATTAGCACCCCTTCCGACCCCTAATTGCATATAATACGCACCGCTTCCTTCCCCTATTCACGTATCATACGCCCTCGTGTGTTATATGCACCTTTATTATTGGCAATTAAAATTCTGGAAAAAAATATATCTGTCATACATAAACATTTAAGGCTGTCAGCATAAACCACAAAATTTATCTTTCAACTTTTTTATTACGTCGAATACGGTAATAAACGTGATAATGATTCATCTTCATGGTATTCTTTCTGAAGATCTTAGCATTATTGAGAGGAAACATATAGAGGTTAATTTTTTACTAATTTCTATTTCTTCCAAGACATCGTCCTGAGACCCCAATATCTTGCAAGTACCGTATTTACTCTATTAGACGCCTCCGTTCCACATGGGCCTCTAACTAGTCTGTCTTACAGACCCTGATACAAATATATATCAAATACAGCCCATGCAAGTCTATAATGTTTGGCAAGTCTAGATCACTGCAGTATCTGAAAATGAAGAGAGTCACTGGGCTCCTTTTTATTATATTTTTATTAAGATAACTGAACAACTGTTTTTTTTATGTACGATATGTTCATTTCAGAGACTAGATTTTAGTCTAGCCTCTAACTAACACTTGGTCATATGCTCTGTCCAAAATATAGAAGTCGGGTCTCTGTTATATCCCAGGTCCATCATTTGATGAAATTATTGATCCCTGTCACATTAACTTACAGTAAGTTATTCCCTTTTAATGATAAACCCTGTAAATGTAACCTTTGGGTGACTGGAATTCTGCATTGAGTAAGGCTAAAAAAGATAATAGTTTTGGTTCTCAGGCACCACCTGCATCATCATAAAGTCTGCCACACACTTTGTTTTTATTTCCATTTTCAAAAAAACATGAAAATCCTAAAAACACAATGCACAAAAAAAATTGAAAATGGAAACAAAAACGAAACATGCAATGAACCTTATGATGATGTGGGCAGTGCCTGAGAACCAAGACTATTATTTTTTTAGCCTAAGGTAGTCAGTTGCCACACTGCCAACATTACCAGAATAGATGCTGGCCTTTAACAGATGTGGAGCCAACATCTTGCGTAAAAGTACTTAACGCCAGGGTGACTAATAGAGGAAATACGGTACACTGGTATTACAGTCTGTTTCCATGCACTGATATGACTGAATGATAAGGCTGTATCAACTTCTGTCTTCCAGTGTTCCAGCCAATCGGGTGCTTCCTTTTGGGATGAAGGACAACTTCTGGGACATGGGCGAGACGGGGCCATGCGGGCCGTGCACTGAGATACACTTCGACCACGTTGGAAGTCGCACCTCGTCTCACCTCGTCAACGCCGACTCCCCAGAAGTGGTAGAGATCTGGAACCTGGTCTTCATGCAATATAACAGGTACAGGGTCGACCTTCCTTAATCATGTCAGACCTGCAGTGGGGGCGGAGGGGTACAGGGTCGACCTTCCTTAATCATGTCAGACCTGCAGTGGGGGCGGAGGAGTACAAGGTCGACCTGCCTTAATCATGTCAGACCTGCAGTGGGGGCGCTGGGGTACAGGGTCGACCTGCCTCAATCATGTGAGACCTGCAGTGGGGGCGGAGGAGTACAGGGTCGACCTGCCATAATCATGTCAGACCTGCAGTGGGGGCGGAGGTGTACAGGGTGGACCTGCCTTAATCATGTGAGACCTACAGTGGGGGCGGAGGAGTACAGGGTCGACCTGCCATAATCATGTCAGACCTGCATTGGGGGCGTTGGGGTACAGGGTCGACCTGCCATAATCATGTCAGACTTGCAGTGGGGGCGGTGGGGTACAAGATCGACCTGCCTTAATCATGTCAGACCTGCAGTGGGGGCGCTGGGGTACAGGGTCGACCTGCCTCAATCATGTGAGACCTGCAGTGGGGGGGGAGGAGTACAGGGTCGACCTGCCATAATCATGTCAGACCTGCAGTGGGGGCGGAGGTGTACAGGGTGGACCTGCCTTAATCATGTGAGACCTACAGTGGGGGCGGAGGAGTACAGGGTCGACCTGCCATAATCATGTCAGACCTGCATTGGGGGCGTTGGGGTACAGGGTCGACCTGCCATAATCATGTCAGACTTGCAGTGGGGGCGGTGGGGTACAAGATCGACCTGCCTTTATCATGTGAGACCTGCAGTGGGGGCGGAGGGGTACAAGGTCGAGCTGCCTTAATCATGTCAGACCTGAAGTGGGGGCAGAGGGGTACAGGGTCGACCTGCCTTAATCATGTCAGACCTGCAGTGGGGGCGGAGGAGTACAGGGTCGACCTGCCATAATCATGTCAGACCTGCAGTGGGGGCAGAGGTGTACAGGGTCGACCTGCCTTAATCATGTGAGACCTACAGTGGGGGCGGAGGAGTACAGGGTCGACCTGCCTCAATCATGTGAGACCTGCAGTGGGGGCGAAGGGGTACAAGATCGACCTGCCTTTATCATGTCAGACCTGCAGTGGGGGCGGAGGGGTACAAGGTCGACCTGACTTAATCATGTGAGACCTGCAGTGGGGGTGGAGGGGTACAAGGTCGACCTTCCTTAATCATGTCAGACCTGCAGTGGGGGCGAAGGGGTACAGGGTCGACCTGCACAATCATGTCAGACCTGCAGTGGGGGCAGAGGGGTACAGGGTGGACCTGCCTCAATCATGTCAGACCTGCAGTGATGGCAGAGGGGTACAGGGTTGACCTGCCTCAATCATGTCAGACCTGCAGTGGGGGCAGAGGGGTACAGGGTCGACCTGCCTCAATCATGTCAGACCTGCGGTGGGGTACAGGGCCAACCTGCCTCAATCATGTCAGACCTGCAGTCGGGGCGGAGGGGTACAGGGTCGACCTGCCTCAATCATGTCACAATGTCAATTTTATAGTGCTAGCCCACTGAGATACTATGCCGCAGCTTAACATGAATACCCCACTAAGACAAAGTATACTGACTCCGAGCCGACCAGTCTTTGTTTTAACCCCTTAATGCAGAGCGTCAGGCAGGGTAACAACAAGTACCATCTTTTATCATCTTTTGGTTACACCCAACCTTCCGATCTGCGGGCGGACGCTCTACCACTAGACAGCGGAAGTGATCGCCCATGCCATTAAAATATATTAGAAACCTGTAACAGGCTGATATAATAATACAACACTAAGATACTAAGGTCTGAGAATGATTTAATATCAATTCCACAGAAAACATGACAGAAGTCTGGAGCTGCTTCCGAGTCAGCATGTTGACACTGGGATGGGTCTTGAGAGGATGACGGCTGTGTTACAGGGGTCAAGGTCAAACTATGACACTGACCTTTTCCAGCCTTTATTCAGGAGAATACACAAGGTAGGTCAAGGTCGATTATTTACAAGATGCTGTCAACTTGAATATTGCTGTCAGTTAAACAAAGACTCAGATGGATCTGACAAGATTCAAAGGGTTTCACAGCAGACTTGATTCATTTTCTAAGATTTAAGATTAACCTTGTGTTTTATTAGAGCTGGGTTTAAATACAATCTGTAATGACCTGGGGAGTAAGTTGAACAGGTCTTACTGATGGGCTCTTCCACCTAATTGTCTGCACCCTTACGTCAAGGGACACATTTATGTTTTGAACATAATACAATACCACCAAAATGGGAACTTCATTGTTTAAATAGGTCACATTTCATGATCCGTTCAGTGTGTTGTTATCTGTATTCCCATGTGGCAATAGGTAGGATTTAAATTTAAGTTTTTTTATTTATTTGCTTCAATTTTACCATGTGATTCGAAACATTCCTCAAGTGCGTTGTGAGGCAGAACTAACACATGTAAACATAGCCGAAGTTTGGTATCGCTGGTTATTGTGACTTGAGGTGTTTTCTGTCATACAAGTTGTAACTTTGTTTCCGCCACTAATGTTGGCAGACTGCAGCAACTGGAAGCCATGAAAATAGTGTGCTTACCCAGTTGGTTGCGCTACATGATACCGTAAACCATGAATCGAAGGCGTGGGGTGTGATATTGCATCGCCGTAGGACGAACATGGCGGAGGAAGAGAGTGAGTGAGTGAGTATGGTTTTACGTCTCTTTTAGCAATATTCCAGCAATATCACGGCGGGGGACACCAGAAATGGGCTTCACACATTGTACCCATGTCGGGAATCGAACCCGGGTCTTTGGCGTGACGAGCGAACGCTTTAACCACTAGGCTACCCGACCACCCCCGGAGGAAGAGAAACAGTGGCTGTTTTGTTTGACTGGTGTGTATTGCTAAATGCCGTAGGCTGAGCAACAGGTGCACATGTTGTTATGAAACTGCTCAAGGCTTGCTCATGCCAGTGTCCAATCTCATTAAAATCAGATCTTAGTTCCCGCTATCGCTATACAAAGATCTCAGGACATCCCATTAGGGGTCACGTCAGAATGACCTTTCATCTGACCAATCAAAGCATCGCTTACCAGATCATGAAAGTGACATTCGGAATGTGTTTTCTAATCATGAAACCTCGTAAACGTGAAAACGGGGTATTCCGAATGACAGTTACAGCCCGTACGACTGATTCCGTCAAAATTATCATCTGTTTCTTGCTTCCGTGGGATTAACATTTGAACGGAGGAGGCGTTGCACAGTACGTGGGAAGGACTGCCATACAATCGCAACCATATATTAGACATTCCGGAATGTTCGTTTGTTCAGTTTTCAAAATTTTAATCGAGAACTGTGTCAACATATTTTTCAAGCTTAGTCTGAAATGGAAGTCGCCAAGTTGAAATGAGTGCTGTAAAGCTCGAAAAAGCTGCTTTCTCATTGGTTGATATGGACTTCTTGTTATTCGTTTCAGTGGTCGGTCAAAGTTCGCGAAAGGTCGTTCTGACGTGACCCGTAATGGGATGTCCTCAGATCTTTGTTTTAGCGGCAGCGAGAACTTAGATCTGATTTTAATGAGATTGGAGACAGCCATAGGGCACTAACAGACAATTTTGTGACTGGACACATTGGTTTGAATATGTTCAGGTTTATCACCTGTGGCATGAGACATGGTTGACATCATCTTGCCATTATTCTTTCCCGGTAAAAGTATTCAAATTTTCGACAAGTTTCACCAAATTTCACCGAAAATTGATGTGGATCTGCCATCCTGCTTGATGTAATGAAAGAACGATGTTACCAAGGATATGTTAGATCACTAGGGAGGTAATTTGAACAGCGCCATGACGTCAGTCCGTACACAAAAAGTGTACTTTATCACAGGCTAAGTACAGTCAGAGCCTTTGATCTTTAGTGAAATTGCAATTTGAATCTGCGGTTCAGGTGACTGGTGCTCCAGCCTATCAAGGATTGACCGGCGCGTCTGACCACCATCGGACTGACCAGGCGTATCGGATCTTGGCTGACCATGCCAGGATGATGTCTGTAGCAATAGCGGACGGTCTGCTGCCAGGCCGAGACGGACTGCAGTAAGTTAACACAGGGAGATTCCTGGTTAGAATAGGTCCCCAGTCACAGATGCTTGTGGGGGGCACGGGTGGCCCAGTCGTCTAAGGCGCCGCGATTCGCTGTGCAGAGTTTCGTCCCTTTGGCACGCCAGAAACCTATGATTGTGGGTTCGAATCCCGGTTCGCCACGATTATGTTTCTAGGTTTGTCAGCAGCATACCCGTGCTCGTGGGTTTCACCGAAGTGGTAAACGTCTGAGACCTGCATCACTTCGGGCTTTCCTCCTACATTAAGCTGACATGCCGTGATATAACTGGAATACTGTTAAAAGCGGCGTTAAACCAAACTCACTCACTCACTCACTCACTCACTCACTCACTCACTCACTTGAAGCAAATGCAAGTGATAAGAGAGGTGGAATCTGATTGGTCAATAGGAGGACAAAGAAGGGATATAACTCATAATAGCAGCTGGTGGCGCTACGATCGAGCCCAGAAAGTCCAGCCTAGTTCCAGCCTAGTTTACAGTCAGTTTACTCCCTTGTCTCAGGAAGATGGGTTAGAATAGGTCCCCAGTCACTGATGCTTGCTGTAGGATTAAAGGGATTGGTTGGTCAGGTGACCTGGTTGTTATGAGGTCGGACGCTGCTCGTAGTATCAATCTCAGGTTTGTCAGGTCAGGATTTCATTATTTAGAGGACATTGTGATACAGCTGGAATATTGTTGACTGGTGTGTTAAACAGCAAACAATGTCACGATATGCCGTCCTCACTTATTTATGCATATCATAATACTTGAGTGACTATACAATAATTATCACAATGCCTACAATTTGTCCCCATCAGCCTATGCTGACCATAAGGCTAAAAAAAGTAATACCGTATTTGACGTAATAAGCGCCCCGCTCTAATAAGCGCCCACGGTGACATTTGCTTAGATATTGGCTAGTGAACAATCCCAATTAGCACCCCTTCCGATTGATCAATGTACACAAGACTTATTTATTCGCGTATAAAAAGCACTCATGGGTTATATGCACCCTTAATTATGGGTAATTGAATTATGGAAAAATATATCTGTCGTACATAAATATTTCAGCATAAATAACGATATTTATCTTTCAACTCAGTTTTTTTCACCTTAATAATATTCAAGTAAGACCCCCTATTTCTAATTTTGAGAGCGCCCTGGGCGCCTATTACGTCAAATACAGTAGTCTTGGTTCTTAGGCACGGCCCGCATCATCATAAAGTCTGCTGCACGTTTCGCTTTTATTTCCATTTTCAAAATTTAAAAAAAAATCCTATTATAAATACTTAATACTATGCGATCCATATAGCATGCAGTTACTTCCCTTTGGGATCACTGAAAATAAACATAAAATACTGTTTGTAAGAGTGACGGTTGGGTAGCCTAGTGGTTAAGCTTTCGCTCGTCACGCCGTAGACCCGGGTTCGAATCCCGACATGGGTACAATGTGTGAAGCCCATTTCTGGTGTCCCCCGCCGTGATATTGCTGGAATATTGCTAAAAGAGACGTAAAACCATACTCACTCACTCACTGTTTGTAAGTTTGCTTTAACAGACAGAGATCGAAACCATCAGGTTAGTTCACTAATGAGCATATAGTAAAACCCTTAAAAGGGCCAAATTTCTACTAGTCCTTATGATACATTAGCTATTGTGAAGTTTGGCAAGACTATAGGACGAGTGCCAATTTCTACGGCTGACAGAGCATAATGTGCATTTCAGGCATAAACTTCGCTTGATAATTCACCGAGCTATCAGTGAGTTGGAAGTGACATTTAGGACCGCAGAGACAGAAAGTGGCAACATGCTGGGAGATTTGTCTCAGGACGTCGTGGAATCACTGGTGAGATCCTCTCTGTATATCATGATATTTGGAATAACTTGATTAAGTTGATAAGTCAGTTTTATAATATTACTGCCAGCAGACATGTCACATTCATACTTTTGAGAGTTGGAAATTTAACCTCTAGCCTGCTGAATTGTTTTCACACTCCCTACCTCTGCCTTCTGGTTAAAGCGTTCAGTCGTCGCCCTGAAGACCTGGGTTCGATTCCCGACATGGGTACAATGTGTGAAGCCCATTTCTGGTGTACCCCGCCGAGATATTGCTGGAATATTGCTAAAAGCGGCGTAAAACAAAACTCACTCACTCACTATGTAAAAACTATCACTGTACTTTAATATGTAACACCTGCTTTTATGGTGAAACTATTGTTCACTTTTTTTTATTCTTTATGTGCTGTTTTAGGGAGAGACATACCCTGAGTTGGCCAGGAAGTCCACTAAAGTAAGTGACCTATGAATAGGTCTTCAGCAACCCATGCTTGCCATAACAGGCAACTATGCTTGTCGTAAGAGGCGACTTACGGGATCAGGTGGTCAGGCTCGCTGACTTGGTTGATTCATGTCATTGTATCCCAATTGCGTAAATCGATGCTCATGATATCAATCACTGGATTGTCTGGTCCAGACTTGATTATTTACAGACTGTCGTCATATAGCTGGAATATTGCTGATGTATATTTTAAGAGTTTTCACTCTGTACAGAGGATGTGAATGAAGCAATTAGTTGTTATATTTTGTGAGATATTTACCGATTTTTTGTGTCATATGTGAGGTGCCCCCCTTAATCCCCTATTGTCTTACCAATCGCCTGTCATCTACCAATTGTCTATTTCATGCGGTTTCCCTTTTTCAAATTCAGTTTTGGTCAATCATTTGTGATAAGTTTGCCCTAAAGTATTAAAATCTCCAAAGTGGCTATGTTGACTTTACTTGCCCTTTAAAAGGGCTACACAACATTACTTCATGGGCATATATAGGCTAGGTTTATTTAATAATAATAATAATAATATGCATATTTATAATGCACCAAATTCACACCCTAAGGGGGCCACGGTGGCCCAGTTGTCTAAGGCGTGATTCGCTGTGCAGAGTTGCGTCCCTTGGGCACGCCAGAAACCTATGATTGTGGGTTCGAATCCCGGTTCGCCCTGATTGTGTTTCTAGGTTTGTCAGCACCATACTCGAGCTCGTGGGTTTCATCGATGTGGTAAACTTCTGAGATTCGCATCACTTCGGGCTTTCCTCCCACATTAAGCTGACACGCCGTGATATAACTGGAATACTGTTAAAAGCGGCGGTAAACCCAACTCACTCACTCACTGACTCACACACTAAGGTATTCTCAAAGCACTACATTTTTACCCCAGACAATGGATCAGTGTGCGCTAGATTTTTATTCTCAACTCCCTGGGTAGTATACAACCCAAGCTGCCTATAAGGCGCTGGGTTAACAGTCACATTCCCCTTCCTCCTACCAGGTACCCATTCTCTACTGGGTGAACAGGCACATTTCAAACAAACCCACTTGTCTAAGAGGACCACATGTTACATGACCGAAGCCCTAGAAACTCTCAGGAGGCAAGATGCTGAATGTCCCCCATCCATCTGATGGGTAATGTTTCGAGAGGTTTCAGGTGATATTGCTTGCTAGACACACCAGAGACAAGAAATAGAATCATCTTCATGTTTTCTTGATTATTTTGATTGTGTATTTTTGGGAGACACACATTGGATCAGTGTCCAAAATAACTGCTTGCCCGTCTGCCCATGGCTGGTAACTTTTCTGTCAGGATGCATGAAATTTTCCTCAACCTGCCCAACTGTCTCGCACTCCTTGTAGTTTCTTAAGTAATTGTTTGCATCATTTCTACTGAATCAAGACGTGATTTGTCTTTTGTAACTTTGAAGATGGGCAGGCAACTCTTATGGGTCACTGCCCGACTTTCTTGTTGGGTTTTAGAATTATTTCACTGGATGACATTGTACAAAACAACCTTAGCGCCATGCCTGTCGCAAGTCTGTGTTAAGGTATGCGTGTTACGATCACCTTAGTGCTACGCTTGTCGTAAGTCTGTGTTAAGGTATGCGTGTTACCATCACCTTAGCGCTACGCTTGTCGTAAGTCTGTGTTAAGGTATGCGTGTTACCATCACCTTAGTGCTACGCTTGTCGTAAGTCTGTGTTAAGGTATGCGTGTTACCATCACCTTAGCGCTACGCTTGTCGTAAGTCTGTGTTAAGGTATGCGTGTTACCATCACCTTAGTGCTACGCTTGTCGTAAGTCTGTGTTAAGGTATGCGTGTTACCATCACCTTAGTGCTACGCTTGTCGTAAGTCTGTGTTAAGGTATGCGTGTTACCATCACCTTAGTGCTACGACTGTCGTAAGTCTGTGTTAAGGTATGCATGTTACCATCACCTTAGTGCTACGCTTGTCGCAAGTCTGTGTTAAGGTATGCGTGTTACGATCACCTTAGCGCTACGCTTGTCGCAAGTCTGTGTTAAGGTATGCGTGTTACGATCACCTTAGTGCTACGCTTGTCGCAAGTCTGTGTTAAGGTATGCGTGTTACGATCACCTTAGTGCTACGCTTGTCGCAAGTCTGTGTTAAGGTATGCGTGTTACGATCACCTTAGCGCTACGCTTGTCGCAAGTCTGTGTTAAGGTATGCGTGTTACGATCACCTTAGCGCTACGCTTGTCGTAAGTCTGTGTTAAGGTATGCGTGTTACGATCACCTTAGCGCTACGCTTGTCGTAAGTCTGTGTTAAGGTATGCGTGTTACGATCACCTTAGCGCTACGCTTGTCGTAAGTCTGTGTTAAAGGTATGCGTGTTACGATCACCTTAGTGCTACGCTTGTCGTAAGTCTGTGTTAAGGTATGCGTGTTACGATCACCTTAGCGCTACGCTTGTCGTAAGTCTGTGTTAAAGGTATGCGTGTTACGATCACCTTAGTGCTACGACTGTCGTAAGTCAATGTTAAGGAATTGGAGTTGCGATCACCTTAGCGCTACGACTGTCATAAATATAGGTTAAGATATGGGAGTTGCGATTACCTTAGCGCTACGACTGTCGTAGATCTAGGTTAAGGTATGGGAGTTGCGATCACCTCAGTGCTATGACTGTCATAAATATAGGTTAAGATATGGGAGTTGCGATCACCTTAGCGCTACGACTGTTGTAAATCTAGGTTAAAGTATTGGAGTTGTGATCACCTTAGTGCTACGACTGTTGTAAATCTAGGTTAAAGTATTGGAGTTATGATCACCTTAGCGCTAAGATCGGTTTGTACAACAGTGCCCTTGCAGCCAATGACAGTGGTGGTGTGTCATCCTCCACATCAGTAGAACATCAGGTAACATCTGTTGCAGATCAGGGAAGTCCTTCAGCTGGCTGCAGATCAGTATCATCAACTCCAGAAGAAGATCAAAGCCAAGAAAATCCATCAATCTTCCAGTTCAAATCAAACACAACTAGAAAAATCTGATGGATTTTACCGCAGAGGGTTCAAATGTGAGGTAAGTCACTAAAGTTGTCAACATCGCTGGTTGGCATCACTGGGCTTTCCCCGAACATTGAACTGACATCATTCAATAGACATGCAACATGTGTAAACCCAACTCACTTGACCTTTAGACCCGTGAAGATCCTGGGTAGAGTAGCTCTGTGGCAACCCATGCTTGCCGTAAAAGGCGACTATCGTTGTCGTAAGAGGTGACTAACGAAACGGGTGGTCAGGCTGGATCAGAATCAGGTTTGAAATAAATGTCAAGTGTTGTTGTTTGTTTGTTGTTTAACGCCACACTCAGCAATATTCCAGCTATATGACGGCGGTCTGTAAATAGTCAAGTCTGGACCAGACAGTCCAGTGATTGACATTATAAGGATCAATCTATGCAATTGAGATATAATGACATATCTGACTACCCAATGATATTTGTCGCCTCTTACCACAAGCATAGATTGCTGGGGATCAATCCTAACCCGGTTCTTCACGGATTGATTCATTTGATTGAAATGGATAAATATTTTTTCAGCATTTGTTTCATAAATAGTACTTTTTATATGATCGATTGAATCCTGTGATAGGAAAGATATGTAAAAGAATTTAATCCATATCTCATCTTTCATTAGCATGATTAAAATGTTTAACTGAAAAAATTCAGATAATCCATGTATGTATTTCAGCATGTTCCCAGCTCTGATTCAGTATAACCTTCATTCAGGCAGGTATGGTGCAAGCGGAACTGTTCCTGCCGAAGTTAGCCGATCTCCAGGAGAAGGGCGTGGCCAGAACCGATGACACATACAAGTACACGGTGTACGCCAGGACAAGTGAGGGCCATGGTATGTTGGTTGTGGGAAGTTTTCAGTTGTGAATTCCACAGATAGGAGACAAAGATCAGAAAATAAATTATAAACAGTCTCTATGCTAATGTAGTGGCCATAAAAATTCTGAGTCCCATGATGGGATTCGAACCATGGACCTTCTGATCCGAGGGTTGGATACCTTGTCCACATGACCAAATAGGTTAACCCTGTCTGCAAGCTGACAAGGTAAGGATATCATCTGTGGGATAACCCCACGCCCTGCTACATACTCCCCCGCCAACAGAAGGCACGCCCCGGGTCACATAGTAGGGTACTGAGACTTATTTTGCTCAAATTTAATACGAACATGCTCAGCCTCACATTTGGCCCAAAATCAGTGGTAATAGATTTTCCGATTATTGTGATGAATCGACTATATGAGCCATCCCTTGTGCATAAAGAATTCTGAGAGCAGAAGGGGGTACTGGTGGCCCAGTCGTCTGAGGCGCCGTCATTCACTGTGCAGAGTTGCTTCAGAAACCTATGACTGTGGGTTTGAATCCCAGTTCACCCCGATTATGTTTCTAGGTTTGCCAGCACCATACCCGTGCTCGTGGTTTTCACCAAAATAGTAAACATATGAGACCTGCATCACTTCAGACTCCCACATTAAGCTGACACGCTGTGATATAACTGGAATAATGTTAAATTCACTGACTCCCTTTTCAGATTTCTCTTGCCAGGATGTTGAGGCCAGGGTGGTCGGCATCGTGACAGGGGCGGAGCTGTGTGGGCGTGTCTCCAAGGGCCATGTGTGTGGGGTGGTGCTGGACAGAACCTGCTTCTACTCCGAGTCAGGGGGTCAGGCGGCAGACACTGGCCATCTCCGGACACAGGTAACTCTGTCACCATCTGATGTAGATTGACCTAATACTATTAGTTACTAATGCATGCAGAGCTGGGAATAGGCCCCAAGTACCTGCTTGTCTCCCCATGGGGAACCGGGTTAGAAGAGGTCCCCAGTACCTGATTGTCTCCCCAAGGGGAACTGGGTTAGAAGAGGTCCCAAGTACCTGCTTGTCTCCCCATGGGGAACCGGGTTAGAAGAGGTCCCCAGTACCTGCTTGTCTCTCGATAGTGAACTGGGTTAAAAGAGGTCCCCAGTACCTGATTGTCTCTCGATAGTGAACTGCGTTAGAAGAGGTCCCCAGTACCTGATTGTCTCCCCATGGGGAACTGGGTTAGAAGAGGACCCCAGTACCTGCTTGTCTCTCGATAGTGAACTGGGTTAAAAGAGGTCCCCAGTACCTGATTGTCTCCCCATGGGGAACTGGGTTAGAAGAGGTCCCCAGTACCTGCTTGTCTCTCGATAGTGAACTGGGTTAAAAGAGGTCCCCAGTACCTGATTGTCTCCCCATGGGAAACTGGGTTAGAAGAGGTCCCCAGTACCTGCTTGTCTCTCGATAGTGAACTGGGTTAAAAGAGGTCCCCAGTACCTGATTGTCTCCCCATGGGAAACTGGGTTAGAAGAGGTCCCCAGTACTTGATTGTCTCCCCATGGGGAACTGGGTTAGAAGAGGTCCCCAGTACCTGATTGTCTCCCCATGGGGAACTGGGTTAGAATAGGTCCCCAGTACCTGCTTGTCTCTGGATAGTGAACTGCGTTAGAAGAGGTCCCCAGTACCTGATTGTCTCCCCATGGGAAACTGGGTTAGAAGAGGACCCCAGTACCTGCTTGTCTCTCGATAGTGAACTGGGTTAAAAGAGGTCCCCAGTACCTGATTGTCTCCCCATGGGAAACTGGGTTAGAAGAGGTCCCCAGTACTTGATTGTCTCCCCATGGGGAACTGGGTTAGAAGAGGTCCCCAGTACCTGCTTGTCTCCCCATGGGGAACTGGGTTAGAATAGGTCCCCAGTACCTGCTTGTCTCTCGATAGTGAACTGCGTTAGAAGAGGTCCCCAGTACCTGATTGTCTCCCCATGGGGAACTGGGTTAGAAGAGGACCCCAGTACCTGCTTGTCTCTCGATAGTGAACTGGGTTAAAAGAGGTCCCCAGTACCTGATTGTCTCCCCATGGGGAACTGGGTTAGAAGAGGTCCCCAGTACCTGCTTGTCTCTCGATAGTGAACTGGGTTAAAAGAGGTCCCCAGTACCTGATTGTCTCCCCATGGGAAACTGGGTTAGAAGAGGTCCCCAGTACCTGCTTGTCTCTCGATAGTGAACTGCGTTAAAAGAGGTCCCCAGTACCTGATTGTCTCCCCATGGGAAACTGGGTTAGAAGAGGTCCCCAGTACTTGATTGTCTCCCCATGGGGAACTGGGTTAGAAGAGGACCCCAGTACCTGCTTGTCTCTCGATAGTGAACTGGGTTAAAAGAGGTCCCCAGTACCTGATTGTCTCCCCATGGGAAACTGGGTTAGAAGAGGTCCCCAGTACCTGATTGTCTCCCCATGGGGAACTGGGTTAGAATAGGTCCCCAGTACCTGCTTGTCTCTCGATAGTGAACTGCGTTAGAAGAGGTCCCCAGTACCTGATTGTCTCCCCATGGGGAACTGGGTTAGAAGAGGACCCCAGTACCTGCTTGTCTCTCGATAGTGAACTGGGTTAAAAGAGGTCCCCAGTACCTGCTTGTCTCCCCATGGGGAACTGGGTTAGAAGAGGTCCCCAGTACCTGCTTGTCTCTCGATAGTGAACTGCGTTAGAAGATGTCCCCAGTACCTGATTGTCTCCCCATGGGGAACTGGGTTAGAAGAGGACCCCAGTACCTGCTTGTCTCTCGATAGTGAACTGCGTTAGAAGAGGTCCCCAGTACCTGCTTGTCTCCCCATGGGGAACTGGGTTAGAAGAGGTCCCCAGTACCTGCTTGTCTCTCGATAGTGAACTGCGTTAGAAGAGGTCCCCAGTACCTGATTGTCTCCCCATGGGAAACTGGGTTAGAAGAGGTCCCCAGTACTTGATTGTCACCCCATGGGGAACTGGGTTAGAAGAGGTCCCCAGTACCTGATTGTCTCCCCCTGGGGAACTGGGTTAGAAGAGGTCCCCAGTACCTGATTGTCTCCCCCTGGGGAACTGGGTTAGAAGAGGTCCCCAGTACCTGATTGTCTCCCCATAGTGAACTGGGTTAGAAGAGGTCCCCAGCAACCTGTGCTTGTCTCCCCCTGGGGAACTGGGTTAGAATAGGTCCCTAGTACCTGATTGTCTCCCCATGGGGAACCGGGTTAGATGAGGTCCCCAGTACCTGATTGTCTCCCCATGGGGAACTGGGTTAGAAGAGGTCCCCAGTACCTGATTGTCTCCCCATAGTGAACTGGGTTAGAATAGGTCCCCAGCAACCTGTGCTTGTCTCCCCCTGGGGAACTGGGTTAGAATAGGTCCCTAGTACACTGCTTATCTCCCCATGGGGAACTGGGTAACATGAGGTCTAAGTACCAATGCTTATCTCTCCATGGGCAATTGGGTTAGAAGAGGTCCCCAGTACCTGATTGTCTCTCCATAGTGAATTGGGTTAGAAGAGGTCCCCAGTACCTGATTGTCTCCCCCTGGGGAACTGGGTTAGAATAGGTCCCTAGTACACTGCTTATCTCCTCATGGGGAACTGGGTTACATGAGGTCTCAGTACCAATGCTTATCTCTCCATGGGGAATTGGGTTAGAAGAGGTCCCCAGTACTTGCTTTTCTACCCATTGGGAATTGGGTTTGAAGAGGTCCCCAGTACCAGTGATTGTCTCTCCATGAGGAACCGGGTTAGAATAGGTTTTGAAACAAATGGCATAAACAGTACAAACAGTAATATTTATATCACTAAATAAATCGGTTCATAAGGGTAAGAAATTCATCTACCGATTCTATTATTTTCCTGTTAACATTTTCAGCTTATAGGTCAGAATATAACGTCTAAGAGAGTTTTAATGTCAAGACCATTGGTACGGACATACCTATTGGATCTGTTAGTCTCTCGGAGGTATCAGGAAGTGAAGGGTACTGCTGCTGGCTGCACGGAGGCTTTTTGTTGCAGGATGGTGTGTTGGAGGTACTCGATGTACAGGTGCATGCTGGGTACGTCGTCCACGTCGGCGTGGTTGTGGAAGGGGAGGTCGTTTTGGCACAGTCTGTGCAGATGGAGCTAGACCAGGTAGATATACCTCGTATCACACATTGTATGTCTTGGCAGATAGCCAGGATAGGCTGTTGTGTATTCATCATGTGTTACATCATGAACTGTCTTGTTATGTCTTGCCAGATAGCTCCAGATAAATCACTGTAACCCAACAACTCAATATATACTAAAAAGTAGAACAGCACTGTGCATACTATAACCCCTATCATCTACAGGCAAAGCGGGGCCTGGTTTCATATACCTATGTACAAGCAAAGCTAGAGCCTGGCCGACATGTAAATCATGGCTAATTTGATAATAAAAAAAGAAAGAAAGAAAACCAGAGACTGTTTTCATGATCCTATCTGCAGGCAAAGCTAGTGTCTGTTTTTTTTAAAAATCTCTACATACAGGTAAATCTTGTGTCTGTTGTCATAATCCCTACATACAGGTAAAGTTAGTGCCTGTTTTCATGGTCCCTACATACAGGTAAATCTTGTGTCTGTTGTCATAATTCCTACATACAGGTAAATCTTGTGCCTGTTGTCATAATTCCTACATACAGGTAAAGTTAGTGCCTGTTGTCATAATCTCTACATACAGGTAAATCTTGTGCCTGTTTTCATAATTCCTACATACAGGTAAATCTTGTGCCTGTTGTCATAATCTCTACATACAAGTAAAGTTAGTGCCTATTGTCATAATTCCTACATACAGGCAAAGTTAGTGTCTGTTTTCATAATTCCTACATACAGGTATAGCTAGTGTCTGTTTTCATAATTCCTACATACAGGTAAAGCTAGTGTCTGTTTTCATAATTCCTACATACAAGTAAAGCTAGTGTCTGTTTTCATAATCCCTACATACAGGTAAATCTAGTGCCTGTTGTCATAATCTCTACATACAAGTAAATCTTGTGTCTGTTGTCATAATCTCTACATACAGGTAAATCTTGTGCCTGTTGTCATAATTCCTCCATACAGGTAAATCTTGTGTCTGTTGTCATAATCCCTACATACAGGTAAAGCTCGTGCCTGTGTTTTTAATCTTGTTACCTGCAGGTAATCACCTCGTTATGTCTATCCCCCCAGGTGAGACGTGTAGGGCACATGTGCAGCCACACCGGGACACACCTCCTGAATGCGGTGTTGCGGGCAGTGTTGCAGGAGACAAAGCAGCTCGGCTCCGACGTCCAGGACAACAAGTTCTCCTTCGATTTTGCTTCCGTGGTATGTAAATGTGATTCAGCAATCGTCAATCCACAATGTGTATCAGGAGGATTTCTGATGGGTTTCACTGGAATTTCTTAAAGTCATTCAGTACCCAGATTTTGTTTACGAATTGTCTATCTAATAATAATCGGTCCTGGATTTCTCTGGAATTACTTAAAGTCACCCAGTACTCAGACTTTGTTTATCTAATCTAATCATCATGACACCAGGGCACTGTGAGTCCGGAACAAACGGCTGCCATCGAGAATCTGGTGCAGCAGCACATAGTTGAAGGTCACAGTGTGTCGCACCTACAGATGGAGCTCAACGTTGCCATGGCGATGGAGGACCTCACAATGATGGAAGATGAGGTATGTCTTTTTTTCAAATTAATTGTGGAGAGGCCTAGTGGTTAAAGTGTTAGTTTGTCATGGTGAAGACTTTGGTTTAATTCCCATGTTCATACCATTTCTGGTGTTCCTGCCATGATGTGGCTGGAATATTGTTTAAGATACATACCTATGAAGATCCAGGGTAGAATAGGTCTTCAGCAACCCATGCTTGCCGTGAGAGGCGACTATGCTTTTCGTAAGAGGCGACTAACAGGATCGGGTGGTCAGACTCGCTGACTTGGTTGATGCATGTCATCGTATCCCAATTGTGTAGATTGATGCTCACGATATCAATCACTGGATTGTCTGGTTCCGGCTCAGTTATTTACGGACCACCATCATATAGCTGGATTATTGCTGTGTGCGGCATTAAACAACAAACAAACAAGCTTAAGATATGTAAAACTGTAATCACTATGGATTCTTTCTTCCTGAAAACATTCCCAGTACTTGAATCAGAAGTTGCTATTTATACACTCTTAAATAATGAAAAATTGTAGAACAATTTTAAATCTGAAAACCCAAGGCTTTTTTTCCACCATGATTAAACTTTTGTGTTCACCACATACAGCATGTGCACATAGTAGGTTAAACTTCTAGAAAAAACAAAAACAAAATGTCATTAACAATGCCTTTAAGAAAGTTGTCAGATGTATCAAGTGTTATATGTGGGATAGCACTTTCTTAGTAAGTACAGGGGGGATGGTGTCGCCTAGTGGTTAGAGCAATCGCTCGTCATGCCAAAGACCTGGGTTCGATTCCCCAGATGGGTACAATGTGTGAAGCCCATTTCTATTGTCCCCCACCATGATATTGCTGGAATATTGCTAAAAGCAGCGTAAAACCATACTCACTCACTCACACTCAGTAAGTACAAATTCTAGTACTTTTTGGGTAGAGTCCCATCCGGGATTCAAATCTTCAATCCAGGATGGGTCTCAACCCCCAAAATGTACAAGAATTTGTACTTTACTAAGAAAGTGTTATCCCAAATATAACATTTGTTGAAAATGTCTGATTATTTATTTTTTCTAACTGTCAAGAATTGAAAGAAAAAAATCTGTGAACTAAGAAATGAAAGTCTTGCCTCAGTACCTCAGTAGAGATATGCTTGCCAGTGTTTTTTTTGTTAACGTATTCCATGTTGTTTGTTTTAGGACTATCCCTCCCCTGTTCAAGTGATTCGGATTGGTGGAGAATCCTCGCCCTTGACATCTCTAGAACTGTGTGGTGGAACGTAGGTGTTCATATATAGTGAAACCCCTTACGATCAGAAACCAGAAATCTGGCTGTCTGGACAATTATTGTAAGGACTGTCTAGAAATAATCCAGGAGTATTACTATGAATTGACTAATTTTCTCCCTAAACGAAAACAAAATATTGTAGTCAATTCTTGTAAGGGACTGGTCATTTCTTATAGGGAAATGGGGCCGGTGGGATTCAGGCGGGGTCATGAAAAAATTGCACAGCAAAGGGGGTAGGGGCAGTAGGGGGAACCATATTTTATCACAACTATAAGGGCGGGGGGAGGGGGGGATTTCAACATTATTTAGGGACAGGTCATTGTAGGGAGAGGGGGAGAAGGAAAAAATGTTACAAGGATTTGAGGAAATAATTTTCTGATATTTGCTTTTAAACAATTCCCAATGCTGATTGGTCAGTTGTGAAGGGGTTAAGTAACATGATGTCACAGTGGTTCATTGTTTAGAGCAATAAGGTATGACGTCTTAATGTCCACACAATGTCATATGAACAATGGTCTGACTTTGGTGAAGTTTTTATCATATTTTCTACTGTAAAACGACATTGAGTGAGTAATTCAGGAGTTTCTGCCTGTAAGTAGTTGTATGTCCTGTGTTTGCAGTCATGTGAGCAACACCAGCGACCTGGACGGCTTCTGTGTGGTGAACCTGAAGGGCGTGGCTCAGGGGACCAAGAGAGCCACATGTGTAACAGGGCAGGTAGCCAGACAGGTGTGTCTTCATTACTCTCTCATAGCCAGGGAGGTGTGTCTTCATTACTCTCTCATAGCCAGGGAGGTGTGTCTTCATTACTCTCTCATAGCCAGGCAGGTGTGTCTTCATTACTCTCTCATAGCCCGGCAGGTGTGTCTTCATTACTCTCTCATAGCCAGGCAGGTGTGTCTTCATTACTCTCTCATAGATCTGTCACTGTGTCAGCCATTGGGGCAGGTAGCCAGGCAGGTGTGTCTTCATTACTCTCTCATAGCCCGGCAGGTGTGTCTTCATTACTCTCTCATAGATCTGTCACTGAGTCAGCCATTGGGGCAGGTAGCCAAGCAGGTGTGTCTTCATTACTCTCTCATAGCCCGGCAGGTGTGTCTTCATTACTCTCTCATAGCCAGGCAGGTGTGTCTTCATTACTCTCTGATAGCCAGGCAGGTGTGTCTTCATTACTCTCTCATAGCCCGGCAGGTGTGTCTTCATTACTCTCTCATAGCCCGGCAGGTGTGTCTTCATTACTCTCTCATAGCCAGGCAGGTGTGTCTTCATTACTCTCTGATAGATCTGACACTAAGTCAGCCATTGGGGCAGGTAGCCAGGCAGGTGTGTCTTCATTACTCTCTGATAGATCTGTCACTGCGTCAGCCATTGAGGCAGGTAGCCAGGCAGGTGTGTCTTCATTACTCTCTGATAGATCTGTCACTAAGTCAGCCATTGAGGCAGGTAGCCAGGCAGGTGTGTCTTCATTACTCTCTGATAGATCTGACACTAAGTCAGCCATTGAGGCAGGTAGCCAGGCAGGTGTGTCTTCATTACACTCTCATAGATCTGACACTAAGTCAGCCATTGAGGCAGGTAGCCAGGCAGGTGTGTCTTCATTACTCTCTGATAGATCTGACACTAAGTCAGCCATTGAGGCAGGTAGCCAGGCAGGTGTGTCTTCATTACTCTCTGATAGACCTGTCACTGCGTCAGCCATTGAGGCAGGTAGCCAGGCAGGTGTGTCTTCATTACTCTCTGATAGATCTGACACTGCGTCAGCCATTGAGGCAGGTAGCCAGGCAGGTGTGTCTTCATTACTCTCTGATAGATCTGTCACTAAGTCAGCCTTTGAGGCAGGTAGCCAGGCAGGTGTGTCTTCATTACTCTCTCATAGACCTGTCACTGCGTCAGCCATTGAGGCAGGTAGCCAGGCAGGTGTGTCTTCATTACTCTCTCATAGACCTGTCACTGCGTCAGCCATTGAGGCAGGTAGCCAGGCAGGTGTGTCTTCATTACTCTCTCATAGATCTGACACTAAGTCAGCCATTGAGGCAGGTAGCCAGGCAGGTGTGTCTTCATTACTCTCTCATAGCCCGGCAGGTGTGTCTTCATTACTCTCTCATAGCCAGGCAGGTGTGTCTTCATTACTCTCTGATAGCCAGGCAGGTGTGTCTTCATTACTCTCTCATAGCCCGGCAGGTGTGTCTTCATTACTCTCTCATAGCCCGGCAGGTGTGTCTTCATTACTCTCTCATAGCCAGGCAGGTGTGTCTTCATTACTCTCTCATAGATCTGACACTAAGTCAGCCATTGAGGCAGGTAGCCAGGCAGGTGTGTCTTCATTACTCTCTGATAGATCTGTCACTAAGTCAGCCATTGAGGCAGGTAGCCAGGCAGGTGTGTCTTCATTACTCTCTGATAGCCAGGCAGGTGTGTCTTCATTACTCTCTGATAGCCAGGCAGGTGTGTCTTCATTACTCTCTCATAGCCCGGCAGGTGTGTCTTCATTACTCTCTCATAGCCCGGCAGGTGTGTCTTCATTACTCTCTCATAGCCAGGCAGGTGTGTCTTCATTACTCTCTGATAGATCTGACACTAAGTCAGCCATTGAGGCAGGTAGCCAGGCAGGTGTGTCTTCATTACTCTCTGATAGATCTGTCACTAAGTCAGCCATTGAGGCAGGTAGCCAGGCAGGTGTGTCGTCATTACTCTCTGATAGATCTGACACTAAGTCAGCCATTGAGGCAGGTAGCCAGGCAGGTGTGTCTTCATTACTCTCTCATAGACCTGTCACTGCGTCAGCCATTGGGGCAGGTAGCCAGGCAGGTGTGTCTTCATTACTCTCTGATAGATCTGACACTAAGTCAGCCATTGAGGCAGGTAGCCAGGCAGGTGTGTCTTCATTACTCTCTGATAGATCTGACACTAAGTCAGCCATTGAGGCAGGTAGCCAGGCAGGTGTGTCGTCATTACACTCTCATAGATCTGACACTAAGTCAGCCATTGAGGCAGGTAGCCAGGCAGGTGTGTCGTCATTACTCTCTGATAGATCTGACACTGCGTCAGCCATTGAGGCAGGTAGCCAGGCAGGTGTGTCGTCATTACACTCTCATAGACCTGTCACTGCGTCAGCCATTGAGGCAGGTAGCCAGGCAGGTGTGTCTTCATTACTCTCTGATAGATCTGACACTAAGTCAGCCATTGGGGCAGGTAGCCAGGCAGGTGTGTCGTCATTACTCTCTGATAGATCTGACACTAAGTCAGCCATTGAGGCAGGTAGCCAGGCAGGTGTGTCTTCATTACACTCTCATAGATCTGTCACTTTAGACAATTTCAAATACAGTTTCCTGAATGATAAGTGTCTGGGCGTGGAACAGTTAGAATCAAACATCATTAAATATATCAACTATGGACTTCCAGGCCATCGAGAAGGGTCAGGAGTTGGAGTCAAGGTTGTCACAGCTGGTGTCAGAGGTCAAGTCTGGCGAGAACATGGATGCATGGACGGAGAAGGTCAAGGACATTAATACAGTAAGTGCAACATGCTCCATGTACATGAGGCTACCTGAAGGGAGGCCAGTGTAGAATGGTCCGCAGTATCCGATGCTTGTCACAAGAGGCGACTGAATGGATGAGGTGGTCTGACTGTGACTTGCATCTTTACAATGTTGATCTGCATCATTACGTTTCTTCAGGTCATATTGATTCATGTTTCCAGAGTTTGTCTCAAGACTTGTTGCCCAAGTTGGTGAGGGACCGGGTCCGAGAGCAGCTGGACGTGACAGTCTCAAGGATCAGGACGGAGCAAAACAAACTCCAGCAGGCCTCCTTACAACAAGTGAGTGAGTGGGGAGGGAGGGGTGAGTGAGCCAGGGAGGGGAGAGCAGCTGGACGTGACAGTCTCCAGGGTCAGGACGGAGCAAAACAAATTCCAGCAGGCCTCCTTACAACAAGTGAGTGAGTGGGGAGGGAGGGGTGATTGAGTGAGGGAGGAAGGGAGGAAGAGAGGGGTGAGTGAGTGAGGGAGGGAGGAAGGGAGGGGTGAGTGAGTGAGGGAGGGAGGGGTGAGTGAGTGGTGTCCCCCGCTGTGATATTGCTGGAATATTGCTAAAAGCGGCGTAAAACCAAACTCACTCACTCACTCACTCACCTCAAAGGTATCATGGCAGGTGAAGTCAAGCAACGTTTTCAACTCAGAAGGGGATTAGTGTCCTGTTTGTAGGCAGCATGAAGTAGCTCCTTAGGCAAGTGAGATGGCACTGATAAGGTGAACAAAATAATAGTTTTGGTTCTCAGGCTCTGCCCTCATCATCATAAAGTCTGCACGTTTCCATTTTTAATAAAATGAAAGCATCCTAATGTCCCTAAAACTAATGCGTTCCGATATAGCACGCAGTTACTTCCCTTTACATGTGTACTGCTTTACTGCGCATCAAGTGTTATGGTCATCGGAGTTTGTATGCTTGTTTATGTAGGGAGACCCTTTCCGAGGTTGATGGTACATAATTGTTTATTTAGTTACATACTAGTTGGTTACGCACTATATTTTCAAAAGTCATTGGGGGCGGTCAGGTAGCCTAGTGGTTAAAGCGTTCGCTCGTCACACTGAAGACCAGGGTTCGATTCCCGACATGGGTACAATCATCTGCCCGAGGGAAGAGAGTTAACTGACTATAAAAGTCCAGTTTCCACCCTTGCCGAACTAGGCTGTTATTATGGAGTTACATTTTGGCTGGACTAACGAGTCTATGTATAGTCAAAACAAAATTGCGCAACGAAATCGAAATCCGGTTCGTAAACTGCCTTGCAGATTTCTGTCGATTGCAGGATTTGCAAAGCATGTGAACCGCCAACTCGTTGTCAACAGATATTTTCCAAATCTTTTCATGTTTTTAATCAAGGTGCTAACGTGATTTGATGCAGTTCGCGATGTAAGACCCGTTTTATCACAATATAGACCTTGATTGTCGATCAGATTGTCTTGATTGAGAGCCACTGTTTTGTTTGAACTAAATGCAAGTGATATGAGAGGTGAAATCTGATTGGTCGATAGGAGAGGCCTTGAAGGGACATAACTCGTAATAGCCACTGGTGGCGCAATGATAGAGCCCAAGAATTCCAGCCTAGTTCGGCAAGGGTGGAAACTGGACTTTTAAAGGCAGTTAACTCTCTTGCCTCGGGTAGATGGGGTACAATGTGTGAAGCCCATTTCTGGTGTGCCCTGCCATGATATTGCTGGAATATTGCTAAAGGCGGTGTAAAACCTCACTCACTCACTCAAAAGTCATTGTCTGTGAACCAATTTTTTTAAGCCTAATGCAACTGGAATGTGAGTGAGTGTGTGAGTGAGTGCATGTGTGAGTGAGTTCATGAGTGAGTGCATGAATGAATGCATGAGTGAGTGTTCAGTGCTACAGTCAGCAATGTTCCATCTGTCAACGGCCTATTAATAATCAGGTGATGTGGTTTGAACATGTGGAGTGGAGTACAGGTAGTGTGGTTCACAAATTGCCTATTATTATCATTATTGTTGACGTTCTTGTAACAGTTTGCTGCATGTCCTGGGTTACAGATGGTCCTAGGACTCGCCTCAAACAGCTCCGAGGACATCATGATACAGCATTTCACATTTGATGGAAAACTGGTAAGGAATGTGTACCACAGGTCCTTGTGTCATTGCTTCAGTATTTCTACTTCTATTAATATCACAAGTGTCAGAAAGCTATACAGATTAGTGCATTTCTGATACTCATGATATTAACATAATGCTCAAAAGAAGTTAAGGACCTTCTGGACATAAGAGATTAATAGAAATATCTAAGCAACAACACAAGGGCAGGATGACGGAGATAAGATGTGTTTGTAATAAACTCTGTTTTATAATGTCAATAACAACACGACAACATATAAAAGAACAACATTTATTAAATTTTTTGGCATATATATGGGGATTCTCGGTATATTCATATATACATGACACATAAACATAGTACATGGAAGACTAACTTCAGCCAAGTCTCTAATATCGGAGTAGCGCACTCCATACTGTTTGAGCGTGCTGAGACTTGGCTGAGTATACGAACAATGGACGGTGAAGAAATATACCCGATCGGCGGGCTGTACCTCTGCCAAGTAATACAAGTAGGAGTCGCGCACCCCAAGACTTGCTCCCGAGCGCCAGGAGTACCTGGCAGAGTAGACGAATGATGAAAAAACAAAAAAGAGATGAATGTTAAATTACTTGCAGGGGGAATAGTATCCGCCTGAATTGCCCTCTGATAGAGCGGATAGATTGCCCATATTATTATTAATGATAATTGTGAAATTGAGTTGATGAGAATCCCCAAAAGTAACACATAGGCAGGGTGACAGAGATAAGATGTGTTTGTAATAAACTCTGTATACTTAACTCAATGTTTGTGGGTAAAACTTCAGCCCTTAACTCTCACCTCGATTTTTTTTTAAAACATAACTCCTGACAAGATGTATAAAGAAATCATCTATGTTATACTTTAAATATGAAGTGGAAAAAGCAATAGGTACACATATTTACGGGTTGGGGTTAAAATGTAAAGGCGTAAATCTTTCTTTTTTCTGTGTGCATCTGTTTTATTTGAGAAGAAAGCCCATAGCATGTCTTAGATATGTCTCCTCTTTGGTGAAACCCAGAAGCAAACCTGCACAGTTGGTGAAACCCACAAGCAAATCTACACAGTTGGTGAAACCCCCAAGCAAACCTGCACAGTTGAAGCTTTCAAGCCAAGGATTGTTTTACAGCAATTATTTGATTTATGCCTACAGTCATTAGATTCTGGCATGCCTAAGGGAGGCAACTCTGCACATCTATTTGCACTGCCTTAAAATGACTGAATCATCCTGGCCGCCATTGGAGTACCACCAGACGAGAAGGCTGGCTGTCGTTGTTAAACATTTGTTTATATATTAAACTGAAACATATAACTGACAAGACAAATCAGACATCCCAGTTACCTCCCTTACATCAGTCACTGAGCATCAGATTCGTGTTGTCTGTTTCAGATGATGAAAGCACTCTCTGCTATCGAGATCTCCAAGCCGGTAGTTCTTGTCTCTGATGGTGAACGAACGTCCTATGCATTGATAGCAGCCCCACAATCAATGGTGAGAACAGTTGCAGACAGTCGGCGAGGCAGACAGACAGGTTCTTTGTACTGCAGACAGTTTGTCCTTATTGGTAGAACGCGGGGATTAAACACAGGATAGACTCTAGGGCTGGGACGAGTCCAAATTTACTACCCAGGTACCCACCACCCTATTACCCTGCCCTACCCGGGTACCTGCTGTATGTCTCAAGAGATAGGTACAAAATGCCCGATTGGGCATGTTGGGAATAGTTTGACCGTAACCCAGGAGAGAATGTATTTAGATACACATATAGAATGATCTGGTCATGCATACACTGAAGTTGACTGAAGCCTTATCTTCATTCAAACACATAAAGTCAGGAGGAATGCATGCATTGTCAGAAAGAAATGCGAACATTAGTGACTTGTAGTGTAACTATATAGTTCTAGATCATTTTTGTCATCAGACAATATATCACATGACTAACCACGGGTCCGGGTTGTCCTGTTGGTACCGGGTCCTTCTCAGTACCCACGTGACCCGAGTACCCGAGTTACCCGTCCCAACCCTAAGCTCATTAATCTTTAACCTTCAGCCTGCTGGATTGTTTTCACACTTCTTGCTGGATTAATTTTAGTATAAGGTGCTGTAAAGAGGGTGGGGGAGTTTAAACAGTCGAGGCTTTCTTAAACATGGGACGAATTAACCAATATTTCAAATTTATTACTGATAGAAAAATACACATTATTATATAAAAAATATCCTGACATTTTCATGGATGTGATTCTGTCAATCGGAATATGTCGTTAGTTCTGACTTCTGACAATGGTAATTGACACGCCTCAGCCGAATATAGGCATGCAGTTTTCCAGTTTCCTTTCACGACAGTAGTCGCGACACACACTGGCGTCAATGGTAGGCCTGCGCAACAATTGTGAGGCGGCAGTCTAAGAGATAACCCGTTATTACTGTACATCGAGAAATGGTTGCCCCAATGGCGATTCGGGTTAAAATAGGTCTCCGCAACCTATTTTTGACGTAAGAGATGACCAACTGGATTGCGTGGTCAGGCTCAGTGACTTGGTTCATTGCATGTCATCGTACTTCGACGGTTTGGATCATTGTTCATAATATCAATTATCTTCCAAAACTGGCTGCTCCCACAGGAGATACATGTATCACTAGGGTGAGATCAAGCGATATCTACATTGTAGATATCGCTGCAATGAAATTGCATCACAATACTTGGCAAACCATTGTGACATCACTGTAACAATGACATCACAATCAAATGACATCACTAATGGCTCTGCTACTGAAACTGTTAGCAGTACTTTTTACACTTAAGACACTGCTTATTACTGTCTACAAACTGAAAAGTCGGAAGAAAGATGTGGGATGATAAATAAAATCTCACCCTTGTGTCTTTTTATATCGAATATATCAAAACTCGTTGATATATTTGATATCAAAAGAGACTTGGGTGAGATTCTCCATTTAACAGTTTGTCTGGTCGATATATTGATTTGGTAGTCAATATATTTTTACTCCCTCAGGTCATGTGATGCAACTGTGTTATAGTGAAGAGAATGTATGTATGTATCTCAACATCTTTATTATGACTTCCATAAATTCTCTTCCTTATGTGTATCACTTCTAAATGCCTTTCAAAGTCTTGTGTTATAGTGTATCTCAACCTGTAACTAGATTCAATGTCAACTGATGACAGGAATGTTTTGTGATCTTGTCTGGTTTATTTTCAGGCTGGAATCTGTAAATCGCTATCCACGTCCTGTCAAGATGAGTTAGGTGCCTCTTCCGTGACGCAAAGTAAGGCCAAGTGTGGACAGGACAAGGCGGCCATTTTATTGACACTGAAAGGCCGAGCAACCGCAGAGAAACTGTACACTGTGTTGAGGGACATTGTGGAATCTGGAAGTAGATAGCCCCCCTGTTACACGCTGTGCTGTATCAAACATAGACATGAAAGCCGAGGGGTCCATTACACGCATGTTGAATGTCCGACCTAAATGTTGAATGTCCGACCATGTTGAACGTCCGACCGACATGTTGAATGTCCGACGGACGTGTTGAATGTACGACGGAAGTGTCGACGGACGTGTTGAATGTCCGACGGACGTGTTGAATGTCCGAGATTTCGAGGTCCCTAGGTTCTGGTGCTACAGGAGAAAACCACAATATGGATTTCTCAGTTAGTGTGTTGTGATGGAGAAATCATAACAAGTGATCTCTCTGACTTGAAGCATGTTGTGGTTGATGAATACTTTCTCTTATTTTGCATAATGACCTATAAAGCTAAAAAAAATAACAGTTTTGGTTCTCAGGCACCGCCCGTATCATCATAAAGTCTGCTGCGCGTTTCGTTTTTAATTCCATTTAAAAAAAATAAATCCCAATACTTAAAAACAATGTGATACAGAACACAGTTACTTCTCTTAACATGTGCACTGCTGTACTGTGCATCTTGTGTTATGGTCATGGCGGCAATAGGAGTTTGTATGCTTGTTTATGTAGGGAGGCCCTTTCCCAGGTCGATGGAGCACAACTGTTTATTTGGTTACATGCTTGTTTGAACAAGCGGGAAAAAAAACCCAACACACCCGCCTGCCCCATATTTTCAAAAGTCATTGCCTGAGAACTAATTCTTATATTTTTTTAAGCCTGATATTGTCAGTTTTACTTGTTTAAAGTGTACATTCAGAATGGCCAATGGATTCCTGTTTTAGAACAAATAGCAAAACAACAGCGTGACGTCACATCATATTAGTTTTTACTAGATGATTGATTGTTGAAGGCCATACATTAGTGACATATTGAAATAATAATATTTAACATCAATGCCATGCACTTTTAAAGTTATCCGAGACTTACTTATGACATACGGACTGCATGAGATGTGCTCATGTGCCAAGCCAGTAACCGGGGATGATGTCATAGGTCGTAGAATTAAAGTCAAACAGCAACTTACAGGTATAGTCTGTTTGCAAAATAACCAATATAGTGGCTCCTAATTGCAAAATTACTCAAAATCAGGAATAGTCTATCAAATATCAGTATCAGTATCTGTACACGGGAATAAATACCCTGTACCCAACAATATCTGCTGTTTGTTAGTTTTATTCCCATCAGTGAAAAAAGCTGTCTAAGAAACTATCATGTTGTTATGTGTACCAGTTCATATCTTGAACAGAGGGGGGCACAACAGTAGAAGGAATGTCCTCATTTGGAGCTAAACAGACTGTATTAAAGTCTTGGTTAACTTTAAAATTGCACCTCCCTGTTACATTTACAGAATTCCGTGAGTTGAATCATATTTTCTCAGTCAAGCATTCAGAACCCAAGGAGATCATAAAAAATATTCAGTTTTGTTCTGTTACTGATGGGGCGGTCGGGTAGCCGAGTGGTTAAAGTGTTCCTTCATCATGCCGAAGACCCGGGTTCGATTCCTGACAGGGATATAATGTGTGAAGCCCATTTCTGATGTCCCCCGCCGTGATATTGCTGGATTATTGCTAAAAGCTGCGTAAAACCATACTCCACTCACTCACTCACTCACTCACTCACTCATCTCACTCACTCACTCACTCATACTCATACTCATTCCCACACTTGGCATACTCTGACCATATAGTGGTGACACCGCCTTTCCCTTGGGCACTCTAGTGATTGTGTGTTCAAATCCTGGTTCGCCCCGATTAGGTTTGTCAGCACCATACCCGTGCTCATGGGTTTTACCAATGTGGTAAACGTCTGAGACCTGCATCACTTCTGGCTTTCCTCCCACACTAAGCTGACACGCCGTGATAAAACTGGAACACTGTTAAAAGCGGCATTAAACCCAACTCACTCACTGGCCGTATAGTAGCACAGTCCAATCCAATATTTGAATTGATCTAACAAACATTTGTCAACAAGACTGAAATGCTCCTAAAATACTATGACTGAATTGTCCTTCCTGATAAACCCATCTAGACAAACAGTCTTTCTTCCAACCTGCAGTGTTCAGGATTGTCTGATTAGACACCTTGTTGTTGAGTGCTGAGCGTGCAGTAGCTGGTCTCACTGTGTAAATATGTCCATACCCATGTCCCTCACCCAGCTAGCAATTGTGTCTCTACTCCCTTTACAAATCCTTTCTTTACTTTTGTGGGGTTTTGGATTGATATAATCAGAATTAGTTATGATGGTTTGTGGTTTAACGCCGCACTCAGCAATATTCCACCTATATGACGGCGGTCTGTAAATAATTGCGTCAGGACCAGACAATCCAGTGATTGATATCACGAGCATCGATCCACGCAATTGGGATACGATGACATGCATTAACCAAGTCAGCAAGCCTGACCATCCAATCCCGTTAGTCACCTTGCGGCAAGAATGGTTTACTGAAGACCTATTCTACCCCTACAACACTGAAGTGCTGCCCTAAAATCTCTCAAAGTTTGCCATATCACTAGGAGGGAAAATATTTTTGTAGTCAGCACACATGGTGATCTTGACTGAAGTAAGTTGACGTCAAACGTCTCTATGATGTCATAGCACAAGAGTATCCGAGCACCCATAAGGACCCTTTTCTCCTGGTGGGTCACAGATACTACTAACGAAGGATGCTGTTGTGGCTGTCGACTACTGTCCTACCATAGTTCTTTTGGTTTCCCAGATTTTCCCTCTTTTTCCTGGCTGTGCTGGGCCACGTTACCATGTTCGCTTTTGGTTATTATGGAATCTACAGCTCTGGTCCATGTGTAGGGGGGCGGTCGGGTAGCCTAGTGGTTAAAGCGTTCGCTCATCACGCCGGATTCGATTCTCGACATGGGGACAATGTGTGAAGCCCATTTCTGGTGTCCCCCGCCATGATATTGCTGGAATATTGCTAAAAGCGGTGTAAAACCATACCCACTCACTCACTCCATGTGTAGGGAGTTTGCCATTTCAAATACATTCTGGCAAGTTGTGTTACCGACAAGGTCTTTATCGCACATGTCTGACAGACCGCACTTGGCATTGGTCAACTTGGCATCGCCATTTTAACAACAGACCTGTGGCCATTTCATTCCGATTATATATCTGGACTGTCAAAGAACACCCAATGTGACTTCTCCAGGGGCTTCTACATATTGTAAATCTGGAAAGTTTTGCGGCATATAATTATTGTGTGTGGATAACACTAACCTTAGCTTTGTCTGGAAAGTGCATCGACGCCCTGGTTAATAACCAATGACAGACTTACAAATCACGGAATTAACGACCTCACCGATTTAATTAGGTATTTAAGGACGCACACACCACAAGCAATCTTAGGGGTGTGTGCGTCCCTGGGTTGCCAAACTTCATTCACCTTTCGGAAATACATTAAATGGCCTGGCCGGGCCCGTGTGCGAAATACGCTTCAGTCGGAAAGCGCACGTAAAATCTCCAACATAAGTAAGTAACCTAAGCAATCAGTCGGATGAGCGCAACTCGCGCGAAACTAGTAACTATTACTATTGCTTTCAATAGCTGTTTATCTACTGGTGAAGCCTCACCGGTCAGTTTACCCTGTTAAGTTTACCAAAGATCAAAGATACATTTGCACGCAGGAAGCGGCATAATGAAATGCTAACTCAGTGTCAGTCAGGGTCTTTTAAACTAATGATGCATGTGTTATTGTAGTTGAAAAGGTAGGTTGGAGTAGCGGGTTTATCTAACAGCATTGCCTGGCTGGCGTATGTCTGGACTAGTCAGTGCTATGTCAACAGCTTGACGAGATAGTTAGTGAACTAATTTGACTGTTGACAAGGAGTAATTAGAGAAACACAGGATTGAGGGGTTATTTATTTAAACATGTACTGGCTGGTTTGTCTATGTGTGAAAGTGAATTGAAGAAATATGCCTCCTTGTCTCGTTTGTTTGTTGTTGGTCTGCAAATATAACCGTGTCATGAAACTATCATGAGTGTGTGTCAATCGCAGTTTTCGCAGTTCTTTCCTGTTCGCAAAACTTTCCATATTTACAGTATATATCCACGAGGTGTCATCTGACATCAGATAAGTTTGGGTAGAGCTTCATTTCAATGTTAAAAATATTTTCAGATAGAAAGTAAGAAAACTTTAAGGAAGACAATATATGGATGTCAACTTCTTTATTAGGAGGAACATAACGTTTCGGAGTATATGCTTACTCCTTCATCCTCATAATAAAGAAGTTGACATCCATATATTCTCTTACTTATGTGAATCACTTCTAAATGCCTTTCAAAGACCTAAAAAAACTTTGTCAGTACCGATGGCTAGGCAAACTGATTGCTTGGCGCATACGCACATCTCATGGAATTCCTTAAACAGATTAGGGAGATGGCATGGTAATGTAACAATATAATGCCCTTGATAGTCACCTCTACTCGTTACCAAGCTTCCATCTCACAGGATGACCAGGGAGATCATATGAAGAGCAAATAGTCTGTTACAGATACACTTTGTCAGAAATAAAAGTGATTGAGTGACTATGGTTTTATGCACTTTTAGCAATAATCCAGCAGTATGACAGTGGCGGACACTAGAAATGGGCTTCACACATTATACCATGTGGAGAATCGAACTCGGGGATTTGGCTTGACAAGCCAACACTTTAACCACTCGGCTACCCCACCACCCCATCAGAAATAAGGGTTCCTTGCCGTGTACAGAATGAAGATGTCCGTGGGAATCAGTGGTGGTGAGGTGAAATTGGGTTTAACGTAGCATCCAAGATTATTGCACTCATATAGCGATCGATGTGCATGCGTGTGTGTCTGTCTGCTTGTACTAGTACGGACTGATGCCGATTTATAGTGCTAGCACATTAAGATACCATGCCGCAGTTTAACATGAATACCCAACTCAGACACTGTATACTGACTCCGAGCCGACTAGTCCTTGTTTGTGTGAGTGAGTGAGTGAGTGAGTGAGTGAGTATGGTTTTACGCCGCTTTTAGCAATATTCCAGCAATATCACGGCGGGGGACACCAGAAATGGGCTTCACACAATGTACCCATGTCGGGAATCGAACCCGGGTCTTCGGCGTGACGAGCGAACGCTTTAACCACTAGGCTACCCGACTACCCCTCCTTGTTTGTGGCCTGTAATGCCGTGCACCAGACTGGGTAACAAGAAGTACCATCTTTTAATGTCTTTCGGTATGACGCGGCCGGTGATTGACCCGTGAAGACGCCGGGGTAGAATAGGTCTTCAGCAACCCATGCTTGTCGTAAAAGGTGACTATGCTTGTCGTAAGAGGCAACTAACGGGATCGACTGGTCAGGCTCGCTGACTTGGTTGATGCATGTCATCGATCCCAATTGCGTGGATCAATGCTCATGATATTAATCACTGGGTTGTCAGGTCCAGACTCGATTATTTACAGACCGCTGTCATATAGCTGGAATATTGCTGAGTGCGGCGTTAAACAACAAACCAACCAACCAAATCATGATCCCTAACTTTTTTGTTCAGTATATTAATGTTATATACTAAGCGTGCAGTGTGTTGTTTTACTGCACTTTCTGACATTGCATTCATGTGAGGTTAATGGTCAAATAAAAAGTGAAGAAACACTGGCCAATTGTTTGTATTTTATTACATAAAATTATAAACAGTTATGTACAATACCACAATGAAATATGTACATATTAACAATGAAATAATATTAGTCATGTAGAAAATGGTATCTTTCAAGTCTCCATTAAATACTGAACACCGTGTGACCAAGTCTCTCTACCTGTTTGGTGGCATATCACAAACATTACAAAAATATTCTATTATCTTAATATTTGCATATCATAGATATAATTGTCATGTTTTTTGAAACTACATTAAGTATACAGTGCATTATCAACATGATCTCTTCTAAACACATTTTGAAATATACTAAGTGTTCATCAAAGATGCTGATATTGTTTCACAACGTTTGAGACACATGATTTTGAACAATGGATGCTGTTGAACGTGAAGTGATATCTAAACACTGGAAGTTTTGTAAGTTCGCCAAGAGCCCCTTTAAACTTAACCTAATAAAAATCCTTTAGACAGAAGGTGTGGTTTAAAAAGTGAAAGTCCCCTTAACGTGCATCGTGGTGAGACACAAGAATACTCTCCACAAAACTGTGTCACTTTTGTTAGTTGTAAATTGAACACACTAACCATGTACTGACAATCGATTGTTGTGGGAAGTGATGGGCATTTACCCAAGGAGTGAGTGAGTATGACCTTAGGCCCCTTTTAACAACATTCCAACAACTGACATGGGACACGAGAAATTGAGTGAGTGAGTGAGTGAGTGAGTGAGTGAGTGAGTGAGTTGGATTTAACGCCGCTTTAAACAGTATTCCAGTTATATCGCAGCGTGTCAGCTTAATGTGGGAGGAAAGCCCGAAGTGATGCAGGTCTCAGACGTTTACCACTTCGGTGAAACCCACGAGCACGGGTATGGTGCTGACAAACCTAGAAACACAATTGGGGCGAACCGGGATTCGAACCCACAATCATAGGTCACCAGAAATAGGCTTCACACATTTGGCGTGACAAGTGAGTTCTTGTCAATAGGATAGTCTGAAACGTGATACGATGACAGCTATATACAGATGAAGTTCTTTTCAATGACTCTTGATCTATTTGTCAATGGTTGCTAAGCCTGTAACCATGGTAACGACTCCCAAAGATTTGGTGCCAAATGCTGACCCCCAATACAAGCATTGTGAGAATGAATGTATGTCGCTGTAAGGCGGTAGGTACATGAACATAAAAGAGCACTGGTATGAACACTAAAAATAAAATACTCCAATCTTTAAAATCAGATCTTGGTTCTCACTTCTGCTGAGGATATCTCATAACCTTTCATCCGACCAATCAGAGCGTGGCTTACCAGATCACGAAAGTGACAGTTGGAAGGAAAAGGTTAACACGGGGTATTCAGAACGACAATAACGGGGTGAATCCGTCAAAATCATCATCTCTCTCTGGCTTCAATGGGACAAACATTTTGACATTTGTCCAAATTGGACAGAAGAGATTTTGCATAGCCCGTGGGAAGTACTTTCTATCAGACATTCAAGAATGTTCATTTGTTCCGTTTTCAAATTTTGACAAAATATTTTTCGAAGTATAGTCCGGAAAGAAAAATGTCAGTTTGAAACTAGTGCTGTACAGCTCCATAAAGCTGCTTTCTGATTGGCTAATGTTAGTTGTTTCATTGGTTGATCAAAGTTTCTGAAAGGTCTTTTGGACGTAGCCTGTAATGGGATTCCTCAGATCTTTGTTTAGCGGTAGCAAGATCTTAGGATCTTAAGATCTGATTTTAATGACATTGAAAATATGACTTGAGTTTACTAAAGATGTTATGTTAGACCATAACAAATCATGATATTTTCATCACTGCCTAAATCACCATTTCTTCTCCACGTTCCAACAGAGCAGAAAATCACAGTATTCCCTTACGACTTCACTTGTTAAAAACACCCTACACATCCTCCTACTACACAGCCATGATTCCTACCCATTGACACAGAGGCCCTGAACAATTTAATAAAATAATTGAAATAAAAGCCTCCCACCTCACATATTTTTAAACTTAGATGATTGAATGAGTTAAAACACTTTAGCAGTATTTCAGCCATATTGCAATTAAAATGATGAAAATCTGGTAATTAATTACTGTGATTTAATTCTCTTGGTAATGAAACACCAAGGCATAACTTAGCAGGTAGTGTTCGAAACTAAGCATGAAAGTCAAGGAGTTCTTGTAATATCCCTATGTTAAAGTTAAAGATGTAGGGATTCTGATAGAAATACTATAGGAACAAACTTCAAGAAGCTCACGACCCCACATTTCTTACACTGCATGAACCAGGTCTCGTTATGGAGCTACACATCGTGATCAGCTGATCACTACAGCCCGTTCCACAAAGTGATCGTAGCGCTAAAGCCATCTTTAACGTATACCTTAACGTAGTGCTACGATTGCCTTGGTGAAGGGGCAATGACACACAGTACCATTAATACCTATCTGGTAAACCACTAGTCTTAACCATAACAATATGTTACTAGAGATGGAGCAGTACATTCCCTCCTTTGATATTACAATCAGTCTCATGGTGGAGATTCGGTAATGTGGAAATGTATAATGACGTAACGGCCCATCAAAATTTATGTTAAGTTAACCATAGTCAAATAAACTGCCGGGCAAAAGATGTACACTTTAAAACTGGATTTTACCGAACTCAAAACATTACAAAACATTATGAAAACGTTACTAGAATGAAAACAGTCATCAAAACAGGTCCAAAACACAACTATGATACCCGTATCAAATACATCACCATCGAATAACCATTTCGTGATTGTTATATTTTTAGCCACCATCACACATGGGTGTACTTTCTTTTGCCTGGCAGTTTGTAGAGCCAGGCATCAGGGAGGTGAGTGTGATGAAGACAATGTGGAAGACTGTAAACAGATCTGTCGCTATCTCAATAACGGAGTTGAAACGGCGTCACATGATCCAGGATATGATGAAGTTTGTATCTAATATTCGCCATATATATTTTATGAGTCACATCTGATATTATTACATACATTTATTTTTAAACATCCAAAGAACTGCAACAGATTGGAACATGTCATCATGAAAAAATCAACAATCCGCTGAATGTTCAGTAATTGAGTATGGTTTTACGCCGATTTTAGCAATATTGTGGCAGGGGATTCATTGCTCTTTCTCCTGTCTACTCTGGGGCCATAATTGTTGAATCTTTCAGCATGACTTTCAGCAGAATTTAGTCTTCACTTACAACTATCAGCCTACCTGACCAGAGTGCAAGGCATTAGGCTTGACTCTTGGCTTGGACTAGTAGCAACATCGCAGACTGCTTGTATAAAACATACTCCTGATCCTGCCAAATACCGAGTTACTCCCTCTGACTGTGTTGCCATTGACAACTGAATCAAATTAATGCCTTAACACTCAACCACATCACAAGTTGAAACTGAAAACATTCCTCTTCAAAAGAGCCTCATCCATTCTCTGGATTTTAGCGCTATGTAAAATGCCTTTAATACTTACTAATATAATCATGAACAGCACAATCACTGTTTAAAGGCAGCTACAACTAAGGAAGGATATAAACAGTACCAACAATTTAAATCCAGAACAATAACATTGAAGTCCCCCTTTACATCGACACACACCATTGTCCATGGACAGAACTTTGTACACATAAAATAATCAAATAATAAAATGTTACCCTTTTTTCATTAAACACTTCTGAACAACACATTTCAGATAAATGACTTTGGGCTAGACACTGGTATTGGATCCTATCACAAGGCAGTGAAGAAACTTGGATATACATGGTATGTAAATGAATAAGAATTACTAAATTTCCTTTAATTCCACAATTTTCTGACGAGAGTTGAGGCCCGCAGTACAATTGAATTGTGACGTCATAATAGTGACGAATGGCTTAGATTTAACCAGATCTACCTGATTCGCTTTGTCTTCCTTGATTTGTGTCAATGTCATGTGATGTCAATGTTTTCGAACACCTGATTGGTTTGATACATCAGCAGGGTTTCCATGAATGAACAGCCGTTTTCTGGGGCACAGCTCTCAACACACTTCTTGCAGGTCGGCAGTAAAACTTTAAAGTAATTGAAAGTTCGGAAGCTTTTCACCAAATATGAATGTGTGTCAAATTACAGTGTTCACACTATATTACTCTTCCTTTTCATCATGACACGATGCAGCAAAATAAATTAAGGTTGATATCAGTGATTCCATAATTCAAATTGGCAACCCACTGACAAAATTGGACTCAACTCAAGTCGCTTCACTCATTATTTGTGCCAATGCCAAGAATTGAACTTTTAAGTTTGTCATGGTAGAATGTAGAACTATGTAAACTGGAGATATGATGGCACTTAACTTAACGTATGAAACCTGCAAATTCAACAAAGTGCCACCAATCTATTTGGTGATGTTGGTTTATCACTGAGTACAGGACGAGAGTTGTTTCTATTTTGTCCCAAGCATGAGGTTTTGTAACATGACTTACCGTATTTGACGTAATAAGCGCCCCATTCTAATAAGCGCCCACAGTGATATTTGCTAATATATTGGCTAGTGAACAATCCCAATTACCGGTAGCACCTCTTCCAATTGATCAATGTGCACAAGACGTATTTAGTCGTGTATAATACGCACTCATGTGTTACATGTACCCTTAATCATGGGCAATTAAATTCTGGAAAAATATATCTGCTGTGTATAATACGCAGAGAGTTTTCTTTTGAATCATTTCAGGTACATAAACGTAGAAATTTACAATCTTTCAACTCTGTTTTTTTTTACCCTATTTCTAATTTTGAGAGTGCCCTAGGCGCTTATTACGTCGATTACGGTAAATTCTATGCTGTCCAAGTGTAGCAATACCATGTACCAGAATCAGGGGAGAGAAATGGAGATAACAAGGTGTGTCTTTTGGAATATGTTTTATCCATTTTGAAACTCGAATGTCTTTTTAACATGAGCTAGACATAGTTGAAATTTAGAAATTATTGCCCCCCTACCATTTCACTGAGACTGATAATATCCTTTTCAATTTCTGGATCCCATGTGAATTACAAGTTTATTTCCTTGTTGTCTGTCCAGTCGACTTGCTTCATACACTGTGGAAAATGCCCACCTGCCTGACAGTCTGGGGCAGTAGTTTTTGCTGACGGACGGTCAGTTTTAAAAAGTTGCACGCCCAATGGTCGGGTAATTATTGTATTCCCAAAATTACCTCAGCATCCTTGTTTTAATTCAATGTTAGAGATAATTAGCTGTTACTGTGAAACAAATTATTGATGAATACAATTTCAATGAGTTACAGTTACTTGAGTTACCAGTTTATTGTTATTTTCTGAGAATATTAAGATTAAACGGTACTATTCTTATGTCAAGAAAATTCTAGACTGGCATGATTTTATCTGGTCTGGTAACATTGCAAAGTTGCCAGGCAAATTGTCTGACTCAAATTTTGGGGAATTTTTATACACAGCTTCATCTAACAAACATTACCACATGGTATTTTGGGTAAAACACTATTATTTCCTGGTGTGTCATCCAGACACCGCAAACCTATTTTAGCCATGGCATTATGATCCTAACAGTGCCATTGGCACTCTTACACATATTATTGTGAGCCCTGAACTCCATAAAATATGCTTAACACAATCTTCCTTCCAGTGTTCCAGAGCCTCAAGGGCTCCCAGTTCAACAATCTAAATAAAAAGTAACCATGGTAACAGAGTAAATAGATAACAACCAAACTTAACAATTAATATGCAGTTTCTGCTAAGACTTCCCAGGACTCTTGTCTATTCTAATTTTCTTCATCGGTGGAGAGCTGAGTTGCCCCTGAAACAAGAAATTCTGTTATCAAACAATAGATTCTTTTACTTAACAAAATATTGTGTTATCAAACAACCTAATTCTGTAATCTAACAATAAAATCTGTTATCCCTCAATAAATTCTTGTACAAAACAAAATATTGTGTTATCAAACAACTTAATTCTGTAATCTAACAATAAAATCTGTTTTCAAACAATATATTGTGTTATCAAACAACTTAATTCTGTAATTTAACAATAAAATCTGTTTTCAAACAAAATATTGTGTTATCAAACAACTTAATTCTGTAATCTAACAATAAAATCTGGTGTCTAGCAATTAATTCTTTTCTAAGACAAAATATTGTGTTATCAAACAACTTAATTGTGTAATCTAACAATAAATTCTGTTTTCAAGCAATAAATTCTTTTCTAAAACAAAATATTGTGTTATCAAACAACTTAATTGTGTAATCTAACAATAAAATCTGGTATCAAACAATAAATTCTCTTATCGTCATGATGAAGTTACTTACTTTATGCCATTTGTCTGCCAGTTTTTCACTCTCCTGGGTGTAGAAGGTGAAGACCTCGGTACAGTCGCGGAACACCCGACTGGTGGGGGGGTTGTACACAGCACAGTTCTCCTTCACCAGGGTCATGTCCTGGTGGAACTCCTCATGGTCCTTGTACCCTCCACCCTGCAGCAGCAACACAGGGAGGGAGTCAGGGATGGAGTGATGGAGCGAGGGAGTGGATTAATGAATCGGTGAGTGATGGAGTGTGTGAGTGCATAAGTGAGGATCATTTAAGAAGAAAACACATGGAAAACTGTACTTCACAGGGGAATACAAGCATGGACAATTGGGGACCTATTCTTTCCTGTACTTCACAGGGGAATACAAGCATGGACAATTGGGGACCTATTCTTTCCTGTACTTCACAGGGGAATACAAGCATGGACAATTGGGGACCTATTCTTTCCTGTACTTCACAGGGGAATACAAGCATGGAAAACTGGGGACCTATTCTTTCCTCTACTTCACAGGGGAATACATGCATGGAAAACTGGGGACCTATTCTTTCCTGTACTTCACAGGGGAATACAAGCATGGACAATTGGGGACCTATTCTTTCCTGTACTTCATAGGGGAATACAAGCATGGAAAACTGGGGACCTATTCTTTCCTGTACTTCACAGGGGAATACATGCATGGAAAACTGGGGACCTATTCTTTCCTGTACTTCACAGGGGAATACAAGCATGGACAATTGGGGACCTATTCTTCCTTGTACTTCATAGGGGAATACAAGCATGGAAAACTGGGGACCTATTCTTACCTGTACTTCACAGGGGGATACAAGCATGGAAAACTGGGGACCTATTCTTTCCTGTACTTCACAGGGGAATACAAGCATGGAAAACTGGGGACCTATTCTTTCCTGTACTTCACAGGGGGATACAAGCATGGAAAACTGGGGACCTATTCTTTCCTGTACTTCACAGGGGCATACATGCATGGAAAACTGGGGACCTATTCTTTCCTGTACTTCACAGGGGAATACAAGCATGGACAATTGGGGACCTATTCTTCCTTGTACTTCATAGGGGAATACAAGCATGGAAAACTGGGGACCTATTCTTTCCTGTACTTCACAGGGGAATACAAGCATGGACAATTGGGGACCTATTCTTCCTTGTACTTCATAGGGGAATACAAGCATGGAAAACTGGGGACCTATTCTTACCTGTACTTCACAGGGGGATACAAGCATGGAAAACTGGGGACCTATTCTTTCCTGTACTTCACAGGGGAATACAAGCATGGAAAACTGGGGACCTATTCTTTCCTGTACTTCACAGGGGGATACAAGCATGGAAAACTGGGGACCTATTCTTTCCTGTACTTCACAGGGGAATACAAGCATGGAAAACTGGGGACCTCCCCCTCTCAACCTTCCTGTGTCATCTGCCCAAGACCCTCACCACACAATGACTACCTACCTCCAGCTTCTTTCGTATTGTTCCAAAATCCATTGGTTTCTTCACAATAGAGTAATAATCAGGAGCGTCAGCAGGGTCCACTGAAAAGAAGGACAGACATGACAGGGATTTTTCTAGGAATGGGAATGGGGAAATTCTTTTTAAAAAATGGGAATGGGGAAATTGAGTTTTTCTTCTCTCAAATTAGGAGATATTTGAACATTACCTAACTAGGCACTGAAGCCTTTTTGATACTTTGTATTGGTCCTGTTATCAGTGTAATGCAAGCAACATGCACAAAGTCATAACATTTGGTTATAACTTAAACTACATCTGAAAATCATTTGCTGCAGACTTGGGGCCGAATATCAATGAAGTCCCAGCATAATCCGGCACATCATCCCACTTCTTTCCCAGGTCTTTGGGGGAGGGGGTAATGTATCACATATCACTTACTGCAACTGGGTGATGTTGTACAAAACAACCTTGGCGCTACAACTGTCATAAGTCTGTGTTAAAATATAGGAGTTATGACCATCTTAGTGCTAAGATTGCTTTGTACAACAGCACCCGGTTGCATATCAGTGTTTGCTGATCACACAGAAGATCCAAATTTCATTCCCCACCTGAACGAGTGTATGAAGCCCATCGGATATTGCTGTGATATTGCTAAGCAAGCTAAAAGCAATATAAACCATACTGCTCCATCAGAAGCACTCATAAAATCCCCAGTCTGACTGTATGTCATATGAAAATGTTCGCTAAACGAAATGTGCATGCTTTAAGTGACCTAGTTCTAAGGGTTGTGTCCCATGGGAATCACAGTACATATTACTTGTGTCCAATCTCAATTTCTATGCGTAAGGATGCAATATTGTGCATTCCGTGAAAACCTACCAAAATGTCAAAAATATTCTAAGGGTTACAGATAGAGTAGAGTTTAACATCGCGTCCTAGATCATTGCACTTATATAGCAGCCTGTGTGCATGGCTGCTTGTACTAGTCCGGACTAATGCCGATTTTATAGTGCTAGCCCACTGAGATACCATGCCACAGTTTAACAGGAATCTTCTTTTGGAATGACATGGGCGGCCGCTCTACCACTAGACCACAGAGGCGATCTCTAAGGATTAAAGCTAAGTGGGTGAATATTGTTTTACGCCACAGTTAGCAATATTCATTATATATCATGCAGCTTGTAAGTAATTGCGTGTTCACAAACAAACCAGTTTCTGAAAGCATGAGGGGGCGGTCGGGTAGCCTAATGGTTAAAGCGTTCGCTTGTCACGCCGAAGACCCGGGTTCATTTCCCGACATGGGTACAATGTGTGAAGCCCATTTCTGGTGTCCCCCGCCATGATATTGCTGGAATATTGCTAAAAGCCGCATAAAACCATACTCACGCACTCTGAAAGCATGAGCAACAATCCATGCTACTGGGTGTGGGGAATGATGGAATCAATCAAGTGACACACGTCGCCACCTACCTGGCTGTGTAAACCACGCGGACGCATTCAGCTCCCCTTTCTCCCTGTTGACGCCGCGATAGCGAGACACTCTCTGCAGCAGTCTGCAAACAACAAAAGTGTTTAACTTGGCATGGTGTTGTTGTAACAATAGTTGTTTGTTGTTTTACAGTGTCAGTAGAAGGCAACATTCCCGCTAAATCACAACGGCCTGTAAATCATCAAGTCTTTGCAAGACGGACAAGTGACTGATAAGATGAGACATTACTACACCTACCCGAAGGCCTACCCAGACTTTACAGTACACTTAACTGAGGCCCTACCCGGACTATACAGTACACCTACCTGAGGCCCTACCCTGGCTATACAATACACCTGGCTATACAGTACACCTACCTGAGGCCCTACCCTGGCTATACAATACACCTGGCTATACAGTACACCTACCTGAGGACCTACCTGGACTATACAGTACACCTACCAAAGGACCACCCTGGCTATACAGTACACCTACCTGAGGACCTACCCTTGCTATACAGTACACCTACCTGAGGCCCTAACCTGGCTATACAGTACACCTTCCAAAGGACCATCCTGATCCAGCTGCCACTGGGAGGCAGAGGGGTTCTCTCATCAGCTGCTGTGGGGGGTTTCCGCCTACGCGAGGGCCACCCTGGCTATACAGTACACCTACCAAAGGGCCACCCTGGCTATACAGTACACCCACCAAAGGGCCATCCTGACTATACAGTACACCTACCCGAGGGCCATCCTGATCCAGCTGCCACTGGGAGACGGAGGGGTGCTCTCATCAGCTGCTGTGGGGGGTTTCCGCTTCCTCTTGCTCCGGAAGAGGCTGTTTGGGTCGGAGCTGGCCCCCCCGTCTGTGTACACAGCGAACTCTCCCTGGCTGTCAGACCCACTCCCTGCAAACAGGAAGAAAAGTAGTAGCAGCAGTCTGCGAACTTAGCCACTACTCCAAAGCCTGAGTCTAGTAAGCTCAGCCAATAATAGTCCTCATAATAACACCAAAATCTACTGAAAATGATGCAATGAACCAAGTTCGGGCTAGCAATCTTGAAAGTTTTTAGCACAGACAGTAGTTAGACCTGACAAATCATCTTTTACCACATCAACTGTTGCAAGAAATGCAGAATTCAAAGATTTATTCCAAGAAAACCATCTGGTTCCCAATGTCACGTTAACAGTTTGTTAGTTGGTTAATGCTGCAATCCTGTATATCAAATCTCCATGACAACAAGTTAATCCAAAGTACAATGTTTCCACTGAAACCGTCTGGATTGACAAGCCTCTGTATCATCGACTGATGGTTATTGAGTAATGTCAATTTGTAATAAAGTAGGCATTTCCTGCAAGAACTTTCAAGCACAAGTCTTTTTACAACGAATAACAATAATTAAAATTAGCATTAATCTTGCAATCGGGAACCCTGGCAATATCTCTGTTTACCGCTGAGATGACTGAGAGACCTAGTAGCATAATGAGGAGGAATCGTGAATTCAATCATGTTTGTTTGTTCGTTGATTAATGCCACACTAAAAAATTCCAGCTATATGATGGCAGTCTGTAAATAATTGAATCTGGACTCTTGGACCCCAGGGCACCCCAGAAGTGACGCTGATGGCTGAAGGATGCATCTATACTGTGACGCTTGGAACCCAGGACACCCCAGAAGTGATACTGAAGACTGTCCTACCTGTTGGGGGGCTGGCTAACGTGGGTATCTCCTCCTCGATGACTCCCACGCTGTCAAACAGAAGCTCCACCCGCTCCTCCGACCCCTGGGACGATGACGCGAGCTCCTTCTCCTCCAGGCGTTGCGATGTCAGCTCATCCAGCGTGCTCGGCGACGGCTCCACTGCAACGCTGACGTTTGAGCTGCTGGAAATGACTTCCTCGCCGCCAACCTTGTCAAGGAGACTCAACCCAACTGATGACTGGAACAGTGGATATAGTTCAAACATCCGGTGAATCATCAGCCTTCAAAATTCATGCTAGTCCGCAAGCCAGAAACTCCTAAATTGTGCTAAGGGCAAGTAAAAATCCAATGAAGGTAGTCCTCATTGACCAGTAGTATTTGAGGGCTGTAATAATGAACTAATTTTCATTGCTTAAATTCTGCTACAAATTTGAACTTAATAAAACTGACAGGAAATGTAAAATGTTTCGATTCAGCAAACTAGGGACTAAAGTACTCATGTAAATGAAAAAAACTGTTTTGCTGGATTTAATAATCGACACAAAGCATTACGTAGATGTAAATACGAAATAACAAAACAACTGGAAAAGTACTAGTCTGGATTTGCTAGTTTTATCTCAGTGCTCAATACAAAATGTACTTTACAGGAGGTAATTTGTAGGCACTTTCAACATTCAAAAATAAAACTAAGTCCAAATTGACATGGCAGAAACAGGCTATAGGCATTATGCAAATTAGCCTGGAAAAAAGTTATCAAAACAACAATAAAAATAACAGCTATGTTTATGTACATAATAATAATGACACGTAAGTTGTTGTTTGAGAAGGGAATATGTTACTTTAACGTTCTGATATTTTGACGATGATTCACTATCCCCCAATGCCACTCACAAATCACTAACCACTGACAAATCACATGCACGTGGGTTTCAAGCACCTGTTTTCACCTGTCGTCAAGGTGTCATAGGTCATGGACATTCACCTTGATCTACTAACACCTGGTTATGCTCAGTTTCACAATAGTCTGTTTCGTTCATATTTTTACACACTTTTACGTGTAAAAAGACATAAAAACCTTTGATACGCTGTATTTGTGCCAAGGCCCAATTAGTACTAATTGAGTTGTTTGAATATTTATATATTTTGTATATTAACTGCATTTATTTAAAATCTGAGATCGAAAAAAACAGGTTTTTTTCATTTCCGTGCGTACTTTAGTTCAATAAGGTTTTCGGGAGTCTAAGGCTGAACATAACCAACATCAATCCAGACTTGTCGGGCAGCAACACACATGTGCATGCACATCACTATTATAAGGGTAACGCTATTTTTCAGGGCATTATCATTTGCAGAAGCCCGAGGTCTTCCATTAACTGCCCGACGAAGGAGGGCAGTTGAAAAGACCGAGGGCTTCTGCAAATGATAATGCCCTGAAGAATAGCGTTACCGTTATTATAGCTAAAATGGATGAAATTTTGTATCAAATAAAAAGAAACAACAATATCGGTTTTGAAACATTTACTGCAATCAACACAAATGTCACTGACCCACTTTTACAAATATGGAAACGTAATAGAATAAACCAGATGACGTCACTATTTAACGTGATGTCACCTATGCCTACCCTATGACGTCACCCAACAACGGACGTGATAATGGCCCGTCATCAAACCATATGAGGGCATTATCAAGTTACAGTGGCCCGCTGATTCTTGATAACATGCGGGCGGTTTACTGATAATTCTATCTATTTTAGCTATAAAGAAGTGCAACAGTCTACAACACAACATTAAACCCCATTTCACCACACTATGTTTGTTTGTTGTTTAACGCCATGTTCCAGCTATATGATAGAGGTCTGTAAATAATCGAGTCTGGACCAGACAATCCAGTGATTGACATTATGAGCATCGATCCACGCAATTGGGACACGATGTCATGCATCAGCCAAGTCAGCAAGCCTGACCACCCGATCCCGTTAGTCGCCTCTTATGACAAGCATAGTCGCCTGTTGTAAGTGAGTGAATAAGTATGGTTTTATGCCGCTTTTACAATATTCCAGTAATATCACGGCGGGGGACACCAGAAATGTTGATAGTGGACGCGGTCTTCCCACACTATGGGGAGTATACATCACTATACCTGTGCATGCTGTGAGACAATGTTGATAGTGGACGCGGTCTTCCCACACTATGGGGAGTATACATCACTATACCTGTGCATGCTGTGAGACAATGTTGATAGTGGACGCGGTCTTCCCACACTATGGGGAGTATACATCACTATACCTGTGCATGCTGTGAGACAATGTTAATAGTGGACGTGGTCTTCCCACACTATGGGGAGTATACATCACTATACCTGTGCATGCTTTGACACAATGTTGATAGTGGACGTGGTCTTCCCACATTATGGGGAGTATACATCACTATACCTGTGCATGCTGTGAGACAATGTTGATAGTGGACACTGTCTTCCCACACTATGGGGAGTATACATCACTATACCTGTGCATGCTGTGAGACAATGTTGATAGTGGACACTGTCTTCCCACACTATGGGGAGTATACATCACTATACCTGTGCATGCTGTGAGACAATGTTGATAGTGGACGCAGTCTTCCCACACTATGGAGAGTATACATCACTATACCTGTGCATGCTGTGAGACAATGTTGATAGTGGACACTGTCTTCCCACACTATGGGGAGTATACATCACTATACCTGTGCATGCTGTGAGACAATGTTGATAGTGGACACTGTCTTCCCACACTATGGGGAGTATACATCACTATACCTGTGCATGCTGTGAGACAATGTTGATAGTGGACGCAGTCTTCCCACACTATGGAGAGTATACATCACTATACCTGTGCATGCTGTGAGACAATGTTGATAGTGGACGCAGTCTTCCCACATTATGGGGAGTATACATCACTTTACCTGTGCATGCTTTGACACAATGTTGATAGTGGACGTGGTCTTCCCACATTATGGGGAGTATACATCACTTTACCTGTGCATGCTGTGAGACAATGTTGATAGTGGACGCAGTCTTCCCACATTATGGGGAGTATACATCACTTTACCTGTGCATGCTTTGACACAATGTTGATAGTGGACGCGGTCTTCCTACACTATGGGGAGTATACATCACTATACCTGTGCATGCTGTGAGACAATGTAGATAGTGGACGCTGTCTTCCTACACTATGGGGAGTATACATCACTATACCTGTGCATGCTGTGAGACAATGTTGATAGTGGACGTGGTCTTCCCACATTATGGGGAGTATACATCACTATACCTGTGCATGCTGTGAGACAATGTAGATAGTGGACGCGGTCTTCCTACACTATGGGGAGTATACATCACTATACCTGTGCATGCTGTGAGACAATGTAGATAGTGGACGCGGTCTTCCTACACTATGGGGAGTATACATCACTATACCTGTGCATGCTGTGAGACAATGTAGATAGTGGACGCGGTCTTCCTACACTATGGGGAGTATACATCACTATACCTGTGCATGCTGTGAGACAATGTTGATAGTGGACGCGGTCTTCCCCCACTATGGAGAGTATACATCACTATACCTGTGCATGCTGTGAGACGATGTTGATAGTGGACGCTGTCTTCCCACACTATGGGGAGTATACATCACTATACCTGTGCATGCTGTGAGACAATGTTGATAGTGGACGCAGTCTTCCCATACTATGGGGAGTATACATCACTATACCTGTGCATGCTTTGACACAATGTTGATAGTGGACGTGGTCTTCCCACACTATGGGGAGTATACATCACTATACCTGTGCATGCTGTGAGACAATGTTGTTAGTGGACGCAGTCTTCCCGACATCTTGTACAGGTAGAGATGATGAGCCAACCTTGACCTTGGCTGAGCTTGATGAGATTGTGATTGGGACAGACACCTGTGAGATGTCGTCTCTGGCAGTGGATGCAGGGATGGTGAGTATCGTTGTGCCTTCCTCTCCTCCTGAACACACAGAGATGTCAACTTAATTCTTGTTTCACATAATGACAGAATGAATATTGTGAGTGGTTGAGTTAGGTTAAACACTGCTTTTAACAGTATTCCATTTACATCAGGGAGTGTCAGCTTAATGTGGGAGGAAAGCCCGAAGTGATGCAGGTCTCAGTCGTTTACCACTTTTGTGAAACCCTAGAACACAAGTATGGTGCTGACAAACCTAGAACTATAATTGGGGCGAACTGTGATTCGAACCCCAAATCATAGGTTTCTGGTATGCCCTTGGGACATTACTCTGCACAGCGATTTGTGGCACCTTAGACAACTGAGCCACCCATGCCCTGAGTATAGTTTGATGCAACCGGTACCAGTAGTATAAATCTACCTATAAATAATTCAGGGCTAGGGAAACTTGGGTGCCGACATTAACTAGAGATCCGGATAAGCTGAGTATTGGTTCAAAATAGCAACAGAAACCAGCATAAGTCGGTCTCTGTCTGTCTGTCTGTCTGTCTCTCTTTCATTCATTGAAATCATCACACATACGCATAATACAAAGGAGCCCAGAGACCTTCTTCATTTTCAGAGACTCAACAACACATGTACAGATTCCTATCACTCATCACTGACATGCCACTGAAAGTGTGTGTGACACCGGATCTTCATGGAGCAGCTGCCAACTTGTGACAGAGACCATGAAGTAAAGGGACAGCCCTCTCCAACACTTATTTGAAAAGACCAATGGATCCTCTCTATATTTGCTTTTGGCAGTGATAAAGCAATCAGCTCACCAATGTTCCTATTCATTTTTACACAGAAATGCAAGAATCCTCCCCTCTCCTCACCGTGGTAGCAAAGAAACAACCAACCCAACAGTGCAAAGGATGGAAATATATTTATGTTTAGAAATTTTACCTTCGTTGGCATGTAATAGCACTTTGAATCCTCCTTGAAATATAAATGAAAATATTCAAAATACTACACACCTGCTCCTTCTATATGCACCACAGACTCTCCAGCAGTCAATTCAGAGTTGTCTCCCTCTATGACCTTGCCAACCTGTTGCACTGAGACAGCACCATCATCAATGAAATGTATATCACCTAAGTCAATATGAGCATGAGTTAGAGAACTGCTCAGCAAGTCATAGTTTTGCTGCACTTCCGTGTCCTGTGGAACACTCCCACCACTCTCGACAGTCACAGTTTTAGAGGGCTGAGTCACAACAGTCAGCACTTTGTTCTTGTCCTTGTAGAACAGACCCGTCTCGGGGTCCAGCTCTCCCTGGATCACCTCAGTATTGCCGCTCGCCCCGGAGGAGGAAGATAAAGTATGCCGTACTATCGTCGGCGGAATTTGATCACTTGTAATTTTGGTTATTTTGGCGGTGGACGACCCACTAGAAGGCTTCACTATGTGAATCTGGAACAGACGGAAATGTATGTCACTTGTTTGTTTGTTGTTTAATGCCGCACCCGGTAATATTCCAGCTATATTACAGCATTCTGTAAATAATCCAGTCTGGACTGGACAATCCAGTCATTGACATCATAAAGAGTGGAGTACCAGGACTTCTTGTATTTAGGCCCACTCGTAATTACGCTCATGGGCCTAAAAACGGAAATAATGGACGGGAATCATGCATGCACGAATACGGTGTTAGCGTTGGGCGTCTCAACGTTGTGATTCCCAGGCACCCTTTCGAGTTGAGTTGAATGGTTCAACTGTGTCATATGGCCCTGTGACGCAGGGGTAGCATTATGCAGATGGCTGTTTCAATGAATGCTCGTTCCACCCGTGACGAACAGGTCTGGTTGTTGATGAAATATGATAGCTAAAAAGACAGATTTTTTATTCATGCACCGATTGTCTTTAAATGTAATATCCAGTTATGTATGACTGTTTAATAATCTCATACCAACTTCGACTGGAGTATGTCGGATAGTTTTTCAGATATTGTAGTAAACGTCGGTACCTTTAATTACCTTCCAGACTATAACTCCCTTCGAATAATGTGCATTCAACAGAAAGTCCAGTTTAAAGTTAAAATGCATGTTTAACATTTTCTCCGTCATAACAACCTAACAATTTCTGATTTTTTCAGCAAAGGATGTCCCCGATGCCGGTGAAACAGTGCTACATTCTGAAATTGAGCCCTTGGCTTAATTTCAGAAAATATAATTTAAGTGAGAAAGCGCTATTTTCCGTAATTAGGCTTGGGGCTAAAATAGGTAGTTCCGGTAATGATTGATCTAAGAATCAATACAACGCAACTGTCCATGGCCATATCGCAGTGTTTCTTTGTTGTGAAACATCGCACTCATGAACTAGCAACTGAATAATTTACACCGCTTTTAGCAATAGTCCAGCAATATCAGATATACCAGCTTCAGATAGCGTACCCAGGTGGAGAACCGAAATTGTGCCTACAGCATGATAAGCGTTTTAACCACTAGGCTACCCCACTGCCCAACGCTGAGGTGAAGGGATGTTTGTATCTGTCCATTGTACCACTACCTGTGGTTGTCCTGAAGGCTGACGAGACACCTCGGAGGGCAGCGACACGGGCACGGAGACGTACGTTGTGTTGCCATCCTCTGACGTCGTTGTAGTTGTTGTATTACCGTCTTTGTCCACTTGGTTTAGTAAAGACATTGCTTGCTCTGCAAAGGAGAACATAAATGGATGGTGATTTTTGTTGTTATTGTTTCTTAAAAATATTGACTATTCATCTGAGTTTTGTTTGTCTATTGTTTAATGCTGCACTCCACAAGCCACAGAATGTATGAAGGCAGCATGTTAGTAATCAATGAACCAGACAAACAAGTGATTGATATTAGGAGCAACGTCCATGCAGTCAGGGTACAATGACACTCAATCAACAAAGTCACCAAAACCTGACCATCCGATCCACTTCTGGTAACTCTTAAGACAAGCCTAGATTACCCTATACCTTTAATACCAAGAGGGACAGCTTTGAATATGATAGTGCAAAATTATCATGTACAGTGGAACCCCCTTTATCCGGACCCTGATATTCCAAAACCTTGCCTTCCAGACAATATTTACATGAAACTAAATAAACACTATAAAAATGCTTTTTGTTTCCACAATTCCAGGTTCTGGATCCGGAGAGTGAATTTCAATTACAACAGTGCAAAATACACAGTATTGTGTCCCATATTGGGGATAGCGACCATGCTTGATGAGGTTTGTTTTGCACTTCATCACCCTGTATCAAACATCTAAGGGGCAGGTATCACGTCATCACTGTATTGATTACTTACATGTCTCGATCGTTAGTTTGGCAGTTATTGATATTTGACACTGAGGTGAGGTGAGGTTTGAGATTATGCTCACTTAACACATAACACACTTAACAGTACACCGTATCACAGCCAAGATGGCGAGCCATCTGGGGAAATGCAGTGACAGCGTGGAAAAGAATGAAATCTCTCCTCATAAGAACACTCATCCTAAAGCTAGCCTTCAGTTTTCCCTGCATCAGCAGAATTTTGGTAGGGGAGGTAACTCTGGTCAGTTAAAGATTCGGATATGTGGAAACTTGTTTATCAAGACAATATTTGAGAAAACTTTAGTGAGATTTGACTGATACAAATTGTATCATGTATCATATCACAAGCATACAGATGGGGACGTCGTTGATGGAGTCCAAGCATACCTATGGTGTAGTACTGCGTCCCCGACATCTGGTCTGTGATTTGTTCTAAGTTTGATGCTGCAGCTCTGGAGAGAGAAACACAGTGTGAAATGCAATACCAGCATGCCGCCATTCAGCCCCTAGTCTGCAGCAAATGTCAGCAAACATTTCCAAATTGGAATCAAACAATTCCCAATTCATGTTATAAGTTATAAGTATGAGATGGCATTGTGGTTGTAAACCATTTAGCACCTTACATGCAGTTTGGGTTGTATACTCCCAAGGGAGCTGAGAATGATTGTTGGGTGCTCACTGATCCATTCACCGGGGTAATAACGTCTAAGTGCTCAGAGCATGCTTATGCACTGAGTACAGCGCCATATAAATGGACTTTTATGATTATGATTATGATTATTACTAAGATGACTTCTAGCTTGGGAAAACACATGGCTAATGCGGTACAACTTTGAAAAAGAAAGTTGGCACACTTTGATTCCAATGGGCTATGAGTGCCCTGTGGCACCTACAAAATACACTTCTATACAGTGTGAGTGAGTTTGGTTTAACGCCGCTTTTAACAGTATTCCAGTTAAATCGTGGCGTGTCAGCTTAATGTGGGAGGAAAGCCCGAAGTGATGCAAGTCTAAGACGTTTACCACTTCGGTGAAACCCACGAGCACGGGTATGGTGCTGACAAACCTAGAAACATAATCGGGGCGAACCGGGATTCAAACCCACAATCATAGGTTTCTGGCATGCCCAAGGGACGCAACTCTGCACAGCGAATCACGGCGTTATAGAAGCCTGGGCCACCCGGGCCACCCGTGCCCCCCACTTCTATACAGACATAGAGACTATTATATTTAAGCATTTGTCATACAGGTTTTACGAAACGGATGTCATCATCTCCTAAGTGAGATTTCTTTATCACCCATTATTTCTTAATCCTTTTTTTAGATCCTTTTTTTAGCTCCCCTTTACAAAAATGCACTGAGGACCACCGCTGTCCTAGAAAACCACAAAAGACGTCAACAATTTTCAGCTATGATGTCGTTTCTAGCCTAACGTCATTCCATCCTAAGGTCACAATAAGATTCGAATGAAGTCAACAATGACGTCAAGATGACGGAAACAATACACTGGTGCGCAAGAAGTGATATTTGCCCTAGTGCACAAACGATTATTATGATTTTGATTATTTCTAACCCAGTGGTAAATAAACAACATGCTTCTATCCCTGGTACTGTACCTTTCCTCCTCGTCCTTGTGTTTGCCATCTGTGTTTCCCTGCATCTGCATGAGGGCGCTGATGGCCTGGGAGTCGGATGTCGTTTCCGTCTGCACCTGGTCGTCCGTGATGTCGTACTCGAACCACTCGTTACCACCTACAGCTGCCTGGGTTGCCACTGGTAACAACACGTCGACTCATGTAGACTCTCTTGTCATAGTTTGTTTGTTTGATTGTTTGTTTGTTTGTTGTTTAACGCCACACTCAGCAATATTCCAGCTATATGACGGCGGTCTGTAAATAATCAAGTCTGGACCAGACAATCCAGTGATTGATGTCATGAGCATCATCATAGTTAGTATGACAACAGCATCCAGTTACATCAGAGATAAGGGTGCGAGTGATTATTGTATCAGTAAATTACATCAGGACTTGCCGGGCTTAACTGCGCGGAATACCCAAACTGACACTGGTTGTAGAGGTTTAATGGAGCTAACAAACTGATAAACTGGGATTTGAATCTGCAATCAGTGGATCCTGGCAGCTAAGGGACATAACTCTGTAAGGAAATTTCAGAGTCGTAGGGCCACCATACCTCTTTTGATCTGAACACTTACTGGTGAGTGAGTGAGTTGAGTTTCACACCGATTTTAGCAGTATTCCAGCAATATGACAGCGGGTGACAGGAGAAATGGGTTTCACATGTACTCATATGGGGAATCAAACCTGGGTCTTCAGCCTGATGAGCAAATGCTGAAACCACTAGGCTACTGCCATTACAGTGAGTGAGTGAGTGAGTATGCTTTTAAGCCGCTTTTAGCAATATTCCAGCAATATCACGGCAGGGGACACCAGAAATGGGCTTCACACATTGTACCCATGTCGGGAATCGAACCTGGGTCTTCGGCGTGACAAGCAAACACTTTAACCACCAGGCTACCCGACCGCCCCTCTATGACAGATAGACTACAGTAATACAAAAGAATCAGATGATCCTTGACTTATTTTAAGCAGTATACAATGTTAATATGGTAAAATTACTTATGGACCTATAACCTTAAGAAAATAAAAACTAAAAAAAAAATATCCCAATTTTGAACAAAACAATTTTTTTCCAATTTGGCTGCCAAAATCACTTAGTTTGGAATCAGACAAAACTTGTTGATCTTCCAAGGATATCAAAGAAAGAAAGACATACCCCCCTCTGCTGCTCCCCCATCAGGAACAATCCCAGCAGCCTGTATCAGCTCCGCCAGCAGTGACGACGTCCGACCCTCCTGGTCTGACTTAGATCGGTGTAGTATTGGAGCGGCCTGCGAGACGAAACCGTCATCATTAATAGTCACTATGACAAATCTTTAGGATTATAGCACCGCATTCATCCAAGCATGAAATGAACTATAATCACTACAGTGTTAAGCATGCTCTCAAGGGGTAAACTTTTATCTGCCACCACTCACCTGTCTGCCTCCCTCTCCTGTGGTTGCTGTGGTGATGATGACTTTTCTCTCTGGCAGTCGACCGAGGACGGGGCCGATGCTGTGTAACGCTGACGCGGACGTCACGGACACAGACACCTGCTTCCCCAGCTCCTGCTTCTGGATGAAGTTCACAAGTTCCTGGAGGTAAGAAGAAACTTCTGGTACAATGGTGTGACATATTATTTGTATGTTGTTATATTTCAGCACATCACAGTAAAGCATGTAGAGTGCTGATATTGAAGCACCTATTTACGTGTGGTATATAAAGAAGGTTAACAGTCCAATTATCCCCTTTTCCTTCCTGGTACCCATTTACTGCTTGGTGAGCAGAGGCATAATTCAAATAAAGGCACTTGTCCAAGGAGACACCACATGTGCTTCAGTGTGGGGAGGGAATGAGCCCTAAAAATTCTCAGGAATCAAGTTCCCAAAAGACACCCATCCAACCACTCTGCGACCAATTATGCTTTACTCTGTCTGACTTGTGACCTGTGCTTCCACCACATGTATATTAAGTTAATGGAGCTCCACGGCATATGGAAGTATAACTGTCGGCACCATTGAGGCCTCACTTTACCGAAATAAGCCAGTCTATAATATCATTTAACATAGCGTTTAACATGAATGGCCTGTCATTATTCTCACCTTTTCAGGGGGCATGGGTGAAAGGCAACGCAATTCGCTGTGCAGAGTTGCGTCACTTGGACATGCCAGAAACCTATGATTGTGGGTTCAAATCCCAGTTTGCCCCAATTATGTTTCTAGGTTTGTCAGCACCATACCCATGCTCGCGGGTTTCACCAAAGTGGTAAACGTATAAGACCTGCATCAATTTCGGCTTTCCTCCCACATTAAGCTGACACGCTGTGATATAACTGGAATACTGTTAAAAGCGGCGTTAAACCCAACTCACTCACTCACTCACCTTTTCAAACATAGCTGGACTAGAGATGACTGTTGCTTGGGGGCGCCCTGCTCCTCCCTGGAGGGTGGGGGTCTGGGACCTCCGGGGCTGGGTCTTCTGGACAACTATCACATTAGGCTTGGACACTGAAACACATAAGACGACCCCACTGTAGTACATAGTACATGCTGTTAAGCCAGTTCCTTCTAGGCATGAGAATTCTGCTGTAAGGTTCATTTGAATTTTATGTGACATTCGTCATGAAATTCTAGCTAAAACTATAGAAGAACATGTTTCCCTCAAGTTTGCAATATTCAGTTGATGATGTTTTGTTTGTTTGTTTGTTTGTTTTTTAATGCCGTACATAGCAATATACCAGCTATATGACATCATGAACCTCGATCCACGCAATTGGGATACGATGACTTGCATCAACCAAGTCAGCGAGTCTGACCACCCGATCCTGTTAGTCGCCTCTTACGACAACCATAGTCGCCTTTTACGCCAAGCAAGGGTTGCTGAAGACCTATTCTACCCAAGATCTTCATGTCAGTGGATGACATAATACAGTACGATGATGTCAGCTACAATGCAGTGACTCCATAATTCAAAGAACATAGAGCCTACTCCCATTCCATTGGCCAAAAGCAATTACATCACTATTGACAAAGTAGATTTATCTAAAATAAAGAAGTTTTTGGTACAATAAATTATGCCTACTTTGTCATCCGTCAACTTCTAAGAAATGGCTATCAAATAATGCATAACTATGGGAATGAATTAATTTACTATTTCTTTGATTAACAATGCGTCATCTTTGACGATCTGACTATTTCTCAACTGTACTTCATATTAGCAACATGTTGGAAAATTATGTTGATAGACTCCAGCCAGATTTGAGCAGCACACATACACACCAGCAGACATACTCAACCCAGTAACACCCACCCCCTTCTTATCTAGATGAAACTACTACCAGACTATATATTGTGGACCCCTTAACTTAAAACACTGTTTAGTTTTGGTTCTCAGGCACTGCCAGCATCATCATCAAGTTCGCTGCACGTTTAATTTTTATTTCAAACTTTTTTCATAACAAACAAAATCCAAGTCCAACGGTAGTCAAATACTGTTTTCCAGTATTTTACTCATCAAGGAATACATTTATGTAGGGAGGCTCTTCCCCAGGTTGATTGTACACAATTGTTTATTGATTACACAACTGTTTATTGGTTACATTCTAGTTTGAACCCCCCCCCCCCAAAAAAAAAAAAGACACCGCCTGCCCACACTAAACTTTCAAAAACCATTGCCTGAGAACCAATTCTTTTATTTTTTTTAGCCTTAGATGTGAACACATGAATTTTCACACTTAATATGTTTCTTACCGTATTTTCTTGAGTATAGTGACAACCCATGTATAATGCGCACCCCCCTCTAGCGGGTTCAATATTTTGGAAAAAAAAAATTTGAATATTATGCGCAGAAATTTTTTACACCGTACCCTTTCAGCGAAGTCCGGCAAACGAACGGGTGCTGTGAAACTTCGTCAGTACAAATTCGAAATTTGAGATAAAAAATCACCAGACATGTTTATTTACCGTTTAAATAGTATTTATTGTTCTGCTAGGCATTGTTTTATATTTAGGGATTAAGATTACCTTGCGTATTTTCTCGTAAACTAAGCTGGAAACAGCAATCAGCTGTACACACGTTTTCTTGGAATCGACCGGTGATTCGGTCAAGACACACCCAATGATATAACTTTATAAGATTTTTAATGAAAGGATCGGCAACAATTGTATCTGAAACTATTTTATTTATCAGGAATAATATATTCCATTATTTTCTTAATTATATGCAACCTTTAATAAACATATTTAAAATGATAATAACCCTAAGCGAAGCAGCTGATCGCTATTCCCGGGTATTATTTTTTACATGGAACATGTCTGACCAGTCACCGTCAAGGCTCACGCGCACATGATCACGTGATCGCGAGAATTTCATGTTGACATAGAATCGTCAAACAAAATCAAATATGACTTTTAACGAGTCAAAGTATGTCATTTATGATATATGTATCCATTCTCTGTCAACTAAAGTTTGTTTCAAGGCGTCAATAGCGGTATTCTGACCGTGGTTGCTGTTAATAACGGTGAGTTGTGCGATCTTCCGATTGCTTCACACACGATTTCGACGAAATTAATAAAAACAATATTACAAGGAATTTTGAATAAAATCAATGAAATAAGTTACAAACATAAGTCCACATATACAAAGAACACTTTTTATAGCCAGACAGTGTAATTACATGATTATTTTGCGTACTTCAGTGTGGATTTGTTGACATGGTATTCCCGGTGTTTCATGCTCACGGTACTGTCTTTCCATGGGGGAGAAAAACATCCAAACTCATAATTCGTGTATAATGCGCACCCCCTTCTACACAGCTGTGTTTTTTCGAAAAAAAGTGCGCACTATACTCAAGAAAATACGGTAATCATTTTGATGCTACTGGCTTCCTGGATAATTACCTGTTGTCCCTGTGGCAGTTTTGACAGCTGTGAGATGTAGAGTTTTAGGGTTGACAGTGACAACATTCGATGCTTTTGTTGTGGTAGCGATGACACGCCCCCCTGGTGTAGTTATGTTCAACACCTTGCCTCCTGTGTGACTAGCTGTAGACAAGACAACACAGCATTAAGTTTCATCTGCTGTGACTAGCTGTAGACAAGACAACACAGCATTAAGCTTCATCTCCTGTGACTAGCTGTAGACAAGACAACACAGCATTAAGCTCCATCTCCTGTGTGACTAGTGACTAGCTGTAGACAAGACAACACAGCATTAAGTTTCATCTCCTGTGACTAGCTGTAGACAAGACAACACAGCATTAAGCTTCATCTCCTGTGTAACTAGCTGTAGACAAGACAACACAGCTTTAAGCTTCATTTCAATACCTTGCATGATTACCGAAATTCTTTTACAGCCTATGATAATTACCTGACAGAGTTGTCACCGGTTTTGTTACCATGGTAACAGTAGTTGTTGCTGTTCCCGAAGGCCCCGCATTGACAACCACGACAGGTGTACCGGAACTCCCTGACAACTGTGCCGGCTTGGGCAGGATCTTACTGGTTCCAGGGGGAAGACTCTGGGTGATGATTTTCATTCCTGGGGACAACACGAGAAATTGCTGAATATTAAAAGTATTAAAAATAAATTGAAATATTCCGCATCTTGAAGACACGGCCACAGCAGTGAAATGATACAATACTTATGAACAACATGGTTTCGCCGAAATTATTGTAAACAAAATTTGGTGACATACTAGCTTGAACAACCACCCACCCCCCTAAAAAAACCATTGCCCGCCCGCCCGCACAATATGTTTAAAAGCCATTGCCTGAGAACCAATTCTTTTATTTTTTTAAGCCTTACAAGCATTGGTTCCTGGTGACCAGTTCTAATCCGGGATTCCCAAGGGTCAACTGAAAATGTATGTGTCGTATGTTTAACCTTAAGACAGCAGTTTTTCGCAGGTGTACTTCCCAGCAATCTATGCGTGTCATAAAAGTCGACGACAATGGTAATTTCAATTCAAACTCAACATACCTCCTTCTTGCTTTATCTGGATGGTAGGCTTTGTGACCGTCTTCACTTGGTAGTTCTGAGGTGAGGGTTGGACCGGTTGGGGGCCCATGGGAATAACCACACCCGGCTTGTGCTGTGGGTTGGGGAATCTTGGTCGTGGGATGATCTTGGGTCGAGGCTTGGCTAGGGCTGGATTGGGGACAGTGACAGTGGGATTGCCCATCACTGATGTGGGCGTTGTAGCTGCAATACAAACAGTGGTTTGGTGTAATATAAAATAATTAGGTTAAAAAAAATCTTGGTTCTCAGGCACAGACCGTATCATCATAAAGTTGGCCGCATGTTTTGATTTTAAATAAAAAAAATAAAAATCCTAATACCCTGGTACTTAAAAACCAATATAGAACGCAGTTACTTCCCTTTACATGCGTGTTTTGTGTTACGGTAATGGCAGCAACAGGAGTTTGTATGCTTGTTTATGTAGGGAGGCTCTCTCCCAGGTTGATGGTACACAATTGTTTATTTGGTTACATACTACTTTGAACAAGCAAAAAAACACACACTGCCTGCCCACCCGCCTGCGCTATATTTTCAAAAGGCATTGCCTGAGAACCAATCCTTTCATTTCCTCAAGCCTTATTTCCTCCAAAAATAACTCAGCAATGAACTAAACAGCAAAGGCCCATCAAGGACAGTTTAAACATCAGCAAAACCTTGTTCATTCATTTGCTTTAAAATCATTAGGTCGGATAAACAAATTTCAGGATTTGTAGATTGTAGAGTAGTGTCCCTTTGCATAAAGGAAGCTGTTCCCAACATAATTATTCAGAACAATTCTACCATGGTATACAGTCACCCAATTCAATGTTTTCCCTTAAGGTTGAGTAAATTTTGCTGAAACTGAGTTGATTAATACCATGTTTTTTTAAACATACTTTTACATGTACTTTTACTGAAAAAAAGATTTCACTAGTTCAACCCTAACAATTATTTCCTTATCTTGATCAGAAAAATCGGTAAAAACAAGAAGAAAAAATAGATCTGACTAGAAGATGAAAGAAAATAGATCAGATTGCAGTGCTTAACAAGCAGTGTTTCTATACGTAGCTGCCAGAACACCTGCATACCTGTGTGAGATGTAGCTGTTGTGATGGAAGTAGTTGACACAGTGACGATGTTGCTGCCGTAGCCAGAGCTCATGGTAATGGGAGGGCTACCAGGGACGATGATGGAGGCTCGACATGCAGAGACAGTGGATGATGATGTTGATGCTCTTATGATGGGGACCGACATTGACTTCTGCAAGACGCTGGATGCCACGGACTGACCAGAACTGGTCACCAAGATCACCTGGAACAAACATGTCAGCCACTTAAGAGTGAGTGAGTTGGGTTTAACACCGCTTTTAACAGTATTCCAGTTACATCACAGTGTGTCAGTTTAATGTGAGAGGAAAGCCCGAAGTGATGCAGGTCTCAGATGTTTACCACTTTGGTGAAACTACGAGCACGGGTATGGTCTGACAAACCTAGAAACATAATTGGGGCGAACCGGGATTCGAACCCACAATCACAGGTTTCTGGCGTGCCCAAGGCACGCAACTCTGCACAGCGAATCGCGGCGCCTTAGACGACTGGGCCACCTGTGCCCCCAACCCACTTGTGAGTGAGTTTGCTTTAACAACTGCTTTGAACAGTATTCATCAACCATAAACTGGCCTCAAAAGCAGATATCAAGCAATCTCTCCAAGAAGATATCACTTCAATGAAATCGCATGACAATGCTTTGCAGACCAATTGTGACATAATTGGTTTCCCTGATGCCAGAATCAAATGACATCACTATTCTCTCTGCCACTGAAGTTGGTTAGCTGTACATTTACACTCAAGAAACTGTTTACTATTGTTTACAACTGATAAAAGGCTTGAAGAATGATGTTGGATGACAATTTTCAAACCTGCCTGTGGTTAGCAAGGATTGTGACTGCGGCAGATTAGAGTTACTTCCCTTTGGGTTGAATTTCCCAAGCTCCTTCCCAGCGTGTTACACTTTCAGTAACATCGCTGCCACCAGTGTGGGTGCCGCCATTACAAGAATCTTGAAATTTGCCCTCAAACCCCAAATGTAGTAACATTTATTACTTCTGTTTATGTCTTTGGGAATGTGAACATAGTGAATTTTGAAAAGATTTACGACAGACCTTATTTCCCAGATGAATTTACCTTTTTGTTAGATCAGATTGGTTCGAGATTGCTGACGAAGGAAAATCAACCAACTTCCTGCTTACATTCTTACTATACCATTTACATGATAGTTGTATTGATAACAGAAATTCAAACAGACAAACAAAGAAAATAATTTAGCAGGAATGAGAGTATTCAGCGTCACAAGAGCTTGCACACAGGTTCAAATCACCAACCTTGGGGGGCTGCGAGCCTGGTGTGGACACCATCGTTCTTCCTTGTGGGCTCTTACTGATGGTGATCTTGACGGGAGACATGCTCGGCAGAGAGTTGGACGCTGTGGTGGTGTATGTGAGTCGAGGGGTCTGTGTAGCCACGGACGAACTCATGCCTTCACTCGACTGACTGCGCCGCCTCTTCCTGGTCTGTAGCTCCTCCTCTTCTTCCGAGTTGACAACACCTACGGAGACAACAACATCATCATCAACAACTAGTGCCTCTGTTCAGACATATCTGGCCAAAAGGCTCAGCTAACAACCAGAATGACCAAGACGGTAAGAGCCAAATCTATCACCACAGATTTGCTTGTTTGTTTGTTTGTTGTTTAACGCCACACTCAGCAATATTCTACCTATATGACGGTGGTCTGTACATAATTGAGACTGGGCCAGACAATCCAGTGATTGACATCATGAGCATTGGTCCATGCAATTAGGATACGATGACATGCATCAACCAAGTCTGTGAGCCTGACCACCCGATCACGTTAGTCACCTCTTACGACAAACCCAGTCACCTATTATGGCAAGCATGGGTTGCTGAGGACCTGTTCTACCCCAGATCTTCACAGGCCCCGCTTAGTTTAATATCAGCACCTTACTTGCTTTACTGTGACATGATGAAATATTGCTGAACAAACAAATAATATGTTGCACCATTGTAACATAATTGCTGAATCTAATGGACATCTGTTGGGTACTGGAAAGCAGAGCTGAAAATGCACTTTTTGTTTGTTGTTGGAACCACGCACTCAGCAATATTCCAGCTACGTGACAGCGGTCTGTAAATAATCAAGCCTGGACCAGACAATCCCTTGATTGATATCATGAGCATCGATCTACGCAATATGGATATGATGACATGCATCCACCAAGTCAGCGAGCCTGACCACCTGATCCCATAAGTTGCCTCTTACAGCAAGCATGGGCTGCTTAAGGCCTATCCTAACCTGGATTTTCAAGGGTAAGTAGTAATGATACAATAATTACGGATTCTGTTCAGAAACACAACTTTATATTTTTCTATATAACATGATTGTAGTTTAACAAAAGACCATGGTGAGGATTATTATCTCATTGCATTCAATACTGAGTTGATGACAAGTACCAACCTTTGATGTGAATAGACGTTCCACTCGGCAAGACAACTACATTAGATGTGGGGCTTGACGGGCGTGACAGCTTGGTAGAAATCGGTGTATTAGTTGATGCAGTCGCACTGTTGTTCAAGTTGCCATTAGCTGAAACAAAGAGCATATGAACATAGAATTGATATTTGATTAATAGTGTATGAGGGAGTATGGTTCTATGCCACTTTCAGCAACATTTCAGCAATTTGAATATCACAGCTGGAGACACTAGAAATTGGCTTCACAATTTGTGCCCATGCGGGGAAATCAAACCTTGGTCTTAAGTGTGACAAGCGACCGCTTTAACCACTAGGCTACCCCACCGACCCCCCCTTTATATGAAACAGAATTTGGCCTGACCAGCAAATGCTATAAACACAATGATTAATACACAAAGGAGGATAAGAGTTCAAAGTGAGTGAGTTGGGTTTAACGCCGCTTTTAACAGAATTCCAGTTATATCATGGCGTGTCAGCTTAATGTGGGAGGAAAGCCCGAAGTGATGCAGGTCTCAGATGTTTACCACTTCCGTGAAACCCACGAGCACTGGTATGGTGCTGACAAACCTAGAAACATAATCAGGGCGAACCGGGATTCGAACCCACAAACATAGATTTCTGGTGTGCCCAAGGGTCGCAACCCTGCACAGCGAATCATGGCGCCTTAGACGAGTTCAAAGGATTCAAACACTTTTCAAATCTGTGAGAACCCTGTAGATTTGAGTTTAATCCTAGGTCATACAACATAGTGACCACAATGACAGACATAAAACAAGAGTTTGCCACTAACGTGGCTATATCCCCCGCCCCTGTTGCAGAATTTATGACATAATTAAATCTAAACAAACCCTAACCTTTTTTTAACCGAGGTGGAATTTGTCATGGAAATTGTAAAAAAAAAAAGAGTTTGGAACCCAAGTCCATCTTGCTGCCATGGAAACGTAAAAAATAAAAATTTCTAAAATTTCTAAATAGCAAAAGGCACCAGTTCAGCACGTACCTGACAAACCTGCAAAGTTCGATGAAAACATATTGAACGGTTTATGAGTTATGCTCCGGAAACGAACCCTACCCTCACAGAACCTAAGTCCATCTTGTTGCCATGGAAACGTTAAAAATAAAAATTTCTAAATAGCAAAAGGCACCAGTTTAGCACTTACTTGACAGACCTGCAAAGTTTGATGAAAACATATTGAACAGTTTCTGAGTTATGCTCCGGAAACGAACCCTACCCTCACAGAACCTAAGTCCATCTTGTTGCCATGGAAACGTTAAAAATAAAAATTTCTAAATAGCAAAAGGCACCAGTTCAGCATGTACCTGACAAACCTGCAAAGTTTGATGAAAAAATATTGAACGGTTTCTGAGTTATGCTCCGGAAACGAACCCTACCCTCACAGAATTAAGTCCATATTGTTGCCATGGAAACGTAAAAAATAAAAATTTCTAAAATTTCTAAATAGCAAAAGGCACCAGTTCAGCAAGTACCTGACAAACCTGCAAAGTTTGATGAAAAAATATTGAACGTTTCTGAGTTATGCTCCGGAAACAAAACGACACGGACGGATGTATGGAGCCCGTTTCTATATCCCCCGCCAACTTTGGAACAAGGAACATTACTGTTACACTGACCACATTTCAGACTGTGAATTATTCACCAGACAGGCAGCTGAAACCACAGTGATATGAAAATAACTTACAATCTTTACTTCCAGTTTGAGATGGGAATGGAAGAGAGGCATTCTTCTCTGACTGGGCGTTGGCAACCTGATTGGCTGTCACGGTGAAGGCTGTTTGAGGCACAAGTCTCGGCATGAGTGGGATAAGCCGACGCCCTTCTATCACCCACTCAGTGGTGGTGTTGGAACCAGCAATGCTGCAGATCGAGAACAATAACATTAATTCCATTCATTAATACTTTCATTCATGACAAAATACGGTCTTCCCGTTTAGGGGTAATTACCAGTTTTTTTCTGGTAACATTAGGCTTGGACTGTTAATTCATGTGACTGCCAGTTTCTGTGGACCGGCAAATAAAGTACCTTATAAATCTTTGTTGTTGAACAAAACATCGGTGATATTCATATAAGTACATTTTTCGAACAAAGTCAGCTTGTTTGTTACCATCAGGGTTTCCCCTTGTCTATTTCTAGGTTAAATATCCATTTGTTGCGACTTTGTCTCGAAATATAAAAAAAAAGGAGAGAAAATTGTGACTGAAGTGTGTGTAAATGACGTATAGATCTAACTAGGTTACTTCAGAGATGACATCTTTGCACTGAATATGATGTTAAAAGAATTAAAACCAAATAATTTTCATACGTTTTTTTATTTGTTGAAAGTTGGGACTGGCAAAAAATAGGGGGGATTGGTAATTTTTAGAGTTGCCAGTCCACAGGGACTGGCAGTTTTAAAAGCCGACAGGAACACTGATAATATATAGAGGTTATCACACGAGTATTTTGGGGGGATGGTAAATATCCTGTATTATGAATAACACTGTATTTAGCAAGCCCTGGCGATAGAAGTATATGATAAAAGATAGCTATGTGATAAATAACAAACAACAAGTGTGGTTCACTTCATGATCAAACATTGTTCTATTATGAAGACATTTCTGGAGATTCGAAACATGCGCTTGTAACTTGATGATGTTGTATAGTGGACAATTTAATTTTTGAGAGGGCAGGGTCTAGTGAGTTGTTCCCCACACATGTAGCTGGACAACGCAGATAAACATGATGGCCCCACTGAGATACCATGCCGCAGTTTAACATGAATATCCCAATCAGACACAGTATACCGACTCCGAGCTGACCAGTCCTCGTTTTAGCCCCAAAATGTCGAGCACCAGGCAGGGTAAGAACAAATATCATTTTTCAACATCTTTTAGTATGATGTGGCCGGGCCCCCGGGCAGACATTCTACCACAGGACTAATGGTCTGAGCTCTCAATGGAACCAGGCTTGATTCTCTAGTTAGAAATAGTGACTACAATGCATTCATGAGTGATGGTTGGTTGGTTGGTTTGTTGTTAAACGCCACATTCAGCAATATTCCAGCTATATGACAGCGGTCGGTAAATAATCGAGTCTGGACCAGACAATCCAGTGATTAATATCATGAGCATCAATCCACGCAATGTGGATTGATGACGTGCATCAACCAAGTCAGCGAGCCTGACCACCCAATCCCATTTGTCGCCTTTTACGACAAGCATTGTCGCCTTGTACGGCAATCATGGGTTGCTGAAGACCTATTCTACCCCGGAATCTTCATGGGTCCCATGAGTGATGGAGGAATTGAGTACTGTATTCGACGTAATGAGCGCCCACGGCAGTATTTGCTAATATATTGGCTAGTGAACAATCCCAATTGGCACTCCTTCCGATTGATCAATGTTCACAAGACTCATTTATTTGCGTACAATACACACTCGTGTGTTAAATGCACCCTTAATTATGGGCAATCTAGAAAAATATATCTGCCGTATATATACATTTCGGACTGTCAGCATAAACCACGAAATTTATCTTTCAACTCTGTTTTTTTCCACCAAAATAATATTCTAATAAGAGCCCCCCATTTCTAATTTTGAGAGCACCCTGGGTGCTTATTACGTCGAATATGGTATATACAAAGCCCATGAAGTATTGTGCTGCTGAAGTAGCAGTCAATTTTGATACTTTATGACACAGCATAAGAATTGAAGAGTCCATGTATTGATAGAACACCATACATTTTCTGAACAACACAATATGAAAACTCTAATAACTCATTGGTTTATTTGAATCATATTTCTAAAATATATGAAAGTGTTGTATCATGTGTACAAAGACTGTGGCAAAAGTAATGATGAATCTCTTACTTATCTGCAATAGTTGCCAGTTTCTCATCATTAACTGCACGCCGAACTTCAGCTCTGTGTCTCTCAGTCGAAATGCTGAAATTGACAAAAGTGATAAAATGTGTCTAATGCAAATACAAATAACCTTATTTTCATTTTAACATGGTTAATGTTGAAAAGGTGAAGTTTATTGTCTTTTTGATATTGTTGAAACATAAGCAACTCACCTCAGTATATGCTGAAGTTCTTGCAACATCGATTTTTTTTCCTTATTGAGATCACCCTGTGCCCGGAAAGCCGAGATGAGGGAGGAATATGCCTCCAGCTCCAGTCTACGAAGAATCCGCTTGGATTCATCCCTAGACAGATCTAACAACATTGGCCACATTGTACCTAGGTCTACTCACTCCAACCTGAAACAGTGAACATAGCTATGAAACTTCAAACTATCATGAATCATGGACATAAGATGATTAGCCCAATGTTTATCGTGCATGAACATGGTTACTTGTGACTAATGTTATTGACATTGCAAACAGCAAGAAAACAAATTATGACATGACAGGAATTTGTTTTAAAATAATGGATTCATTGTTGCTGACATAACTGTTCATTTTTATATTTTTCATGAATAATATGACAATCGCAGGCAAATGTTTCAAGCCACACACTAAAGGCAACTATTTCCCAGCTTTTTTATGTGTGAAACATGTTTGTTCAAAAGGTAAAATGACTATTTTCTCACAACATTAATATCGACCTGACCTAAATTTTGTTGTACATCCTGTGACAACGTTACCAGTCGCAAATATGGTACTCTAAACATTGAGTAAGTTAGATTGGTGGTCAGAAAACAATATCCACGCACAGTCGTGTAATTACATCAAATAGGGCATTGGATGTTGCGTTTACGTATGGCAACAAGAAACTTTCCTGCAGTTTCTTGCCATTTTTCTCACCGGTCTCAAAATAAATTGATCAAAATGCAGAAAATATGTAGATTCATAGCTCCGATATAACTGAAAGAAGTAACATTGTGTACATGTTACTCGACTGTATAGCTGAGTGTTCTAACGCATCTATATCACACCTGCTAAAGATGGAAATCCTAAAAGTAAAATGTTACGATGACAAGCACCGCTCTTTGTCCGCCATACTGTAATGGCGGGTATACACTGCGCATGCGTGTTCATAATGAAAAACATGTTTGTTTTTCCAACTTTAGAGCAATGGATAAGTTGTCAAATTAGCATATTCAAAATCATATTACATTCTTTTGTAATGACAAACATGTTTTAAGTGAAATAATACATTGTCAAATATAGTTCTACATCAGCAATTACATGTTCGTTTTAACTCCGCTCCATGTTTTGTGACAATCTCGGTCAATCATGAAAGGTCAAGGTCAGGTCAGAAATTCCGGAATGCAAGATTTGACAAGTGAAATTTTACTCTCTTCATCGGGATATTGGTGACATATTACTCTTATGCTGTTTATAGCTACGGTAAATATACAGACCACTAACCCCAGTTAAGCGTTCACGTAGTTTGTACAGAGATGTGATTTTCTTTGCGTTGTTTACGTAAACTTTGAAAAAGTGATAGATTTGTTGTTTCGAATATCTAACCGGCAATGTTATTCAACGTATGCAAGCGTCATACATTTTACTGGCTAGCGACCAGTTATCGCCACAGAACAACTTTTTATTATATAATTATTTATCCAAAAATGATAGAAACATATTTTAGCATATTAGGAAGCAGTGATACATTTTGTTAACTGTTATTACAGTGTTGTGATGATATAGTATTATTAATGATCTGTTATGTTCAATATTTCTTGATCATGTTGATGAAATATTTAGAATACTTATTATTCATGTACAAATGATGTAGCTGTTTATGACCAGCGAAGACATTCTAAAACTTATTTCCTGTTGCAAAATGGTTATGGTGATTAAGTCGGATTTTATGCTGCTTTTAGCAATATTCCAGCAATATCACATCGGGAGACACCAGAAATGGGCTTTACACATTGTACCCATGTGGGGAATCAAACCTGGGTCTTCAACTTGAAGAAGAGCGATTGGTTTAACCACTAGGCCACCCCACCACCTGCCATGATTAGATAACAAAATAACATACATGTAATTTTGTAAGCTGTTTGCTTGCTTGACAAATAATAATAAAAGTCTCATTGCTGCTTACCTCACTATAAACACCCTGTCTCACAGCCATGTTGTTGTCCGTATATGCACTTACAGACAAAAAAACACCCTGTGAGAACCCAGGATAGAATGTGTCCCCAGTACTCCATTGCTAGTCATATGTTACTAAATTGGGCATCTGTGGGGATTCTAGGTGAGCATTGGTCCCTAGCAACTTGTGCTGGCTGTTAGAGGTGGCTAACTGGGAGCATAGTGGGCAAGCGGTCAAAAGAGCCTGGTGCTGAGATCGTATCACACAAGTGACCGGGTTGTTATTCAGCCTTGGGACCAACTATGTTTACAGGTCTTTACAGTGTTGTAACTACCCCTAGTGTACAGAAAATTCCCCTTGTGACTCAAAAGAACCCACTTGTCCGATGGTAGTTGACCAGATGGTGGAAACACGAATACATTCAGACGCCAGAAACACAAGTGTCAAAACGTGTGTTGTCACCCTTGGCAAGTGACTTAGTTCAAATGTGCCCCTGTTCACCCAGCAGGGAATTGGTACCGAATATGTGAGGTGGATGTAAAAAAATCTAGCCCCCGTAGACAGCTTGGGTTGTATACTCCCCAGGGAGATGAGAATTATAACTTGAATGCAAACAGATCCACTTGTCAGGGAAAATTTTAAATGTATAATAATAATTATAATAATAATAATAATAAATGGATTGGTGGTCAGGCTTGCTGACTTGGCTAATGGAGTGTCAGTGTACCCAATGGATGGTTGCTCATTATATCAATCACTGGATTGTCTGGTCTACAGTCATTTACTTACAGGTCTCAGGACTGAGTCATACAGCTGGATGATTTCTGAGTCATGTGCTAAATAACAAACCCACACACAGATGAGAAAAATTGCTTTGAGTGTACCCTTTTCTTTGTTTCCTTGATACCCGTGAAGATCCGGGGTAGAATAGGTCTTCAACAACCCATGCTTGCCTTAACATGCGACTATGTTTGTCGTAAGAGGCGACTAACAGGATCTGGTGATCAGGCTCTCTGACTTGGTTGATGCATGTCATTGTATCCCAATTGCGTAGATTGATGCTCATGATGTCAATCACTGGATTGTCTGGTCCAGACTTAATTATTTACAGACTGCCATCATATAGCGGGAATGTTTTTGCTGAGTCCAGTGTTAGTCAACAAACAAACTTTGTTTCCTTGACGAGTACACCTACACCATTTACGTTATTCGGTCGAACATTTATTCTTCATGTGTATCCTCAGGTTTTAAAGGTTTGGATGAAAATCTAATACATGTAATATATTTATGGTGGCCCTACCTAACAATAATGTTTTTTTAGACTTTAGAGAAAGTTAGTGTGGTGAGTTTTCTGTTCGTCACAAGTACTCAAGCAATGAATCACAGATGACAACTGAATTTCATATCTGTAGTTTGTCTAGAATAATAATTCCATTATTTATTCAAACCCAACACACTCACACTTACTCGGGGCAGTTGGGTAGCCTTGTATTCCCCACTTGGGAGCAATGTGTTAAGCCATTTCTGGTGTCCCCTGTCGTGATATTGCTGGATCATTGCTAAAAGCGGCATAAAATCAAGCTCGCTCACTCACTCACTCACTCATCTGTTTTTTCTTTTCAGAGAACTAAAGATGTCTGACTGGATAGACATAAAGAAGTGTGGCCTTAAGATTGATCCGCCTTCCTTGGTGCTTATATATTATGACAGGAAGACGAAAAAACAACGACGAAGAACTATGCCACTTAGAAACTTTACAAAAATGTCTTACGTGGACAGATTTGCTGCTGATTTACGGTCATGTCCAAGAAACTCAAAATATGTGAAAAACTTGCCGCAAGCCCAACTCCTCCGAATGTTGACAATTATTAAAGACAGGCTTAAAGGAATGAGTCTTGAGGCCAGCTTGGCCAGGAACCTTGAGATGGACAATATTGATCCTGAACAAGATCTGAACAAAGTTGACGAGGAGACCCTGAAGAGAAAGAAGCTGCAGATGGACAATGGATTTGAGAAAAATCGCAAGAAGCCTGGTGACCCTGATTTCCAGTATGATGTCGAGGTTGACTTTGACACCGGGGGCGTGGAAACCTCAGGGTGGGACTCGGAAGGCACTGACCCCGAGTTCTGAGGACTTGACTGAAGTCTGTTGTTGTGGGGTAGATGATGTCAGTATGGTTGGAGGGTTATGTATGTTGGACAATAGATCCAGAGCTCCAGTTAAGCTTTTGGTGCTGTGGGTATTTCACCCATGCATTTTAAAATCATTGGGTATCAGTAATTCTGTCTGGGTATTCAAATTTCTGTTACCCACTAGTTTTTGCACATGTGGGTATTTAAGTTAAATATTTAAAAACACTATTCATCTAGTCCCTGCAAACTGGTGTCGTGTGGGTTCGAGAGCTTTATAGGACTCAAAAATACCACGATACTTCCACAAGAAAGTGTGATGGCAATGATCGTGACGTAACTGTCATCGTGGAGTTTGGCAAGGTTGACGGAATGCCCGCTTATAATTTCAAAATAAGTTGCTGATTTGCTTATCAAATACGCAGTGTTACTTCACAATATTTTGATGATACACACAAGTTTTATTTTTGTAGCGTATCTGTAATGTTCGTTGCATATTTGATACGCTTGGATTTTATTTTACTGTGTATTTCTGCATTTCTGATGCGTATTTTACGCAGATACGCAGCTTATCTGGAGCTCTGAGATCCTTGCGGTTATCTGCTGTGGTATCAGATCCTGAAGATCTCAGGGATGTATCCAAGCATTCTCAGAGGCTGATACTCAACGCCAATGTTAGAAATAATACCCCAATTAGATATCTCGGTTTAAGTTATCATAATTATTTAATTTTATATTTTATACCTTTGCGTATATGACTTGGTTTTGAATGCCTTTGAAAGTAAGACAATATGATTCGATCCAGGGGTAGAAACAAACATTTTTAGTCCACTATTCCTTATAATGATAACATATAGCACAACCCTTAAAAAGGGCAAATTTCTACTAGTCCTTATGATACCTTAACTATAGGGCAATTTGGCAAGGACTTCAGGACAAGTGCCAATTCCTAATGCTGTGAACCTAAACAAATTCTCTATTTTGGAAAGACTTCTTTTAATATGCTTAAGTCAGCACCATACCTGTGCTCGTGGGTTTCACGTCTAAGATCTGCATCACTTGGGGCTTTCCTCCCACATTAAGCTGACACGCCATGATATGACCGGAACACTGTTAAAAGCGGCTTAAGCACAACTCACTCACTCACTCACTCACTCACTCACTCACTCACTCACTCACTCACTCACTCACTCACTCACTCACTCACTCACTCACTCACTCACTCACTCACTCACTCACTCACTCACTAATATCAGTGTTAGAATTTAGAAATTGTCACTAGTCCTGTAGTCCATACCAAACTGCCGAATAGTAAAGGTATCCTAAGGACAAGTAGAAATTGGCCCATTTTAAGGGTTTTGCTATATGTTATCATTATAAGGACTAGTGGCCAAAAACTAACCCTAAATATGCTAAAGAAATCACTGGATTGTCTGAGGTTTGTGTCAAGGATCCCAAGACATTCATTCTTCATTTCAAATGCTGGCAATACTTGCCTCACTTTACATCTCCTGTATGTTGGCGTAAGACCTGTGAAGTATGGTGCACAACAGTACTTCAGGTCATAATGTGTGTATCATTTCATGGCCGGGTAATCACACAAAATGAATGTATAGAAGTCATTGTATAAGGTAGACATGAAGGTGAATTGTGACACTCCTGTTCTCCAAATGTTTTTGCGGAGTTCTGTAGCCATTGATGCAAATGATGCCCTCTGATGCCACATGTTTTGTTTGGGTCTGAGGTGCGGTCGGGTAGCCTAGTGGTTAAAGCGTTCGCTCGTCACGCGGAAGACCCGAGTTCGTTTCCCGGCATGGGTACAACATGTGAAGCCCATTTCTGGTGTCCCCTGCCGTGATATTGCTGGAATATTGCAGGAAGCGGCGTTAAACCATAAACGCTCCACTGTTTGGGACTGTTATGGGAGACAACTCTTCAACATATTTGGAGATTTCATGTTGTCTACACTATTCCCAACGCCTTGCCATTCTTTCTACAAAGTGATACCTGCAACTCTGCGGTGTGTTCATCTGCTTCCACAATGTACCTAGACTAGACATTGGCTTGTATATTATTGTATGCAGTAGTGATCATCTTCGATAACCCAGGGTATTATATCTCCTACCCTTGACCCATTAGTACCATAGATTCATTTTAGATCCTATCGAAAGACACAACTAAAAATGTCAAGCAAAGGAAATCGTGAGATATGGAAGTAATAAGAGAGCTGGAGGTATAACATACTGTTTAATTGAGGACAAATAGTGATGTCCGATGATCAGTTGTTTTCTGATACATCAATGTAAGAGTCTATAATAATGGTTGATTTGGGAGAAACATGTTATTTGATATCGAATTTGCATTCAAATTGTTGATTTGGATAGTTACATATGCAACCAAATTACCAATCAAGTATTTTGTTGAATGATAATATTCATAAAATTGTAAAAGGATGTATAAGTTTAATGAAAATAGACAAAAATGGACGACTGATTGTGGTCAAACTAACCAGTTATGAGCAATAATTGATGGCAAGATAACAGAAAACTCCAAAGACTATGCAAAACTATACTTCATCTTTTTCAGGGGGAGGTCGGGTAGCCTAGTTGTTAAAGCGTTCGCTCGTCACGCCGAAGACCTGGGTTCTATTCCCGACGTGGGTACAGTGTGTGAAGCCCATTTCTGGTGTCCCCCGCCGTGATATTGCTGGAATATTGCTAAAAGCGGCGTAAAAACCATACTCACTCACTGTTTTTCTACTTCAAGTTTACAATAATTTATTTTGTGTTGGCTTTTCTTTGAGATGATGCGTATAGGACCCCTGAGTAAATTATTTGTGACTCTCGTTACTGATTGCCCATAGTCACCTGAATTCATAATGGCATTTATTCCTGTAGTCGTGGTAATGATAATAATTTGATCCATGTGGATGAGGTCTTCGTAAATGGCTTTACATTGTCTCATGTAGATTGTTCTATCAAACATTGTCTCATGTAGATTGTTCTATCAAACATTGTGAAAACTATGTCCCAGATTTAACTGTTATAAATTTGATGGCATTGATGATTATATAGCCTGGGTATGCATGGTATACTGGTATATGCAATATTGGAAATGATATTATTCACATTATTCAAGTCATGGTATTTCATTCTGACATAATCCCCATTTTTCATCAAAACTCACATCACAGTCCCTACCCATTATCTGTTGTTTATCGTATAACTATCATATCAACCAGATAACTAGGTCTTTACTATGGTATAACGTTGTGTTAACTAAACAATTAGGTCATGATGGGGTATCTGGGTTTTATTACCTTGTCACACATAGAGGGTTATCTTGTCTTTAATAATAATAATAATAATAATGATAGTGTGCATCTTTATAAAGAGCCAAATCCACACCCGAAAGCATGCTCAGTGGTCAGTGAATCAGCTCCCTGGGGAGTATACAATCCAAGCTGATTTACCATCGAGGCAGACTGAAAATAGTTCACAGGGAATTATCTAGGATTCCAACCTAAATACCCTTGACCGACAAATTGCGGAAAAAAATGTAAAATTGGTTATCAGTGAAATGAATATCCCCTCTGCAAAACAATAACATTAGTTATTAGCAGGATGTGAAGTAATTGTTATGGCTACACTTTCATTGCCAAGTCACGTCATTAGATTCACAGTTCTTCCAGATAGTTCTGATGTTGTGAATGTTTTCTGTTATATTATGCTTAAATCGGATACATCCTCAAATATTACTGAATTCAGGTTTGTTTTGTCTGTGGATGTTCGAGATGTTGCTGATGTGTTAAATCATATTTCGCTCACTGAACATGTGTTTCCAAATGCTGCACTTTCAGTACTGATATGCTGGCTTTAGTGGTCAGGGGAGTGGGACACTATTTTGTCAAAGTGGGAAGAGTTGTGTCCCTTAGTAATTTATGGTCAGCGTCATAAGTCTTGCATGTTGGTTTCTCCAAAGTGGTTAAAGTCTATGGCCTTGGTAATTGCAGGTTTTCCTCTTACATGAAATCATCTCATTCACGGCTGTAATGGTTCCCTTTATGTGAGCCTGTCAGAGTTGTCTCCCTTATGTGAGGCTGTGTCAGAGTGACCCCCCTTATGTGAGACTGTGTCAGAGTTGTCCCCCTTTGGTGAAGCTGTGTCAGAGTAGCCCCCCTTATGTGAGGCTGTGTCAGAGTGGTCCCCCTTATGTGAGACTGTGTCAGAGTGGTTCCCCTTATGTGAGACTGTGTCAGAATGTTCCCCCTTATGTGAGGCTGCCAGACTTGTCCCCCTTATGTGAGGCTGTGTCAGGGTGGTCTCCCCCCCCCCCCCCCCCCCCCCCCCCCCTTATGTGAAGCTGTCAGAGTTGTCTCCCTTATGTGAGTCTGTCAGAGTGGTCCCCCTTATGTGAGGCTGTGTCAGACTGGTCCCCCTTAAGTGAGGCTGTGTCAGAGTGGGGGACTCTGTATTAGACGATATACAGACCAAGGTTTAGAACATGACAGTTTGGGAGATGGATTTAAAGATACAGTGTTGTGCCATGATACTTTGTGGAAGGATCCTTCAAAGTTTTGAGCTGAAGTAAGATGAAATGGCCAAGATGTAAGATGATGGTTTATCGAATTGAGTAGTGCCATATGTCTCTCCTAGTTTCGCTAGGCTCTATTTGTATGTTAACCTTGTTAAAATATGTAGTGTAAATATTTATTATTGCTGCCTTTTACCCACTCCATATTAGGGTGAGGCCATAGCATGCACCTCTGTAATGTTTTATGTCAGTTAGATATTAACTATAACAGTGAAAAAAAGACCTCATTTACAGGTACTATACTGTTACCATGGTTACTGAGAAATGATAATTTTAACAAATCTGTGATCCTTGTTTTATTTATATCAAATGTTGGCAACTTTCTTAAGAATGAGGTCACAGCATGTTGCTTGTTTCTTTGTCTGGAATATTTTGTCCTGAGTGAAGTGCTGGCAGCAATATTAATGTTTTAAAAATCATAAAGTTCTATTCATGGTAGACTTCATTATATGCTACTCAAAATAAGTTAAAGAACACCCACAATTGGAAGGCTGTGTGTTGCAATACCCACCAGCCAGATTAACAATAGCCATAAGGAAAGAATTGTTCTTTTACTTCTTTTGAGTAGTATATGTGATGATAATGGCTTTCCATCGGCTTTATTGGAACCATTGGATGTCTCCAGCTGTGATGGCCAGCTATTTTACGG